TGAAACACACAAATAACCAGATTCCGAATCCCCGAACCCAATGAAGTATTCTAGCTTATCAAGTGTGTAAACCGCCTCTTCTTTGGGCCAGCTGGGTGCATGACTGGGTGACTCTACTGGCCGGCTAGTCATCGGGGCCAAACCGAGGTCTTGCTCCATTCCCGTGAACCAATGCAGGCCCCAGTAGTAGAGTATAAACTCACTCCACTCACTCCATTACGCACATGCTCCCCCGTCTCCCCAAGGATATCAGCTCCGAGCGTCCAAGTCTCGTCGTCCTCGAGCCCTTTGACCGGAGCTTTCATAGACGTGGCACCATCATGTCGTTCCAGTGCCGACATATCCACCTTCCCAATGTTTGCTAGTTGACCGTGTATACTCCGTCCGCCGTAAACAACGCCAGGAAGCTCAACCCAGAGCTCTTGGTCTATGCTTAGACGTACTGCGAGAGCCACCGGATACCGTCACCGTACCCTGTTCCCCAAGTTAGCTACTGCTTCGTCCTCGCCGTGCCGCGCAGGGGCAAAGAAACTACGCACCTTGTCTCAAGACAACCGAGCACATGAAGACCTCGATCGGACGGATTCCCTCCAGAGGCACCTTGCCCTTGCCAGTCGTCTGGTACATGCCGAGCTGGTGACGCAGTTCCTCCTCAGAGATGGCATCGGGATGGTCAATCTTGTTACCAAGAATGACAAAAGGGACCTTAGCCAGCTCTTCCATGGACAGGAGAGCGTCGAGCTCGGCCTTGGACTCAGCGAATCGCTCGTGGTCCTTGGCATCGACGAGGAAGACAATGCCGTTGACTTCGGGGAAGTAGTCCTTCCACAGGCGGCGGGCCTGCTGGTGACCACCAAGGTCGAAGGTGGTGAAGCGCACATTGCCGATGGCAAGCTCCTCGGAAGCTTTCAAGGCGGTCAGCTACTGGACACGTGCGCAGAGCTCATCGCCGTCATGCGTTTATCAGGGGGAGGGGTATACTCACTGGGGTGAAGAGTGGGCTGCAGAATGGCGACACGGTCATTCTGTTGCATCTGTCAGCCATAGACTTCTCACGAGTACAGCCTCGTCCCAAAATTTCCCGTATCGGCAGATCCGACGTTCGCGGGTTGTACGTATCGATGGGGATAGCATCTGGGTTGTCGGGTGGCACCGTACCTTCAGCATGTGCAGTAGGGTCGTCTTGCCGGCATTGTCGAGGCCGAGGAAGAGGAGCTTGGCATGCTTGTTGAGCAGACCAAGGCTCGAGAGAGCGTTGTAGACTATCGAAAGAATGCCAGTCAGTTCATCGATGTCCATCCAGGGATGAGTGCTTGGCCACAAGCTACAGCGGCCGGCCGAGGCGCGCAAATGGTTGCTACAGCTCAAAGGAGATGATCTAGGATAAAGGAGGAATAAAAAAGTTGGAGCACATACACCAATCAATAATCCACATCTTGATGGCAAAGGGGCGAGAGTATTGTCTCTATCGTGAGGATGATTCGGAGATGGGCGGTGGACGTGAAGTGGGTAGGTTGAGGTCGGGGGGGTTTCGTGGACTGGACTTTTACTCCCAAGAGACAAGGTGTGCAATAAGGTGAGGAAGCGTCCTGACTGCTTGGACTGGGCTAGGCCTGGCTACCGTGCTTGTGTGCTTTGGTGCTGATTTGGCTGGGGCGCAGGGGTGCTGCTCTCGCTGCTGCTGCTGCTGCTGCTGCTGCTGCTGCTGTTGCTGTTGCGAAATGCTGAGGTGAGGCACTGCTGCCTTATTATTGAGGCCTTACCCGCCAAAGATGCTCCACAAGCTGCAGCGCTGTGGAAGAGAGAGAGAGGGAGAGAGTAGGTGCATACGGATGCGTCGGAGCGAAAGTCACTATGGTCTTTTCCTGAGCCGGGCTCACCCAAAAAAAACTCCGGTAGCAGTGTCAGGTGAATCAAAGTGCCTTCTAATGTTTGACATTGCCTGAGACACCTGCTTCTATAATGATGCGCTTAAGAAAGAACACTGATATACGAATATATCGAGCTGTTGATACATGGTCGCGTTTGCTCAAAATGCAACTTGATAATACTGCCATCCCGTACTGCTGTTAAACTTAGTACCACCCAGACCATTGCCTCCAACTGACCGACCCATGGTAACCATTGAACCAAAGTCTAACCTCAAGGCTCTGAAGCAACCACATCTTCTCTGGCGAAACTGAAATCATAGGGCATCACAACAAGTGGCCATAGTGCAAAAGGAACAGTATGTCGGAGGTCTGCGAAATCTCGCAGGAATGCAGTTGATCAGGCTTCCTAATGCTATGTGTTCGCTCAACAACCATGCAGGCCTTCATACACGCTATTCCAGGGGTATTCGTGCTCCCGTTCAGACGCCGCTGGACTCCTAAGAAACGACAGAAGAAATGAAGCGAAAGATATGCGGATTCCTCGTACATCGAGGTATGCTCCGGTGCAAAAATGAATAAAAAAGATATCAGTCCCATGGGCCGTCAAAAAGTATGTCATGAATCCACTCCACTCCGCCATGCATGCCATGCACCTTTCAATGCCAAACGCCGTGCGAAACAACTCTGGTCTCACTGTAAATGCAAATAAAACCTCCACCCAGATGTGTGTATGTAGATTGTCCTCTCAGACCGAGATGACATAGTTGCCCTGGCCGATCTTGCCGGCCATGAGCAAGCCCAACTCTCTCATACGCTCACAGCCGAGGCCGCGCTGCGGCTTGCGCTCGGGGACTTGTCCCTTGCGAGCGCGGTTGCAGTACTTTTGATAAAACTTTTCTTTGCGACGCTGTCGCTTTTGCTCGAGGCCCTTGACGATGTCAATGGCACCACGAATGTGCACATCATTAGCCGGAGCCTTGACGCGGCGGCCCTTGGCCATGTGAGGAAACATGGAAGGGGGCCGAGGGAGAGACTTGGTGACGGTGAGACCCGGGCGAGATGCAAGGGTCTTGAAGGTTATACCGCCGTCGCCATTGCGGGGGGATGCGGGAGGGGATCTCAGCGTCTGAGGCGCGGGAGACCGCAGGCGATGAGGTGAAGGACCATCAAAGAGACGACGAGGAGAGCGGCCGCGAGCCTTGGGAGCGGGGGATGCGCGACGCTTGAGGGGGGGAGGCGAGTGGAAGCGCTTGGGAGAGGTGTGCTCCGTCTTCTTGCGGCGGCGGCTTCTGTCGTTCGCATGGTGCAAGTCGTCCATCTTTCCGTGGAAGAACATTTCATCGTCACTGCTGTGGTGGACGGGGTTGTAGATCTCCTCTTCGCCCTCATCCTCGGGGTCGGACGCCGGGAAGCTGGGGTCGATGTCTTGAGGGATGAGCTGAAGCTTCTCGCGTCTTCGAGCCGCCAGGCAGGACATGTAGGCGTCCTCCATGGGACGGTCCTCGTCGAGGGTGCCGCAGACGAAGTCGGTGCTGTCGGGGAGCTCAGGGGTACCAGGTCGAATCTTAAGACGCTGAGTCCGGCCACGGCGAGCACGTAGGCTAGTCTTGGAGGCGATAGAAGAATCCGAGAGCTGCTCGGGCAGAGAGGGACGCCTGGCAATGGGAGTGCTGTCAATGTTCAGCACGGTGGAGCGACCCGGCGTCCACAGGCGGAGGTCCTCGTCTTCTTCCTCCTCCTCGTCAGAGTCGGCGAATCCAGTTTCCTCGTCAGTCTTGTAGCCGTCAGAGTTGTCGTCCTCGTCAGAGGCACCGTCCTCCTCATCATCATCATCTTCGTCATCCTGGTCCTCGTCTTCGTCAACATCATCGGCATCGTCCAGGTTGTCGAGGTCCTCGTCCTCCTCGAGAGCCATATCTTCCTCCTCCTGTTCGGCCTCTTCCTCGGCCTCTGTCGCCAACTTGCGGATGGCGTTCTCCTTCTGAAGAGTGTCGTTGATGGTAATGCGACGTCCCTGGGAGCAGAAGGCCTGGCGAATCCAGTCCTCCTCGCGAGGAATGTCACTGGCGAACTCATGAAAGCGAGAAGACTCGTTGTTCAAGTCGTTGTCGTTGGCGGTGATGTACTTTTTGGTGGTAGGAGACCTCGCATCCTTGTCTGCGTGAGGAGGAGCAAGGAGAGGCCCAGGAGATTGCGAGCGAGTGACAGAAGAGCGAGCCTTACGGGCCGTCGTCGGAGAGGCCTGCTTGTCGAGGGCGGCGGGCTGGAGGCGGGCGGCAGCCATCTCCATCCTCTGGGGCGGCGTGTTCTGCGTAGAGGCAGGACGCTGGGGAACGGGACACGCAAACTTGATGCAAGTTTTCCGCTGAGTCTCCTGAGCAGAGGGTGCCTTCACCATAGGCTGAGCCTGGATGGGCTCGGCGACCTTGGGCTTCGCGGCACAGGCAAACTGGATGCAGCGCTTTTTAGGCGCATCCTTGGCAGGCTCACCATCAAGGTTGAGAAAACGAATCTCGGGAAGAGGAGGGCTAGGAGTGTTGGCGCGGGAGGGGCTGGTCAAGCCGGTGTCGCTGGTCAGGTCTGCGGTGGAGGCCAAGCTGATGTTGCTGGCCATGGAGCGGCGACGAGCAAGGAAGGACATGCCCGGGCGAGCCTCGGGCTCCTCATCCTCGGAAGGACTGTGGAGAGCCTTGGTAAGGAGGGAAGCGTTGTGGTCGAGAGTAGTACGGCGGATGGGGTTCCGCTTGAACATGCTGTTCATGGAAGAGACGGGTGGCTGCTGCGCATGATCCGGGGGTTCGTCGACATCGGCGGGCTCGTCTTCTACCATCAAGGGCGTGTTGGCGCAGTTTGCCGTCCAGGCAAGGACGTTTGACGTCGCGGCGTCATGTGTTGCGAGATGCGTCATGGTGAAGAGACGATGGTGTTGGTCGAGAGAGAAGTTGCAAGGGTTTATATCAGGATCTCGACTCGAGGGTGTGTGGCGAGGTGTTGGTAAATCCGGGGCCTAATCGGTCAAAGATGCTTCTAGCAGGCACAAGCGTTCCACGCTCGACTTCGTCAAAGGCCTGGGTGAAGTAGGTAGGAGATGGTAGCAGTCCCGGTGATGAGTGGACAGCTGCCTGTGGCAAGCGCGTGTTGTTGCGGTTGTGTGGTTGGTTTTGTTATTGGTGGGTGTAGAGAAGGGTGTCCTCAAGCGGACGTGCAGCTGAAGATCGTCTCGAAAGACAATTGCTGCAGATCAAATCGTGTCCCTAGGGACCGTAGGGCTATAAGGACAGAACTGACATCGTCGAGGAAGCAGTTATATTAAGTAGTTGGTGTGATGGGTGGTGGGCGTGGTGGTGGTAGGGTAGGCCAGGGTGGTTTATAGGACGGCCGGGCGGTGCCTCAATATGAGGCGCGGTAGTGCGATGGTTCAGGGTCCTGGGGGTACAAGAATAACTGAATCGAGGGTAGAGATCCCAGATGAAAGTATCCTGTGGGCGTGAGTGCTCACGGCGTGAGCGCGGACACACAGCCAAGGATTTGATTGAGGTGGACGAGCAGATGACGTCGAACTTAGCGTGGCGCAGGGAAATGTCGAAAACAGACGAAAAGGACGGGAGAGAGGGAGGGAAGGAAAGGAAAAAAAGGAACAACAGGCGAAGGAGGGAGCTGGGATTGATGCTAGGACAGCGAGGGAACTTTAACGGGTTCTGGTTTTATTCTTGGTGGATTCGAGGAGGGAGGTGGGATGAAAATTCAGGATTTTCGGAAGGCCGAGGGCTTGGGTGGGCTTCCGTTTTGCTTTCTGGGGCGAGTAAGGGCAGGGAGCAAAGGCAGCAGATGGATATGTACTCGACCTTGTGCTGGGGCAGACCTGACAAGTCGGTCGAGGTGACAACCTGGGAACAAAGGCAACCAGAAATGTGGGAGGAGGAGGAGAAGGGGGGGGGTGGGGTGTGAGAGCGAGGGTGAGGGAGTGTGAGTGTGAGTGTGAGTGGCGACGGGTAGCGGCCGCGACTAGTGGAGAGGTCAGTCGGCCAGTTTTTCCAAGGGCAAATTCGCTTTACCGCTTCGCTGGTGCCGTGGGAAGGAGTGCGGCCAGGGGAGGGGCGTATTCGTTACGGCGTGTGTGTGGTGGTACTGGCTGTGCGCGTGAATGCGTGCGATTTGTGAGTGGTGTGTGATCGTAGTGTGGATTCTCACTCTCACTCTCTCCTCCGTACTCTTAGTAGTAGAGGGCCCGAAATATGCGGTGCTTCAGTCGGCGAGCAATGGCTGCGGGAAAACAGGAAGTCGGCTAGACGACCGACAGGGGCTGGCAAAGAGGCAAGAGGCGAGTGATTGAGTGAGTGACGAATTGATTGACGGTTGGTAATTGATGGTTGATAAAGAGTCTCCTCATACAGCTGTCCCGGCTGTTATTCGTCTGTGTTTGAGATGCTCCCCCAGTGCGGTGCAGAGAGTATCCGTACTCGCGTCGGCTTCGTTGATCAGGTGGGCGTTGATTTGGCAGGGCTGGGGGTGACTCGGGCAGAAGGCAAGAGAGGAATGGGGGTCGGCCAACTCTCCAATAGCAGCAAGTGAAACAAGCTGACCAAAACAAGGTATGATTGGTGTGTATGGTGTAAGGTGCGTGCAGCGGCTGTTTCTGCAAGACGGCGGCGGCGGCAGGACAAGGAAAGCGTGGGGGTATGGGATTGTCTGTCTGAGGCAGCGAGCGGTAGGGCAAACGCAAAAAGAGGAAAACAGATTGCGAGCCAAGACCGAGGAGGCAGAGTCGAGTTCCGATCTTGAGCCAAAAAAGGGAGGATTGTCTCTGAAAGTGTGTGTGTGTGTGAGTGTGCGTGTGTGAAGACGGGATAAGAGAGTTGCTTGGCAAGACCAACCTAAGGCAATTGGAGATCTTGGCGGACAAGGCGCTGCAGGCTGCGGACTGCGGTCTGTGGTCTGCGAGCTCTTGATGCTGAGACAAGAAAAGCGAGCAGAGCAGCGAGGAATGTAAATGCGAATGCAAATGCGTCAATTTCAAATGGAACGCCAATTCAAGCAGGACAGAGCAGTCGCATTGCCCGCCTAGGGTTTTATTGCGATGTTTAAACTTTTGTTGTTTTATTTACTTCCCACCATAGTAAATTCCCTCATCACTTTGCTATGGCGCCAATTATTTTTATTTTATTTGGTTATTCATCATATCTTTGGCACATGTCTCGAAAGAACATGACTTATCCACAAGCGGCCTCGTGCCTGAGGTTCGAGGACTAGGTTGGTCCATCGCATTTCTCTTGGTCAGCCCCAACTCTTTTTTTTTTTTTTTTTTTTTTTTTTTTTTTTTGCGAAATTTTCTTGCGTCTCCTCCACCCAATTTTTCCATTCTCTCCCTTGTCACTTTTTATTTTTGTTGGCGTGGGGAACCCACCCGTTGCTTCGAGAGGTTTTTTTCCCCCCTCGTCACTATCCGTACTACCTACCCTTTTCCGTTTGTCCCTGGGGGTGGCACGGATTGGGGAGTAAACTGAGTGTCAAAGTTGTCAGCTGGTGGAACACCCCAGAAAAAGCCGCTAGACCGGGGACGAGCCTGTCGTTCAGGGCTTGCAGGGACCCCTTGTGTATGTGTGGGAGACGTTCCTGTTCCGGTGGAAACCATCGAAAAGGAATTGAGAAACGCCTTTCAAATCAAAAATCAAATCACAGTCCAGTCCTATCCAAATCACAGGAAAAGACCTTGGCTTTTTGGGCCAGCGCGGTCAACAGTCTGAACCGGATCGAGGTAAACTACGAAACAGGCTAACACGGGAAATGGGAGATCCATCGGACGTTGCGTGCGGGCTCCACACAGTACGCAAGCAGCGGGAAAATGCCCGGCTTTGGGCGGGAGATGCCCAGATACGTACGGCCCGAAGCAGAGCTACGTGGCTTGGCTGGTTATGACCTACTGTACGGATACTGACGCTACTACCGGTAGTACACTACACAGTACGTAGTGAGTAGGCGGGACTCGGCACCTTCTCGCCTTCCATCGGGTACCGCGCCGGGGGACTCAAGCTTCGGGCGGGAAACGGCGCTAGTCGGGAAGGCGCATCCTCAGACGAAGAACCTCCACTTGTACGATGGACGGATATAGGTACGTACAGTACAGTACAGTACAGCACGTGCAGCCTCGCTCCTATTGGCTGCCAAATCCGCGATGAATAACCGGAGGCTCCTCTCGCCCGGAAAAGCATGCACCACCAATGTCGTACCTGTCTGCCTGAGGACGAGGGACGAGAGACCAGCCTTGGCCCGAGGCCCTGGGCCCTGTCCATCGAATTTAATCGACAATCGCCAACGGCTATTGCATGGGCACGCCACGGCTGGTTCTTGCACGCTGACACACACTCCGCCATTTGCTGGCCTCGCCAGTGGTTGAATCTGCGCAGAGGGACCACTTCCATCTCCCTGGCCCCTTGCTCTTCACGCAATCCAACTCTGCCCCGCCCTGTCTCGCTTGCGGTGAGATGGCTGATGAGATTCTGACGGTGAAGAGTGCAACTGCCAACCACCACTCGACTTCAGTCTTCAGATAAGTATAGGTACCATCACGCACGACGCTAAGCTGGGGATTGCCCGCCGCCCCCCCCCGTGGACGAAATGGACGGATCCCGCGCGCCATCTCGAATCTTTCGAATACCTAGCAGACGCACGCTAGCTCGTTCACGTTGGCTCCACATTGCGCCCCTAGTAAGGGAGCTAGCGCCAAGTCTTACCTGCCCTCCCTTGCCTTGGCTCATCTCATCAGAGAGAGTGACATGCATCCGCCTCACTGACTTGCTATGACGAGCAGGTCACCGCTGATTCACCTCGGAGCCACTTTCTCACCACACACACCTTAATTCCCTCGGAATCTGTCCACTGTCCAGCTCCTCCTTTCCGAATCTCGACCATTCCCCGCATCCATCTGTTTTCTGCTCTGCTACACCTGCAGGCCGCATCTGCCCTCGTGAGTCGTGAGGCAGCCGCCGATTTCTCCTAGCCATTTCCCGCCGCCTGTCTCGTCTCATCATTGCAGTCCAGTCATCCCACGCTCTGACTGGCAACTTTCCATCAGAGCTCCTGACCTTTCCACAGACAGGCAAGTACGGATACCTAGCACGCACATTCTTCTACCAGCAAACCATGTTGGCACATGCTGCACTTCATGCCCTGACCGACCCTGTGCTGTGCTATGCTATACCCGTCGAGCTGGTGTAGGTAGTCCAAGCCTGGTTCAGGATCAATCTGTCTCCTACTCTCCATCCCGGTTCTGCTTCTATTTTCTGTTCTAGTAAACCCGCTGTGTCAATAGTGTCCGGGGCGCCGGTTCTTGCCGACGGATGCCTGCACACATGCATTATAATATACGAAGCAGTGCTATATGGTGATTGTCCTACTTACCTAGCACTAGGCATGGTACATAGTACCAGCAGCATGGACATATCGCACCCAAAACGGCCGGCCTTGACTCGACGTCTTCTCCGTGCATGTACTAGTAGTGTGCTCGCAGGGGCCGCCCAATGGGGCTTGCGTCGAGGCAGTTGATCAAAATGAGACATTTTCCCATCGTTCCCCAGCGCTCACTCCGTCGCCGATGACAGGCCATCCTCGCCTTGCACCTCTGCCGCAATGCCGCTATTCAGGCACTGCCGTTCTGTCGCCCGTCAGCCCTTCCTTCTGCCTCGCTCTCTCTCTCCGCCTTGCCCCAAACTACGTTTCTCCTATAGCATTTTACACAGAACTTCTCCCCAAAATAACATCAATATGGCTGGCTGCTCGTGAACCTCCGCCTCTTCCATGTTTCATTCCCCGGGCTTCCTTGCATCCCCATCACGAAACATCAGACGGATTCAGGTGTCGCCGCCGGGGCCCTCCCTCATACCTAGCTCAAGCAGCTCAGGTAGCTCAGCTCTTTGTGTCTCCATGCAAGCCAAAGCAAAGCTGCCCATGGCATTTACCAGCCCGCCCTAGTCCGCATCGGCTCGACCAAAATAAAGGTGGCCCGTTGCGTTTGTTCCCCAGCAGCTAGAGTAGCGTCGATCTCCAGCAGCATCAACATGTGGATGGGCTGGTCTAGTGCAGTCAACGCACAGTCTTGCCAGCTACCTCAAACAAAACACGCCGTCGACTTCTCTCCAGGAGCTAGCACAGTTGACATTTCCCTGTTTTGCTCCTTATTCATCCGGCAACATGGCCAAAGTTTCACGGCCGAGCATGGACTCGTCGAGCTTGGTGGTGATGGTGTGGTGGTAGACATGCAAGGTGCTTCTAGTTGCTTCGTCCAACAGACAGTCGGCGGCGTGTTGTTGGTCCTCCCATCACACCACATCGTCCACATGCAAAGTACTTACCAGTCGACTTTTGAGGTCGCGTTGTGCTCAAAGGAGGAGCAGGGGGAAACCAGGAGGGCTCGTGAATCTGCAAGCCCCCGACGCTCGTCACCAGAGAACAAGCTTCAGCCCGACAGCCCTCATCCCAGACCATTTCCCTTTCTCACTCCCATTCCCTTCCTGACTCGCCTGAGGCATGGTGATGCCAAGCCTTGGGTCGGCGGCAGCGCCTCCATCATGCATCCACATGGCGAAGGGGACAGCCAAAAGCTGTGACATGCATTATATCATAAGCCGAGCGTTCATCGTGCGTTTGCTTTCTGCAAAGGTCACTGCCTCCTGTACGCCTGCTCCCACATGTTTGGCGATGAGCCGCTACAGTCAAGCTCAAGCTCAGGCTCGGGCTCAGCCTCGGGGAATCATCATGTTGCATGACTTCAGCCCAGCTACTGCGACGGTCTCTATATCTGCTGCGGTTTCCTTGGCAGTCGGGGGTGATGCGACAAGAACGACGAGATGAGGTCATGAAGGAGAGGACATGAAGATGAACCAAAATGCGGTTGCGGTTGCGCGGGCATCGCGACAATCACCCGGCCGCCCTAGGCTGATTCCGGCCTGCAATTAGCTCGCGTTTTGGGGTTTCGAAAAGCCGGCAGAGTCAAGAAGGGCAGCACACCAGGATCTGGCTCGGACTCCCCTCCCCTCTCGCCAAGAAATTTAACGGGTCTCCGGTAGACGGGCTCTCGCACAAGGCCGTCGGCTTTTGTTGGGCAACACGCAACAAAGGAAACGCTGACAAGTGGTGAGGCCTTGGTTTCTCTCCAAAAAAAAAAAAAAAAAAAAGAGTCCCCCCGCCACCTGGAGAAGTACGAAGAGAGCAGCTTGCTACTGGCGGGGATGACCATGTGCCCAGAGATGCCAGCTCCGTCCGAAGGAGAAAGGGGTTTTCATTACTACTGCTACTACAAGCTGCCCCATCTTCGCCAAGGTCCTCTTTTTTGGCCGAGAATTTAGCCATATCGAGCCGGCCGCCATAATCTCGACTCCTCTGCTGCTGGAGCAAATGTGACAATGCTGTGGGAGCTGGGCAATGGATTGCCCGTCCGGCACATGCTTCCGCTGCTGGCCCTCTTCCGTCCTTCGGCCTCTCGGCCTCTTGGTCCCTCCATCCAATTTCCTTGCCCACTCTCCACTATTTGCTTGTTGACGCACGCTGCTTTTGCCGGAGGGGGTGCATATGCGTGCTCCGGTCGACGGCGCAATGTTGGCGCACACGCAAGCAATCCTATGGGCGGTTCCGCTCTGCACCTACTCCAGCAACGGAGGGATTTTAACGTCAAACACTGACGGCAACATTTGAGGAAGAGGGGCATCAACTGCTCATTTCCCCCGAGCTGGGTACGGCCCTGCCCTCCCCCAAGAATATTGAGCGAAAGAGAGAGAGAGAGAGAGAGAGAGAGAGAGAGAGAGAGAGAGAGAGAGAGAGAGAGAGAGAGAGAGAGAGAGAGAGAGAGAGAGAGAGAGAGAGAGAGAGAGAGAGAGAGAGAGAGAGAGAGAGAGAGAGAGAGAGAGAGAGAAGAAAAATAAACTTAGTCTCATAGCAATGCCCCAGGAGACGTGTTAGTCCCAACCTTGAGCCGAGCCATCGCCGGTGTTTCCGTCCTGTTGGTGTTTATTTGTTGACATCACCACTACATGTCTCTGGCGTGATGGAGAGTTATGCCATACTTTGCGATTGGTCTTTGAACCCCCGTCGTTGACGACAGCGACCGACTCATGACAGCCTACTTCTCTCTATCTCCTTCGCTCTGAACCCGGGGGTCCGCCCAACGCGGCGTGGGATGTCTCGTCTGTCTCCTCATTCTCGCATGTGTGGTGAGTTGTCCTTCCTCCTTCTCCTGCTTTAGCCCCTCCCGTCCCTAGGGTTAAGGGGCAGCGCCATTTGTCAGTTCCGCGGCTGGCAAAGAGGACGCAGAGAGAGGCAGAGAGAGAGGACATGGCTGGCGAGCAGGCAAGCCAACACAGCAGACGCCCCCCGCGCGCGCGCGTGTCGCATCTCTTTGATCGGCGGCGCCTGCCCCTTCCCCCCGCGGCCAGCCCCCGATTCCATTTGGAAACGGGCGGCGCAGTGTATCCGTGGTCTTGTGGTAGTTATAAAGGTCCTGGATATTACATATTACCCCGCATTCCGAAGGGGGATGGTGGTGGTGGGATGTGGGATTGCGGCGCCTGCACAAGCTGTTCTGACCGTTCTGGTTGTTGTTGTTGCCGCTCTTACTCCTGCAGCATCTCACCCTCCCCTCTCGGTCTCACTCTCGAATCTTCAGGCGGCACCGGCGCGTAGTGTTGGAAATTCGTCGACTGATCAGCAGGGCAGGGGTAATCCCACGCAAGCTGTCGCCGTCGTCGAATTCGTCCTCGTAATGCTGGCGGGCGAGACACACAGGATCTGGAGAGTCAAGAGGAATTGAAGATGGATTACCAGTAGATTGACTGGCTCGGGCGAGATCTTCCGAGCCTTCTTGATTGTGCAATGTATTCCCATCTTCGAAGCACGCGGCTTGTCTACTACAACCACCCGATATCCCCCCACCAGCATCTACCACTGCACCATGTCGTCAAGCTCGACTATCCCGCAGGCTAAACAAGTTGCGAAGCCATGACAAGCGTGCTTGTTCCCATGGCCGTGCCTTTGGTGGCCGGGGGTTACTAGTTTTCATTGTCGTCGACGCCTTTCTAAGCTTTCTGGGCGGTCTGCTGTCGGTCCAAGGAGTTCGAACGGCCCCAGCCGTCCTCTCGGCGTCTCCAAGAAACCGCCGTTGTCACGTTGTGAAAATGCGACGGTTCCCTTGGCTGTGGGCTGTCCGAGAGAAGTTACAGCCAGCTGCTGCCGGCAACAGCGGTCGCGGCAAAACAACGCAGAGAGATTAGAAATGTCTCCCTCGCAATCTGTTCTCATTACACCCCACGACTCGGTCGCCGCTATACTATCTCGATCCAGTTGGAGGAGCGGGAGCCTTCTTGTTTGAAGTTGTGATTCTCAGACAGTGAGCTCCGACACGTTGGAAGCATAAGCTGCGCTACTCTACCCCCCCTTCATCCTCCCCCAAATTTTGCGCTTCCGAAGCGGTGATGGGGCATAGAAAGCGGCCTAAGGAGGGTGAAAGGCTGTCTCGGGAGGCTGCATTGGGACACTGACTCTCGCTTTGGTGCACACCCGGAAGGATGGGGATGGGGATGGGGCTGAATCCAGCCACGCCCATTCGAACCAGCTAGTCAAACCCGTCCAGCTCCCTCGTGCATTAACTTTTTGGCTTTCTTGGGTTTACGGTTGTGAGCTAACAGTAGAAGCTGCCGGACTGTGGAAGGGGGGTGGTGAGGAGGAGAGCAATTGATCTTCGTTGTAAACTTTGTGTCACAGGGCCAGTCCGGTCACAGTCTGAAGTCTCTCTGGTTTTGCTTTCCGTCTAATTCAGGGTCTCACTTTGCCTTCGACAGAAGGAGGGAGAGGCTGGTCCACGAGGGAGGGATTCAAGGAGAAAACTCGGGAAGGCTGTCGCGAAGGGGGTAGGCTGTTCGCAGGCCGCATGCTTGAGCCTAAACGTGTTATTTTTTTCGCATCGCGACAAATCAATGCTGAGTGATGTCGTGTCATCAACCACTCTCGCGCCTGTCTGTGCCTTGTCATCATCCCCCTTCCGCGGTGGGTAAGGTGACGACGGCATCACCGCCGCAAGGCGAGTTTCTCCCTTTTCCTGCGCCCGGGAGTCTCGGGCCAGAGACGAGATCTCGGGGCATCAAAGCTTGTCGCATACAAGACGTGCGAGATGCGGGTGGTTGGTTTCCTCTTCCATCGAACATGTGGTGGCCCTGCTCCCCTTCGCCCCCTTTTTGTCTTCCCCCCCCCCCTTCCTCCGTGCGTTGCATCGCCTTCGTCCGATATCGAAAGCTTACCATCGTCAAGTCTCGCTTCCTTCCAGAACTTTCAGAGAAGGCACCTTGTCTCCGCCGGCGACTAGCGGTGAGCACGCGAGCCGGCGAGCCTCATGCCTTCCCTTACTTTCGCCCTTCCCACCACCCTTCGGTAGCCGGGTGCCGTACGGCCCGTCGTCGCGAGTCGTGGGCTGTGAGCGTGACCTTCCCCCTTGACGTTTCAAGAACCGCGGGTTTTCTTTATCCGCGGGGAATTTCTCGTACCTCCTTGATGGAGGGGGGGCGACGGCAATGGCGGCCGTTTTGCTTGTAACCGTTATGCTCGACTCATTCGGGTTACTCGCCTTCTCCCGGTCTGCTCAAGTCGATCCAGTCAATCATTTGGCTGATGATCGTCTGTTCGATTTGCGGATCGTGAGGGGAAGGGGCCCAGCAGGCTTCGGTGGCAAGTAAACAACGCTACTAGTTATTATTAGCTTAATATTTCGTTTCGAAAAGAGGAAAAAAAAAAGATTAGACAAAGTGGGAGAGGCAACACCTACCAAGGACGTCACCCGAGATGTAATTTTTATTTTATTTTATTTTTTGCACATAATACCTTGGAGTACCTGGGAAATCTATATTTCTCATTTGTCCATTAATAGATCTGCGGTGTATACATATGCCATATCATATGCCCAAGGATGAAATTCTGGGAGGTGGCGGTCCACGATAGCGATGGGTTAATTTTACTAGCCACGAATACCAAAAGACAAGCGCGACTGCCAAAAGTGGCGGCTTGATTACGGTATCGAGGAACAAGCAACTTGCAAGCGACTGATTGGCCATAGGTGCAGATGATCCTCGGCCACAGGGTGGCTATGAATGGCTAAGGAGCTACGTATCAGGCTGACATTCGTCAAGCCACCGGGGGTGTAGTAGAGGCGCATCTCTGCAAGAGACAAACGGGGAAGAAGCTTAGACCGTATCGGCTACCTATGATGCCCATCACAACGTGGGGAGCTCCAATTTGGAACATCTGATGTGAGACGGGCGGTGATCCTGAGAAGGAGGTAGGGGATATCAATTTCCCTTTTCGGGTGCTTTGGCATGATGTGCCGTGTGTCGTCGGATTTCATGTCTTTTGCGATTGTTCCCGATTTACTTCTTCTATAAGCCGTGTAGCTTATGACTCGTGACTAACCAAGGGTAATTATCATGCATCTAAGTCAGGGTAAGCCAAGTTGAGTGGTCGCAAGAGGAAGTGTCACCTGATACGCATGAAGGTTGATGTGGAGTTATGATGACTGATGACTGCTGACCTGTCTTGATATTAGTCGGCTCGAGGCGGTGTATGGCCTGACGTGGCTCAACTCACCAGCCTTTTGTTCCACTGTGGGCGAGTTGATCTGCCCGCGTAGTTGTTGGCTTCATATGGACTGGGTCTTCTTAACGAACAGCCCCTGTTCCCCATTTGCAACACGTGAACGCAACCGCTAGTAATTCAAAGAAGGTAATTCGGGTTTTGGCTACTTACCCTGTGGCTTGGAATAGCGCTTGTGGTGAGAGTATCTGCGTATGCGTATGTTACATGTATTCTTGAATGACTTCGCGGATGTCTATGGCTCACAGACCTCGTCGTTCAGTATCTCTTCAATATATTTCTACTAAAATGGTTAACAATAAGGCCATGATTCTAGTTGTTGTTCCAGCCTTCGTTGTTATTTTTGGTTTGAACAGTTCTTGCCGCTATTTGACCACGAACGCCCCATAGCCGTATTATTAGCAGTCGCTCGTGGTGGCATAAGTCTGCTGGAATACTTATCACGAGCTCGACTGGCCCGATACTCTGATAATCAACTAGTTTTCACCATCGTTACCTTCGAAACGTGACCGTAGGAGACTCTCGCAAGCGTGCGTTTGTGTTGATGCATCTCAAGCCGTACGTAGCCAAGCGGTGGCAAGGTCGCTATCTTACATTACCTCGCAGTATCAGCAGGCCTTGCTTGAACACATTTGGCCAAATGGACAAATATGACTGATAATCAAGTCGGTGTATTCATCAGTGATTAACATCTACAATGCCAGGCAGCTTGATTCTTGCCAGCGGTAAAACCATTATAATCAGGGGATCATTATGGACTTAAAACTATAAGTCATAACTTCTGATACGGGCGTACTTATGCTTCAATAAGACGAACTCCTGAATAATCTAGTGGCGCATAAGCCAAGGGCGTTTAATGAGGTCGCCAAACGCTTTCCAGGGCAGTAACTCTCCCAAACACGTTTTTGAAGTCTTTGGGCCTGGGCCATGGATGAAGGGTTCAAGAGGTACATGTCAGAGCCGTATTTGGTGTAACAGTCTTTGAAGGCTCCAATAATGTCGATGGCTAGATTACTGTTTTACGTTGCCCCCCCCCAGCCCGATGAGTAGCCGTCACTATCTGTAGATCTTGTCCATGTTTCGAATACTACGACAATTTTCGCGGTTTTCGCCTAGCCTGATACAAATTGCATCAATCCAGAAAGCATTTGACCCCAGCGAACTGCCAAACTTCTTTAGAAGCGCCTCGCTGTTTGACGTAATTGAGGACCTTCGCTACGCGGTATGTATGAACTCAGCAACAGTAAAGTCAAGCTCAGTTGATCGCAAGGTGAGAATAGAGAACCTATCTGCATTCAGCATGAAATAGGACGTAGGCTTTAGAGCTGTGAGTAGTCCTAAGGCGTTTTTATAAGACGATCAAGTAAGACACACCAGTCTTGTGACCTTGCTGAGGGACTAACTATGGCTCTCTGAAGACGTGGCCAGACAATTTGTGACCCGGCCTGAGCTGAGCCTGAGTATCTGGTGGCATAGCAAGTGCTGAGCAAGGTAAATATGTTTCCCTCGATACCTTCGGGGCGTGCTAAGACGTGAGATGTGTCATCGGCGGCGACGACATGAGCCCTAAAAACTCCAGTAAGACAAACTTTCAGTTTATACAACAACTCTAGAATCAATAGGCACAGACTTGGTATAAGTAGCTTTGGCCAGCCCTCATCATCTGCGGGCTCGACAACCTTGGCTGTAATCCAACAGGGTAGCATGACCACAGTCTCATCATGGTCTTCGGCACTGCCCCAGTCCTATCAGTCCGCTACTGCAAGCCTGAATCCGTGTGAGAAGACGTTGTCGGGCGCCACAATTGCGAGACCACCTGACGTCGCTCTCCTTCCGAACGGCCGGGTTGAGGTTCTTGTACGTGTCAATGAGGAACAGCAGGTGGGCGCGCCACAGGCCGTGAGGCATGTCCTCGACGTAATTGAAGGAGGCCTTGTCAATCTCGAAGGCTTTGGACTGCTGGTCGTCCAAGGGCTCGATGTAGTGGGACGCACCGTGTCCATTCCACGAGATAATCTGGAAGAACACGAGCTTGACATTCCAGACGTGCTGCTAGCGATCATACTGCGTTTGCAGGCGTATTGGTGGATGGGTACCCAGGACTGAGGGCTGGCAAACACGCCCTATGGTTCGTGGCGGATGATTCATTTATGCATAGATTATCTCCCCGCAAGGCTCAGTTCTTGTTATAGCCGGGGAGGCTGGTATACATTGTGGCCGTAGGGCCTTTGCTGGGCGAGTATACCATGAAATGTGCAAAGGCGGCCGTGGCAGCCACCTGTGCCGGCGCCTGAAGCACGGCCAGAACAGAGGGGCTTCATGGCCGAAGAAGAGAACTCACTACTAAACAAAGACGAGATCTTGATGGCTATATCGATGCCAGGATGTTGAGCGAGTGATGGCGGCGGACTTCATATGCTGCCCTGGCATCACATAGACCGGGGTCCGATTTCATCTTCGCGAAGACGACAGGTCTTATCCCGCCAGAGTGTCACAACGATGGCCACTAACACCGGTTGCAAGGCCCCCGGTGACAGGCATAAGAACGTTTAGCACGCTGGAAGTGTAAGAAGGTAGGTAAGAAGACCAGGGGTTCAAGCCCAGGCGTCTCGAGTTTCCAGTCTCGCGGCACAACAACACACCTACTTAAACGCCTACCTACACGGCGCGCCAAGTCCGAACGGAAGGACAGAAATTTCAGATCTTTCACGGGACATTGTGTAAATGGCTGCTTTCTGATGAAAATGAGAGCGCGCCGGCGCCGACGTCCAGGTCGCGATCGGTTAGTGAGAATATAGGACGGGTTTTGATCCCTCGCTTGCTGCGGTCTAGCTCACGTTTACCGTGCTCATCATCCAAGGGTCGATAGCTGGGCAGCCGGTCAGAACCCCTGGCTGGAAGATGAGCCACAGCAGACGCACGGGATTCCTTGAGGCGTGATCTCCAGCGGCATGCACATGGGGCGACTTTAAAAGCGCTCGGCGCATGTTTGTCAGGTGGGACGGCAAAAACTATGTAGACGAGACTTTGCCGCAGGCCAAGCGGTCTTTGGGTGGGGCAGCTGGTGACGAGTGGCTGTCTTCGTCGGCGTCGTCTGGATAAGCTCACATTATGTAATTCCAAGGCGGGCCCGTGCTCTCTGCCGTCTTGTTCTGTCCTGCCAGGGTTTAGAGCCCATCCCTCGTATGTCGGGACCCTTTTATCAAGATTAGGTGACCTGGCCCTAGCACCCAGTGCTGTAAGGGCTGCCCTTCACACTTCTTGTATTTTATTCGCCTTGCCTTGCCGCCGTAGCATGTTGCGCTGACATACAGCTAGTAAGCACCCCCTAGTGTAGCTAAGGGATCTCAAACCCAAGTTAGGAGGGGGTGATGGAGGGCAGTTGACTAATACAACTGAAGAGATTCGGTATATCTGATTCCGATTATGCCAAGTCTTCGCCCTCGCCAATCTGCCTACCTTAGCCACTGGGTGAACTCCTCTTGTCTAAACCTGGGCATCTCTTCTTTTCTCCTTTGCCCCTTTCCTCCGCCTGCCTTCTCTTCCTCTGCTTGCCCCTCAACACCTCTGTCTCCCTCTTCTCCACATCGCCCTACGCTTGGTGCTTCCGTGTAACGTTCACAGCCCTCTGATATAACCGGCATCTATCTCAGCAGATAGACACACTCGCAACCCCCTGTCCGAAGCAATGGTGGTGCCAAAGTGGCTCAGTATGTGTGTTGCTCTCCTCTAGTCCTACACCAGCCGTCCGCCCCGTCGTTGACCTGAGTGCTTTTGCTCCACGCATACAGCATCCTCCTCGTCCTGAGCTTCGCCTCTTTTTCGTCCCAGCTTCTCCGACTCTGGGCCCGCCGCGATGGCAACGGTATCTCCCACCCCCGTCCTACTTTCTATTTGCTCCCATTTCCTTATCCAACCTGACGTGAACCTGTTTCATGTCTTCGAGCGCCACACATCCGTTGACCGAAGCTGGCACTCCATCCCTCCAGATTCGTTGCCTGCCTCACTCACCCGTCCAGCCACAAGTCACCACGCCCCTAAGCCCCTCTCTCTCAATCTACATATTCTTCCTGCTCTTCTCTGTCGCCCCCTTCGCGGGCGACGTCCTCGCCAACGACCTGTATGACAAAGACCACCGCTGGGCCGTGGCTCTCTTCAGCTACATGTACGCGTCCCTGGTCAACCCCGCAACCCCCCTTGTCGGCGCCGCCGTCCTCTACTTCCAGGCCGGCAAGGTTCTCGCGTAGCCGCCCAGCTCGGGCTCCGGCGGACTGGCGCGTGGTCAAGGCGTGGTATCGGTATGTCGGCTGTGTGGTAGCAGACAGTCTCATTTTCGCCGTCATCTAGGCCGCTGTTCTCTGGCTAGCGATGCGCCGTGAGCTCGACTGCACGCTTGCAGGGTGGATGGAGCCCTTGCTGGCGAACTAACCAGGTCATTCATGGTCTTCCTCGGTACAGTCTAGCAGTGTTTTGTAAATGGTGACTAACGCGGCTCAATACTTCTGGCAGAGACGAGCGAAACCTCAAGCGACTTTGGCGTGAGGTTTGCTTAAAAAATACTCGCCGACCGTAAATTTATGAAGGTTTCTTTTCTTTGTTATTTTACTTTTATTTATTTCTACCAAGTCTGTCGTTGACGATACATGCTCGTATTTCATGCCATTTGTCGATTTTGTATACACAGATATTCAAAGAAAAGAAAATGCGGTAGGAACGTACTCAACGGGTAGCAGTTAGGGCAACACTATACAGACAACGACTATTATAACAAGTATGAGCAGACTTGATAGACCTTATTATGGAAGACACTTTACTACATAGAAACAAGCTACTTTCAGTCCTATGAAAAGCACCAAGGTAGTCATGTTTCGTGATACCATAGCTATAGGGCGTGCGAAAGGTGCATTGGTGCTATGTCATTGTGGAGTTCAGATCGTTGTAAGCAGACTAAAGGTCCTCGACTAGATGAATATACTATTACTGAAGTAAAATTATGGGGCAATGAATTCTTATTGTAGCAAAGGGTTCAGTGCCGAAAACGGGGCTGCACCGTGCACGGCGCTCCGGTCATGTGCCCATAGGCGTGACCAAAGTTTCTCCCGCTAGCCGAATCGCGAATGGACTCAGCCGAAAGATTCCTGCCAGCGACCTCACCCGAGCTGCCTCAAGCATCACATCCCATTGCCAGCTCAGCCCATCATGAACTCTTTCCGCTTCGCGCGTGCGGCTCTCAGAGCTCGCCCTGCTGCCATTCGCGCTCCCCTTCAGCGCAGAACTTACGCAGATGCCGTCCCGGACAAGGCAAGCACCGCGCTGCATCCTCCGAGCTGGCCCTCGAACTTCCGCTGACGGTTTGCAGATCAAGCTGAGCCTGTCGCTCCCTCACCAGGTACGAACCCGATGATTTCCGAGCCCATTGAGCGACACACGAGCCGACGATGACGACTCGCTACAACGGGGAGCCAATTGAAGGACCGGAGCTAATTGCCGCAACCGCAGTCTATCTACAAGTCCCAGGATGTTGTGCAGGTCAACATCCCCGCCGAGTCCGGCGAGATGGGTGTTCTCGCCAACCACGTTCCCTCAATTGAGCAGCTCAAGTCTGGCCTGGTTGAGATCATCGAGGAGAGCGGTCCCAGCAAGCAGTTCTTCCGTACGTCGCATCACAACAAACTTTCCAAGGGATGTCAAGCATGAGAAAACTGACGGGGAATGCCCACCTACAGTGTCCGGCGGTTTCGCCGTTGTCCAGCCCAACTCCGTCCTTAGCATCAACGCCACCGAGGGATACCCCATCGAGGACTTCAGCGCCGAGGCTGTCAAGTCTCAGATTGCCGAGGCCCAGAAGGTTGCCTCCGGCAGCGGAAGCGAGCAAGACATCGCCGAGGCCAAAATTGAGTTGGAGGTTAGTGTTCACGAAATTGAAGGTGCATGCTCGAGCTGCTAATGTTTGTTTCCTAGGTTCTCGAGAGCCTGCAGGCTGCTCTGAAATAGAGTGTAAAAGAAGGTCGTGGGTGACATGACGTTGTACATCAAAATACTCGGATTCCCTATCTCATCTAACATCGCATAATTGAATCCACTTGCGACGTTTTCCAGCGTTCCTTCGCTCTCCAGCAGTACCCCGTGCATGCCGTGCATCCTGCTAAACGTATGGGCGGTCCTTTCCTCGTGTGACAGGAGTAATGCTGCCAGGTCCTCGGCTGGTCCTGTCTCCTTTCCGTGCTGCGGTCCCTGCCTGGCCTCTGCCTTCTGACTCCCCCAAAATGTATTGATCCTGACCTCTCTCGAGGCAATCCTACTACCCTAGGTAATGTTCCGCATCGCCCATCACCCAGCATCGTTTGTCGTACGTCCGTGGCCCATCCATTACAGTACCATTTTACGCTTACCCCAGCATCGTGCGACATTTCATAATTACTACCCAATGTCTCCTGATATGGAAGATCCTTTCGTTGACACTTATCGTCCTCCCGATGTCAATACTGTCATTACGCTGCCTGACGATGGCGACATCCCAGATGGTTTAGTATCTGCAAGACGTCAGAAGTTCGCGAGGCAACCCTCCGTTTGCGTATCAGACCGCAAGCCATCACCGCCAGACGCGAGAGAACGCGAGAGTACTTGGTTCGGCTAGGGTCAGCGGACCAACAAAATCTTTGCGAGGCCGGCGACACGCAGCACACTGATTGCCGAATCTCGAGCACCGTCTCAAGGCCATTCATTTATGGGCTTGGTACCAGACGAATGCTCTCAACGAAGTAGTCTAGGTGTCACGTCCGCGTTGCGTCGGCAGCACTCCGTCTTCCTGACACCCACTAGGAAGGCAGCTCTGGGGCGTCTACAGATTCTCCAGACCGCCTCGACAGGGCGTCTCCGATCACGGCCCAGCAAGACACAGAATCAGCTTGCCACGAGGCCTACACTCTCAATGAGGCCCCTATCACATCCAGAACAATATCGTCTTTTCTCTAACCAGTCTGCTTCCTCGGATTACTCTCGGGGGACTGAGCGTACCTCGTCAACTATTCGGAGACGTCATGCTCGGGACATCTTTGCAGAGTTTGGCATTTCTCGCCCATCCGGATGGCTCTCTGATGACGAAGGAGAGGACTTCTCGCGTCACCAAGATGGGGCCAACAGCATTCCCCGCCACGCATTCAATACATGCCATTCATGCGGAGTCGAAGTTACATCTCGAACCTATTGCAGCACGTGTGGACATGCGGTTTGCCCGCAATGTGCGAGTGAGATACCAGACGACGAGGTGTCACTTGGCGCTGAGCACGTAGAAAGCACGCAGCAGAGCGCCTTGACGAGCGAACAGCTCACATTGAACGCGATCGAAGAGCGCAGTCGATCGTCACCTCCATTGGAAGTCAAGGAAATTTTCAAGAGCAGACCCGCGTCCACTTCAGCTATCCTCAAGGATAACCCCTTCATCCGTGCAGACAGAAAGATGAAAACCACTGCGGCAGTGCCTCAGATAACTAATACAGCAGCCCGGGCGGGCCAGGCATCGAGGCTATCAGATTGCGTACCTAAACAGGCTGACCTGAGCATCGTGGACACACACGGAGACTATGAGAACCCCGGATGCAATGCCACTCATGCTGGCCATCATTCTGACCTCTACAACGTTACATACATCATGAAGCAGCAGGCCAATGCAGAAAACATGGGCGACTCGGACCAGTTGCTTCCACATCGTTCGTCGGCCGACCCAGTCCAGGACAGGATTGACAAGATGTACCACCACGCCGAAGATCTGAAGCGTGCTCAGCACATCATGGAGCACCTTGCCGCAGGTTTCATTCCGACGAAGGGAGCTACCCATGTCCCCCGCGATAATGTCTTGAAGGCAACTAGAGCATCGACACCTTCCATGGAAAACATACTGTCAAAGGCCGGCAGCGCCGGCCTCAATCGAGAAAAACTAGTGAGCCTGGACATGGCGATGACCACGGACAAAAAGTACACCAGAGCTTAGAAGGCCCATGATCTGGAAAGGTCGCGGTCCTTTGATGTGGATCCGGTCAAGAAGAAAAGCTCGGATTCTACGCCTGTACGTGCAGCGAGACAACTTTCTCGTTCGCCGTCTTGGTTGAAAAGTCCCGGCCAGGCGAAGAATAGACTGGCTTCAATAGCGAGCAAAAGTACGCCTCAAATGAATAACTCGAACAGAAATAGTTCTGCGGCTATGTCCCCATTAGAACCAGAGATACACAGCCCTCCAGCATCTGCGGTCTCACTTCAAAGCACCAAAAGCAGTAGCCAGCTATCACAAAACCAGATCACACAGTATGGTTCTCCGACAAGTCAGCAGAAAATTCAGTGGCCGAAGTTGAAAAAAGTGGTCCAAAAGACAACACTCGAAGCGGACAAGGAGCCATTGCCGTGGATGAGAAAACAGTTGCGTCGGGTGCAGAAGGAGGAAAACATGTCCCTGCAAGTTCGGAAACAGAAGTCATCCGACGTTGAGTCTTGGAGATCGCAGCTTCGGAAGACCCAAGCGTTGGATGATGATTCCCCCGGAGAACAGCACGGCGGGGACGAAAACTACGGCGACCGCAAGCGAGCTGATACCTGCCTGACTTGTCGTCATGAGACGCCTTCGCCATTACCATCCCTTGCTAATGCTGTTGAACCCACTCCGGATGTTTCCACGGAGGCGTCAGATGCGGCAGGCGACACTGGACAACAGGATCACAATGAACAGTCGTACAGGTTGAAGCCGAAGCGTCTAGAGGAGATACGAATTTCGAACTCCTCGAAATCGACGTCGGAAACCTTGCAAATGACGAAGGCGGAATCGGGTACTGTCACCCACGTTTCCCAGACTAGCGAGGCTGTCCCTTCCGATTTGGAATCGGTTCCAGCCGAAGAGGCACTTGTCGACAGCGTTGAGCAATCCAGTGTTGAGCCACCCCGGAGCTGCACTGACGATGTCGAGGTCTTTAGCCCAATGCCCATCATGCCGCCCAACCACACGTGCTCCTGGAAGGAACGGTACTTGAACTTGACGGCCGAAGTGCGGCAGCTGAAGGCGGAGATTGTGTCCCAGGAACAACATAAATCGCCCGGGCGCGTTGATGTTGAGACTAACGCCAGCCAGAGCGACAATGACCTAGGTGTCGAGGGGCTTACCATAGTCATGCACCTGAAGGGCAAAGACGACCTCATCATCAAAACTGACTTGACTCAGGCGTCTTCCGATGTATAAAATTTGAGAGGACGCTGGGGTTCAAATTGCCGTTGGAGTAGACTAGGCAGGATGGGCAGGACTATCGCAACGATGACACAAGCATGTGTTAGACAACGAGTAACTGAATAGATTGGTTTCATTGCTATCCTCATGGCCCCCATCGGGGTGCAATGTGCCGCAGACAACACCCAAGAATTGGCATCAACCCAACCATCGCGATGATTGCATGACTACCCTGCCCTGGTTCTCTGCCGAGAGACCCGGCATGACTGCTCCAAGTTGCCCCCCCGTCCTGGGACCGATCAGAGATCAGGCAAAGTCTAAATCATCAAGCCACCAGAAAGCGGTAGTTCCAAAGCTCCTCGTCATAAAGCGTCTCTCGCAAACGAAGTCATGTAAATAAACCAATGTGAAACGGCATTCAACAAGAAATGCTAGCCTGCGCGCCATGTTCATCTACGCATCATGCCGAACATCTAGTTCCTCGAGACCCCGCAGGCCGCAAATGTAGGCCGATAAAGCGGAGGGAGGAAATGTAAGTGCTTTCGGTCTATAGGGTATCAAGAAATGGCCCCTCGCGAGTCTACCTACCCGTACCCAACCATGCAAATTCGTTGTTTGGAGCCCTCTCGTAACGGAGACGTTGATGCGTGTTCATCTGAGAATGCCCTCCCTGTTCAAGGAAGATTCTAGTGAGCTGGCTCGTCTGATACTGTAGCTCTCAGTCTTTTGCAGAGTATGCATGCCTCATAGGGACGAGACGGTATCCGTGGCAGCGTCGGTGCCGGTGGTCTTCGCGGAAGTAGCGTCGTGAGCAACCTTCGAAAGTCTGCCCTGAGCCTTCTCAGAGAGGCTGATGAGCTCCTCCAACATGAGATCTCGCGTCTTCTGGGTAAGCTCGTCGACATCGGCGGCGGTCAGGCCAGTCGTGGGGATCGGGTCGAGAACTGCGTCAAGACGAGTTAGCATAAGCCTAAACCTTTTCTGGATCACGATGGAAACCAGTTCTTACCCTTGACGGGGATCTTGCCAGAGTTGAAGACAAGGCCCTTGAGCCAGAGAACGTGGCTGTAGTTGGCGACGACGCAAGGAACGATGGGCACGCCGGCCTGAACAGCGAGGTGGAAGGCGCCCTTCTTGAATGGCAGCAGTACAGGGTCCTTTGCGTAGCTACGAGTGCCCTCGGGGAACATGTAGACGCTCTGGTTCCTCTTACGAATCTGATCCGCAGCACCAGACATGACATCCCTGGCATCCTTTGTGTTCTTGCGATCGATGAAGATGGAACCGCTCAGGGTCATGAACCAGCCGAGGATGGGCGTCTTCTTGAGCGAGGCCTTCGCGGTGACGCTGCAGTATTTGGGGAACATGGCGCCCAGCATGAGAACATCGAGCTCGGTCTGGTGGTTGCCGACGAAGACGGCCGGGCGGGTATTGTTGAGGACGTTGTTGGGATCGATGACCTCAAAGGTGATGCCTGTCGTCAGGGCCATGAGATAGCTGAAAGCGCGGCCGGCCATCCACTGCGCGATGCCCTGCTCGCCAATGAGACGCAAAAAGATGGAGGCGAAGACACCCCAGCCAGCCGCCAACACCAGCGAGATGTAGGAGGCGAGGACGCGGGCGGCGAAGGCGGCCTTTGGAACGACGAAGGACAACATGTAGAGGGCGACGACGAGGGCGGCGTAACCCTTGAAAAAGGAGAAGATGTAGCCCAGAAAAGACGACATGGCTGCTGGTAAGTATGCGCCTGGTCGGTGCGGCGGCAGCTGGCGTAAAAAGGGTACAGGCGCGCGGAAGCTTGGAGAAAGAGATGATAGTCAGAACGGCGGGCGTTTAGCTTCTTTGGGGGGCGGTGGCGGAGGGGCGCGCCTCGAGCAGATATGTTGAGGAGGGAGCTTCGAACGCGGGGTTTAGGCAGTGGAACGAAGGATCGTCACAAGGGCGAGGCGGAACGACACAACAAGCCAGAGAGGGAGAGATGGAGAAGGGGGAGATGGAAAGAGAAGGCGGAAAGGCTACAGCTTCCGAAGACACATGTTACGGGGGGGAGAGCGTAATGTGTGAGTTGGAGGTGTGTCTCAGGGAGGAAATATTGACGAGACTGGGGGCCAATGACGATGTAAGGGATCAATCGGTGCTGGCAAGCAGGCTTTCCGATGAGCAGCAAGTAGTACCTTGCGGCAGCGGCCAGAGGAAGGAGAAATGGAAACGTGACAGCAACCGCACACCACACCGCACCATACCATACCACAAGCTAGGCGCCGACCATGGCCCCGGTCGTCAGTCATGGGTCGTGAACTGGGTCGTAGAACCCAGCAAGGTCGAGGTGTGGGGTTTTCCTCGTGCTCGTTCGTCCCAGAGATTTTTTTATTTTATTTTTTGGTGGGATGACTTGAGGGAGAGGAGGGGAAGCTAATGCCCCTCAAGCTCAGGTCGTTGGGGGAAGAGCCAGCCCACGCATAGGTAATAACGGCTGAGTGAAGGCGGCTTGCCGACGCCGGCCGCTGTGTCTGCGGCCGATTGTGCAGTATTCCATGAGTGCGCAGCAAGGTTTACCCAGGTAGGTATGTAACTGTGCGGTTGAAAAGGAACATCTTCGGGCCAACTTCCCCCAAATTCGGCACAGACCGTTATGGGCGCTAGGCTACATTGAGTCCTGTCGACAGGTCTCTAGCACATGTCATTATGCCGTCTTATGTATACCATGTGCTGGCTACGCGAGCAGACGAGCGGACGAACGGGACACCTGACGAGGGAGGGAGGGAGAGGCGGGTAAAGACAGACACTAGCGCACCAAGCATAGATAGATCTTGAGACGACTCTTTGTAAGCCCACGTACGGATAGTTTGTTTTTCTTTTGTGAGCGGAGGTTGGCTTGCTGGTACTGTTGGGGAGCTATGCCAGGACCAGACGGGAGGCTAAGGTAGGTTAGTTAGCGTACCTACAAGAAGACAAAACTTTTGGCTAGTGCACATGGCACGTGTAAAAGCAAAAATGAAAGAAAAGTTGCGAATGCTGGGGAAAGACGACGGCACCTTCCTTTATCCGTCTCCCTGACAGGATTTTAGTGCACTACCTACCTACCTACTCAGCCTAGGTAGTCGTGCACAAAACCTAAGGCCACTGTATCCTAGCTAGGTTAGTCAGCATTGCTGCTCTTGCTTAGGCTTATAGCACCTATGCTTAACGTACACGCATAGTGAGCTGCGCATCATAGTGAGCTGCGCAGGTCCTTATTGCATAGAACCCCCCCCTTTTTTTTTTAACTATTTATAAAACCTAATTCTTATCTATGATAGATGCAACTTTGTATATAGGTGCCGATAAGGGTTAGAAGTTAAGAAAAAAGATTTGAATGATAGGTAATAAAAAGAAGTGCGGTTCAATAGCATTGCACTCTGATGCTGCGAAGAGGCATATACTAAAAGTCGAATTCTCTTCAAGCCTCAGTTAGGGCTATTCGAATCACTCCACCCTAAGCTCCTAGACAACCACATTGTATAACATGTCTAGTTGTCAACCTCATCTATTGAACTGTTTGCATCCTGAGGTATAGATTCCCGAGTATCATCCGATTCCTCTTTAAACCATTCATCCTCAAGAATCTCCCCCACTGTCGGCCTATCCCGAGGGTCTAGTTTCAATATACGCCTTATGAAATCATTATCAGCAGAAGGGATCTTCTTCGTCGACCACTGTTGAAGTGGCTTTTGCGGAGGTCCTTGCCGATTAAGGAAGTGGATAACCTCGAAGGATTCGGGGTCAAGGATCTCGGCAATTGATGGTGGGAACGGGCCAAGTGCGTGGTACATTCTCTTTAGAACTGTGATCTCGTAGTCCTGATGTTCTGGTTTAATTCCTTCCCAGCCAGGATCAAAGTGGTGGTAACCACCTCCATGCACAAGGCTGAGGATCTAAGGACAGGTAAGTTAAAGGACATAAGAGTTTTTTAGGACACATACTGCATTTCCGAATGACCAGACGTCAGTTGATGTACCCCAGGAAAGCTGTAATAGAGCTTCTGGGCTACGTGTAAAGGTAGCACCAATGGGATGGCCCTCTCTAGCGAAGCTTGAGTCTTTGGAGACTACACCCCCACAGTCACCAAGCTGAATTTCTGAGAAGCGCTGCTTGTTTTGACCATAGTTGACAAAAACGTTGTCTAGTTTCAAATCTGTATTTTGAGAAGCATGTAAGAATCTAGAAAGTCTAGGTAAGATAAGAGCCTTATAACATACCTGTATGGACCATTCCATCCTTATGGAGGATAAGGAGGGCCTTAAGAATACACTGAGCTACTTGCTTGATTTCAGGGCGCGTTAATCGCTTCTTCTTTGATTCAGTAAGAAGTTCACTGTCCAAATGCCTTAGAATAAGGGACGGTGGATCGGTAGGCCTTATAATCTCATCAATAATAGGGCGAAGAAATGGGGTTTTCGACTGGTAGCGTTCGAGAACATTGGCTTCGTTCTGTAGGCGCCAATGGCCGCGAACGCTCTTAACAATACATTTGCTTTCGTTTTGATCCAGTATCAAATTAAAAGGAGTTCGTGGGCAAGACAAGCAAACACGAGGTGGGGCGGTTACAGTGAGGTCATACCTGGCTAGATATACAGCACCTTCGTCTACAGCCCTGTAGAGTTCCTTGACGATGGTGTAGGTTGATTTGCGTCCTTTAAGAACCTGATCGATACTGAAAAACAGCGGCATTGAAGTACGAGCAACAGCAATCTTACCGGCGACTGGACTTGACCTGTCTTGAGGCGCAATGTTTTGTTCCATGGATGTACTGTTGAGTGTGCCGGTCGGGGAATCAAGTGGCCGCCGCCTCGTGATTGGCCATATAAATGCGGGTCACGTTGGCGAATGCATGGGAAAACCTGGCGAACTGTCACCTGACGCCACATGAGTAAACACATCGAAAAGAGCAAGAGTACAGACTTGCAAATCCGGTGTCTGCTTTTTACAAGTAAGGAATCTTCCTTGAGCACATACCATTAGTATTAGCGCCTATACTTAGTGCTCAGGAATGAGTTGTTGGGTGTATTTCAAGTTCCAAGAAAAAGACCTCTTTCTCCGTCCACGAAAGGGTCTGGTATTTAGGCGTCTATATCGGATCAAGATGATCTTACTAGATGCGGGCTAGCTTGAAATGCGACCCAAATGCTGCAGCTGCAGCAGTGTTCGTGGAATAAATACACTTGTATTACGCGTAATAAGTAGTTCCGGTGGTACCTGTCTTCCACGGTGCTTCCAGCCTATGCGGCAGAGCGGCAGAGCGGCACGCCACCGCATAGAAGATGGTTATGGCCGGATCTGCCGCTACCTCCGAGTCCATCACAGCTGGGTATGGCTTGGCGGAGAAAGGTCCTGATGTATTCTTGCCCGTGTGCTTGTGAATACCATAGCGTTTGCCCCGGGTCTCGGTGTTACCGTACGGGCCGTACCGTGGCTGCGTTTCGGGAGGAGATCAACGAAGGGAGCTATTGTTGTTGTTGTTGTTCGACCCAGCGGCGAGTTGCTGAAGGTCCACAAATACTTTGCTGGGTTCCTTTTTTTCTTCTTTTCTCGCAAGACTTTAGTTGTCGAGCTTGGCGCTTGAATAGCCCCCAATCCATGATATCATGTATTCTCATCCTAGATTATTGTCGTTGTTGTTGTTGTTGTTGTTACATTCAACGCCTGGGAATTCAGGGCAAAGGGCGCCCAAGTTGAAAGTAATTAAATACTCTAAGCCTATTTATATAAATCTTGCTGCAAATGTGCCTACAGATCCCTTTTACTCCATCTTTTGGGATTTGTATTCTTGTGTTTCCGTGCTGTCGAGGTACGAATTGCTCCAGCGGCTGGAATCGTGTTATGAGGCAACTACACCGTTAGAGTGGTTCTGTGTAGCGCAAGCTAGGATCAACGGCTATCTAACAGTCCTGTGATAAAACCTATCTATTATATAGAAATGACAATGGGACCCTCTTCCTTCCTCTTCTCTTTCCCCACATGTCGCCTTAAAGGATGTGGCAGGACCCGCGCCAGACACAGACAAAAATGCTTCCGAGCAAGTCACTCAACCCGCCTTGCGTGGTGTCTCGGAGCCAAAAATGTCTGTCGCCAGTAGCTGCAATATTCGTGATGGCTAAGCCAGACATCCAAGTGCTTGGCACACATGCACTCCCTTTTCTCCATCTTCAAAATGAAAGCTACATCAGAGCCTTTCAAATAATCGGAATCTCACAAGCCTCGGTAGCTATGGACCAAAGTGTACCTAGTGTGCTGTCACCATAACCATATCTAGCTAGACCGGATCCCCCAAGCCGTGCATGCAGTGCAGTTTGCAGGGATTGTTATCGATAAGCACCAGTGACAGCCCGCTGACTAACGTTGATACCGGCGCGTCCGGCCTGGGGTCTGGGCTCGGCGTCGGTAACTGTTGCCCGACGGCGAGGAGCTTCGCAAACTTGACCGCACGACAATCGTCGAGCGCATTACCAATCACCTCGAATTCGTCCTTTGAAATATCCTCTGTCGCCGAAATCAACTCTTTCGTTGCAAAGTAAAGTCTGCCTCTACAAATCTTTGCTCTGCTTGTTGTCGGCGCATCTCCCCGCTGCTGTAGGATGACCTCGAGTCGCTAAGATTCCGACCATGCCCTCCCGCCGGGCACAACCCCCCCTCTCGGTCCGCTTGCCGGCTGCCAATGCCCAGCCCGAACTGCCTCCCATAGCTGCTCTTTTTCTTATCGACTTCGACGTCAAGGCTGGATACACGATTGTCTGGAAGCAGGCTGTACCCGGGATCGAGCTTGAGGGTCTTGTTGAGTACAAGAGTCTGCCATCGGGCCTTCACACCGTTCCCGACGACTTGATATACTTTGTTCATGACGGGGAACATGCTGGATTGAGTGCCTTCATCAACACGCCATGTGATGAAGAGGAGGCGCGTCACGCGCGCATGATTGCCGTCGGCGTTTTGGTTCCCCTCAGCTATGGCCGCCTAGGCCGGGCATGGCGGCATGCCGAGGGCTTGAAGGGCATTGCATCGTAAGTGAATATTGCCACAGAGTGACCATTGCACGTTTTGATCATATTTCCAGGAAACTTGCCGAGAACCGCAAGAATACTGGTCTTCTTGATGAATACTGGGAGAAGAACAAGGCCAAGGGAGGGGCTGAGCAGGAACGGCCGGCGATGGATTCCCCATCCATCAGTTTCAGCGCCCAAGCTGCCCAGCCCAGAACGGCACATCACAGCCGGAACCGCTCTGCATCAGACGGCGCTTCATTGCTGCCGTATGGCCACCGGCTCTCCCCTTACCATCCGGCCTGGAGCTTGACGACACTCCTGGATACCTTTGGACCGCTCATTTTCCCCATTCACAGGGCTGCCTTGCTGCGAAAGCGCATATTGATCTCATGCCACGCGCCGGTGCGTGAAATCTGCAATTTTGGTGCGTGCAACTGACATGATGACGGCGGCCTGTACTGACATTGGTGCAGTATACAACATCTCCGTTCTCTCAAATATTCCCCACACGGTAACGGAGCTACTGGCTCCAACGTCATCCTCGCAACGCTTGAGGCCCCTTTTCACTATTGGTGTTCACGACATCCCTTTCTTAATGGAGGACTTTGAGGCTTCGAAACGGCGGAAGGCCGGCGGCAACGACCACTTCGCAGATGAGTCAGGTTCTGGCTGGATCGCCTGCACAACCGACAGCATTCTTGCCATGAAAGACACCCTCTGGGATATGCTTATAACCATGCCCCCTCCCTATGCGCCGAACGCCAAGGAAAAGGTTTGGCCCACGGTTGAATGCCCCCGCGGCGTGCCTGTCAAAGCAACACAACGGGATTTGAGACGGTTTCGTGCACTCAAGTCTGGTCTTGTCAGGCTGACAGCAACCACGCCAAAGCCAATGGCAGCGGAAAGCCCACGACCGGACACATCGACAGGTCTCAAGCTTACGACTGGCGTCTCTCCTACCCCGAGACTCGAGAATGGCGAGACCTTGGACAAGATTGTCGAGCCGCCGAGCTGGACAGCGCTGGCATACAACGGGTTCATGTGGTGGGCAAGCGCCGGTGAGCAGGCTCGCAGCGAGGAGCAGGAGGAGGCGGCCCACGATGCGGCGTTGCTGGCAGATCTGGGGTTGACGCCCCATACGCCGAGCATGTCGAAGCCCCCGAAATCACGTTCCTCGGCACCGAGCGGCATGGCCGACTCGATCGGGTCTATCACATCCCGGCCGGCTGTAGGACCAGATGACGATGAAGCAAGAACGGAGCTTGCTATCATTGCATACTTTCATCGATTAACGGCGCAAATGCTGACGGCGATGGGGGATCTTGTGGAGCGTTCGAGCGATCGTTACGAAGACGACGACGACGAGGGGGGGCAGGACTCGAATTATGTTCCTCTCCGGTCCGAAAGTGAGCCTGAGCGCAGCACCGTACGAGTTGGCAGCGATACACTCGAGAGCATGGGCCTTGATGTCTGGGATGCGCATGATGCCGAATTCGTCAAGGAGCTCATGGCCAAGTACTTTGATCGCCGACCCTACATTGAGGGCAAAGGGGTCGAGGTTTGCGGAGTCCGCGTCTGCTGAGTGTTTGCTTCCTCCAGGCTCGAGATATTTGCTTCTTGTAAACAGCACCATATATGGTGGGGGATTTGTCGGGCGCGGCACTCCTTGGACGGGCTTTATCTCACTCTCAAGCTTTTGTCCATTTGTCATTAGATTTGTAGGCGTTGGATAACTGGTTTCTGGAGAATGTTTGAGCTGGTTTCCTGTACACGACAGTGGGGTATGATGAAGCCCGGGCGAGTGTCAGCCCGGGCGAGTGTCAGCCCGGGCGAGTGTCAGCCCGGGCGAGTGTCCCCCCCCCCCCCCACCTGATTTAAATGAACGACAGCGATTGCAGTGTCTGGGTTGAACTTATACGCCATGTGGCTTGCGAATCAAATCGGACTTGGCGACTGTGTTCGAGGCCGGCTCCATTCAACAACGAGCCAGGCTTCGGTTTTTTGAGAAACAATGCAACACTTTGTAGTTACATTAGGTTTCTCGGTCATCAATCGGCAATGACAAAACACAGCAAAGAGCCGGGGTTGGCAAAGTAGATTGATAGGGCTGACCTGGATCACCCAAGTAAGGGGGACGCACACGGCCGGAATGGACAAAATGAGGGGTGGGGATTCCGGGCAGCACCATGTCACCAAAAAGCATTTCAGCGCGCGCTGGCGGAGGCTGTCGAGGGGTACTTTGTGTCATGGATGGCATTTCGTGTGTGGGCTATGGAAAGGTCCAGAAGGCAAGGCGAATATCCGCTCATTTTTTATGTTGATGCCATGACGGAAAACAAGGGACGACTTGGCCGATAATTGGCCTGGTAAGAAGTAGAGGGGAACACCAAGCCAGGAACCCCGCCCTTGCTACGCTGTGCTGTGCTGTGCTGTACTGGTCTTGGTGTCTGCGAGGGGGAGAGTGATTATGCCTGAGCCCCTCATTGAAATTAGCTTCCGGTCTTCAGTAGGTAGAATACAACATTGGACAACCCGACAGTGGTTAGACAGGCAAGCATGCTGTCCTCACAGACTCACAGACCAGTTGACCCCACTTGTGCACGAGACTCTTGCACCGACTTTTGGGATTGTGAATGGAGAAGAGCAGAAAAAAAAAAAAAACCACACACACACACACACACAAAGGCAACAACAGAATGACTACGAACGACTGACACCACCTGCCACCACCACCACCACCACCGCCGCCGAGTCTTGTTCTATTGCTGCGATATCCCCTCAGCCTTGCACACCACTTGCCTTTCTCCCTCTTCTGCGCACTCTCCGACCGCCATTTTCGAGTACCCAACCTGCCCAAGGGTCGCTTCGGAATAATTGGTACCACGCCTCTCTTGCTTTCGATCTCGATCTTGACCTCGACCTTGACTCTCTCTCTCGTCTCCGACCAAAGTACCCCTCCCGTGTCACAAGCTCCCAACTCAACCCGACCGATCCCACCGCGCCTGTGGCTGTCTACCTGTTTTACCTTATCGTACCGAACTAGGCCATGAGTCTTCAGTAGTGACTACATCGCCGCTTTTACGTCAAGTAAGAATGCTGAATGCACAGCTTGGAGAGCTGCCAGGATTATAGCAGCATTTCGACACCGAAAAACTAGCCGCTTTTTTTTTCTCCCCTCTTCTCCTTCTCTTCCATATTGAAAAGTTCCTCTATTCTTTTTTCTCCGTCTTCCTCGCTCTCTCGCTCTGGGCCAAACCGTCTTGAATATGGACGCTCAGGTACGTTTGCAGCACATGTACCGTTTACCGCGTGGTGCTGCTTGGCCTGCACAAAACCGTCAGGCCTTTGCCCCGCCATCCCGCCCTCGATCGTCACCCATCACGCCGCCCGCCGCCCGCATGGGTCGACTACGGCGAGCTTCGCCCGATCGATGCCCATCTAGCCAACGAGGCCTGGAACGGATGATGGAATAGAACAAGCATTGTTGTGCCGCAACGGGAGCTAATGCTATGCCCACATAGATCGAGAATGCCGTCGAGGCCGCTTTCAACGTCAACAGCGATGATAACCTAAAGCAACAAGCCTTCGATTATCTGAACCAGCTGCGAGTCGACCCCCGGGGTTGGCAGGCCTGCACCGGCCTCTTCACCAGACCCGAGAGACCTTCCGAAGTCGTCCGCCTCTTCTGCTTAGAAGTCGTCAACTATGCGATTCATACCCAGGGCCTAGATCGCGGCAGTCTCGCGTGGCTAAAGGACAGCCTCCTCGAGTACGTCCGCAACATATACGGCCGGAACATGCAAGAACAGTTGGATCCGTCCCATCTGCAGAACAAGCTGTCGCAGACACTGACCTACCTTTTCGTCTTCCTCTACAATGATGGCTGGGACACCTTCATCGACGACTTCCTCGCCATTGCGAGCAGCCCCAACAACACAGCCGGCGTCGTTCTTTACCTGCGAATCATTGGCTCCATCCACGACGAGATTGCCGACATGCTGTTGACGCGCAACAGCAGTGATGCAAAGCGCAACACCGACCTGAAGGATCAGCTGCGCGCGCGCGATGTCCAGAAGGTTGCCCAGTCCTGGAAAGACCTGCTGGCGCAATACTCGGGCCAGAACGACATGATCGTTGAGATGATCCTCAAGGTCATTGGCAAGTGGATCAGCTGGATGGATATCTCCTTGATTGTGAACCAGGAAATGCTCAACCTCCTGCTTCCCGTTATCGGACGGACAAACAACTCTGGCAGAGAGGACAAAGTCAGGGATGCCGCTATCGACACCCTTAATGAGATTGTTGGCAAGAAGATGAGAGGCCCCGAGAAGATGGAGTTGATTTCTTTCCTCAACCTGCGCGATATCGTAGCCCAGCTCATCGCCAGCGCCCCCCTGAGCGAGCTCAAGTCCACTCCTCAATACGACTGCGACCTCGCCGAGGCCGTCGCGAAGCTCGTCAATACTGTCATGGCTGACATCGTGCGGGCCCTTGAGGATGGACAAGCCGGCGACGATACTCGAGCCAAGTCTGAGCAACATCTTCAAGACTTCCTTCCGTTCCTCCTTCGATTCTTCTCTGACGAGTACGACGAAGTCTGCTCCACTGTCATCCCTTCGCTGACCGACCTCCTTACATTGCTGCGCAAGGTCGGCACCAACCTTCCTGCTTCCTACAAGGAGATGCTTCCGCCCATCCTCAACGCCATTATAATGAAGATGCGTTATGACGAGACGTCGAGCTGGGGAGACGAGGACGAGCAGACGGACGAGGCCGAGTTCCAGGAACTGCGCAAGCGACTGCAGGTTCTTCAAAAGACCGTGGCAGCCGTGGACCAGGAGCTTTACATTGAGGTCCTGAGCAATCTCGTGTCCCAGACCTTCAGCACTCTCGACCAGCAAGGGTCTCAGATGGATTGGAGAGACCTCGACCTGGCGCTTCACGAGATGTATCTCTTTGGCGAGCTTGCGCTGCCGAATCACGGGCTGGGTACCAAGAGCCAACCCTCGAGCACAGCAACAGAACGGCTGACCATCATGGTGACCAAGATGGTCCAGTCCGGTGAGTGCAGTTTCTGTTCACATCCCCGACGAAATCTGACCCGAAGTAGGAATTGCCAACTTCCCGCACCCTGCGATTTTGCTCCAGTACATGGAAATTTGTGTCCGGTACTGGCAAGTGTTTGATGCGCATCAAGAATACATCCCCCAGGTATTGGAGAACTTTGTGCGGTTGGTACATCACGACCACGTCCGTATCAAGACGCGGTCGTGGTATCTCTTCCAGAGGTTCGTCAAGTTCCTTAGGGCCCAGGTCGGTAACGTTGCGGAGACCGTCATCCAGTCCATTAGCGACCTGCTTCCCATCAAGGCCGAGGTCTCTGAAAACAACGGCGATGATGACATGTCTTCGGATGAATCCGACCACTCCGCCGACGCCCTGTTCACCAGCCAACTCTACCTTTTCGAGGCAATTGGCTGCATTGCGTCGACTGGGAGCACACCTGCTGACAAGCAGGCTTACTACGCTCGCCTGGTGATGAACCCGTTGTTCAGTGACATGGAAACACACCTTCCAAAAGCAAAGTCCGGCGACGCCCAAGCCATTCTTCAAATACACCACATCATCCTGGCCCTTGGTCGCCTTGCTCACGGGTTCTCGGACTGGCAGCCCGGAAGCAACTCGGCCCAAAATCGCCCTCCTCCTGACAAACTTGTTTCTGACGAATTCTCAAGGGCCGCCGAAGCCATCCTGATCGCCCTCAGCGAGCTCAACAGCTCTACGGATATCCGCACTGCTTGCCGCGCGTCCTTCTCCAAGTTGCTGGGCGTTCTCGGATCCGCTGTGTTGCCCCAGCTCCCCCAGTGGATCGAGGGATTCCTCTCCCAGAGCTCCTCAAAGGACGAGATGGCAATTTTCTTACGTTTGCTTGACCAGATCGTGTTTGGCTTCAAGGCCGAGATTTTCAATGTCTTGAATATGCTGCTCACCCCCTTGCTGCAGCGGATTTTTGCCGGTCTCTCCGAGCCAGTTACCGGCACCGATGACGAGATCCAGCTCGGAGAACTCCGCCGGGAGTACCTGTCGTTCTTGTTGGTTATCTTGAACAACGACCTGCAGTCGGTCTTCATCAGCGAGGCCAACCAGGGCTTCTTCGAGTCACTGGTCAACTCCGTCCTCACACTCGGCAGAACTCTGGTTGCGGAGAACATCGGACCTAGCAGGCTGGCCTTCAGCGTGTTGTCGCGCATGGTCGTCGTCTGGGGTGGCACGGACTGCGCAAAGATTGCGGAGAACCCCTCGGCGCCCAGCGGCTCCCCGAACCCGACCATCCCCGGATTCGACCGCTTCATGGTCGACCGCTTCCACCCGCTCTGCTGGGAGGTTTTCCAGGACCCCAACTTCAGGCCCCACAACGACGCGCAGAGCAAGCAGGTCCTCAACGAGATCGCCGGTCTCGAGCAGGCTATATATACCAAGACGGGAGAGATGTTCATTCAACACCTGCAGTCGTCACTGTTCCCGCACCTGGGCATCGACGGGTCCGACTTCCTCCGATCCATGTCGACGTCCGTGGATAGGAAGGGGTTCTCGAGTTATCTGCAGGGGCTCCTGAAGAGCCGTAGATGATGAGGACGTGGCAAGGGTCAGGCATGGAAATTTGATAGGGCATGTGGTGAGAAGATGATGAGGAGGAGGTATTATAGGCGTATGATGGATGGAGTGGAAGGGGAGGATTTATGGGTGCGGGAGGAGAAGGAAATGCTCGGAAACTCTCTTCATCTTGGCCACTTTTCTTTGTTTACATATCCACTGGCCGCATCGCCTTGGAGTTTGAGGGAGGCATTAGAGATTAATGGACAAATGACAAAAAAGAATCACGTTCATCCATCTTGCCCGTCTTCAAGATGTCAGAGGGCATAGGGTGTCTTTGGACCCGGCCTCTCTGCTTGATTGACGCACATGTTTTGATGCCATCGTCCAGTTGTTCTGGGCTCTTGCACGGACTACCTCATATGCCCCCCTCCAATAGACATGGAACACGGGGCCATCCAAAGAGCCGGTAACTCGAGAAGCATCTCAAAATCCCTGACCAGCACGCCCCGCTTTTGGTCGATGGGCGTTATAACACGGTGGACTCTGGCAGGTAGCTTGAGGTATGGGCGGTATGCCCACTGCGTGCCGTTAGCCATTTTCCTCTCCAGCAAGTTGCTCTTCACTTGGGGGGCAGCTACGCCCAGGTCCTTGACCAGCAGTTGTGAATGGGATAGCCAGGCATTCCTAAAATACGAGCACCCTTCATAGTAGAGCAGATACGGAACGGACTGCATATGAATATCCACTGTTGGCCCTCAAACCGAGTAGTCCCATATTCAGCGTCGTGGACAAACTCCTGTACGCTGCCCTCTACTTTTGATCGAGTGACTTACGGCCGAATAGATTTGATCATCCTGGTTTTGTAAGTATTACACACTTCCAGAATGCATACTCGCTATCCCGGCCGCCAGGATGCCGACCCAGCGCCTCCGGCCCAGTCGCTCAGCTTCCCCTTCCCGCCAACCGTCGCCTGGAACCGCCTTGTGAAGAGCGCCCTAACGGAACGAGTCTGTACCTAGAATGCCTCAGACGTTACCAAGTACGACATTCATCCCGAGCCGGTCACCCTTATCGATCGGAGCACCTTGAGGCCGTTGGAAACCCCGTCATTTCCCTCACAAACGAGCCCGTCGAAAGCGACGGGCGCTTCGAGGCGTGGCGCCTCGTATCAGCCGCGGGCAAGGCCGGCAGCTCGTTATTTCTGGGCCAGGTCACCCGTTCAGGACGCCAGGTCACCATAGATATCAAGAAGAACCCTGTCTTGGCTTCTGACGTGCAGCTGGTGAAGGGGTTGGCGGACATTAGATTCAACAAGCGACATACGGCAACGGCAGAGTGCCATCAGCTGAATAATAGTGTGATGTACTCGTCAGTGCACCTCGAAAAGGCCTGCTTCGTCCGTGTCCAGCTCCATAGCACGCATGGCTAGCTCATGGCGCAGTTCTCGTCGCAGATGTCGAAAAAATAAGACCGACGCATACGGCGCCTCCTTGCAGAATCGGGCGCTGTTTGTCACCGATATCGCCGACGACATCCGCATGCAGATGGGGTCTGAGTTCGTAATGAGCGTCAAGACCAACAGCGTCGAGTCACAGGAGTCTGGTTTCACGATCGAGACTGCTGGGCTTTGCCAGCTGCTCAAGCAGCACAAATTTAACTTCTTCGAGCTCGGCGGGGCATGTACGATCAGATGGCATGGCATCACCGCAGTGGAAGTACAAAAGCCCACGAGGCGGTCTTCCTCGAGTTCGCGGAGAAGATTGCGCCGTAACTAAGCAAGACTAGAACCTTTGTCACAGGCGGTGTTCGCTCAGTCAGTGCCATGTTCGACATTGGACAGGCCAGACTCGAGGGTGTCGGTATCGGACGGCCTGCCTGCATAGGACCGAGATTGCCAAGAGACATATTCAATATCCGCTTCAGGACCTGTATCAAGTCTTGGTTTGATGAGCAGAACTTTGGCCTTAGAACTGCGCTGGCGGGGACACAGACCCGACAGATGGGCCGCAACGAGGAGTAGTTGGATCGTTCTCACCAGAGGTCGGCGGATAACCTGTTGAAGGATGTGGCTGCGTAGACAGCCCAAGTTAGCTGAGAGCAATGGACGGTTGTACGGGTTCGTAAAGGCCAAGGGAGCGCCCGTTGGCCACGAGTATATGCGCCTGCACGTGGCAATCCATTGGTATTGTAGGCCTCGTTCTACTGAATACGCTTGCGAGACACCGAACCTGAAACTTGTGTATCCGCAGAACACGTGCTGTTCGACATACCCAAGTCGCCTACGACTTTGTAGTCAAGGGGTCAACGTGGGTAGCAACAAGTGTACGTACGCAACATCAGGGAATGATGTATGTTGGATGTGTGTTGCTTCTGTCGATGGGCAATCCGAGGTCGGCTGGCAAAGTCCACCCCGACAAAGGGCTGCCTGCAGAAGAATCGGACCCTTAGGTTCCACTTCCCTGGAAGAGATGGAGAACCCAACATCTCAAAATAGCAGAGACACAAGCCATCTCGATTTCGAGGTGGGGCAGTCGTTTCGCTGGGCGACGGGAATGATGATAGACGAAGAATATGGGGAAGTAGACTGCGTGATCTACAAGCTGATGTGGCGTCCAGAACTGGGTCGGCTGCTTTGTTCACTAAACTTGGCAGAGCCCAGTCCGCGCGTTATTGAAGGTGTTGCTTGGAGCCGAGCACTGGCAAGTCTTGGGGAATCAGCAGGAATTGGTACTTCAGAGTGACAAGCCTAGCATCGCGGGCCGAGGGTTTGCCAAACACCGCAGTCGCCTTCCACCGGCAAGCCAACAAGGGGCAAAAGCTTCTCTGCGCCAAACGAAGGTTAACTAACGACGAAGCATTTTCGGTTGACCAGAGCTTGCCGAGACCACAACGCTTCTCTGGAAATTGCTTCCATTCTTAGAGAGACAATAGTGGTTCTGGTGCTGGTCTATTTGTCGGTCAGATGGTGGGAGAACAAGGTCTGGCCCGGTGGGTGGTGGCAGTGCGGTTGAAATGGTCGTGTTCACCAAATTGCGGCGATCTGATCAGGCGGTGGACAAAAACGAGATGGTGTGGTCGTCGGCGTTGACCAGTTTGAATCGCGGCGGAATAAGGTTATCATTGCCCACTCCACGACTCCTGTCACACAGACCTTATCGGCAGGGCTCTGATGGCTCGTTGGCGGAAAGTAGCCGTCGACGTGCACGCCATATTATTCAGCCGACGAAGTACAGGGCATGCCGGTCGTCGGCGAGTGCGGTCAATGGTAGTGCATATGGGACGTCATAAGGGTCATAGCCGTTATAATAGTGCCATTGAGGGAGCTGAAGACGATATTGTGCATCCACAAAGATGAAACGCGTAATGCCGCACATCGCTGGAGCCGCAGGCCTGGCTTGCCTATCGTATGGGGACTGCTGAGAAGCCGTTGATGAAAATCGACATGGGTGTGCCGAGCACACAATCTGGTGGAATTGGGCACTGTCGACAAGCCATTGGGTCCGGTCGTGTTTAGTGTGGCGGCAACTAGAGTAGTGTCTTGGATGCCATTCCCGCGGGGAAGCAGCAAAGGAGGCGGGGCTAAGCCGGTTCCAGCGGCGTAGAGAAGCGCCGGTGCGGTCTAAAGGCGACGGACTGGAGATTGAGATTGGTTTTTGAGCTTGAAAGTATACTGGTTCTGGTCCGTGTTTCTGACGTGTTGATAACGCTGATCTCGCAACGTCGGACGACGGCTCGGAGGATTTTCGCTGAGTATCCATCGTGGGACTGGACTGATAGGACGAAAGGGAAGGGGGAAGGAGGCAGCCCAATTCTACCAATGACAATCAAACCCTGCCTGATATTACCATGTGCTCTCCGCTTCGGCGTACCGACTCCCACGGTTCCATACAATGATGTACACTACGGAGAGGTAGGACGGGCATCTCGAGTGGTGGTGGTCAGTGTGCGGTGCTCCGCGGTTGCCAAGTCGGGTCATGTTGGTCTGGGTGGTGGTGATGGACGGTGATGGTGATGATGGTGATGATGGTGGTCCGGGGGTTGTCGTCTTTTCGCCAAGAAAACTGGGGACGATTTGCCGTAGGGTCCATTGATGGACACTAGCAAAGTGGCCCTCTCATGAATGACAACCACTGATGGGAAATTAAGTCGCCATGGGCTATTACCTACCTTAGCACGCACACTTCGTGATGTGGTAAATGATTGACGGTAAGAGTGAAAAGGGGAAGTTGGGTAAAAGGCAGCTTGCGCTTTCCGGTGGCGAGGGTGACATGGCGGAACGTATCGCAACGGTACGTAGCTGTATGTACGTACTGCCTTTCTCCCATTCTTTCTTTCCTTCCTTTTCCTTTCCTCCTTTCCTTCCCTTCCCTGCAGCGCATGGCCGCGTCGATCGATGTTTTGGGAAACAAAGAGTGAGTCCACCCCACGTCACGTCCGCTGTTCCTGCAGTAGTTCGAGAATCCGAAACGGTTGTGCCTTCCAATGTTGTGTTTGATTTGTGCAAGTCCCTCTTTCCCTTGTGCGACTGGTCGGCAAAAGAGCGGGGGCAGGAAGGGGGCAACAGGGCAGACAGAGGACAGGACCAGCTAGCGGCCTAGCCAGACAATCTCATAAGGCGCTTGCCAAGCGAAGGCCATCTCCCCCCTGAGTACCGTACGTACCTACTACTCCCATGTCTCTTGTCTTCTCGAGTTCTTTCTCTCTCCTCTTTTGGCGGAGAACCCTGTCCAATCTTGCTTCCCTCCCTCTCGAAGTCTCTCTCTCGCTCTTCTCTCGTTGCGTTGCATCTTCCCACGGGCATTGGACCCTTTTGGAGTATGCAATGATCTTCCTTCTCCTCCACGTTCCGATGCGTGCGCTCCCGCCGTTTTACCACTCTCACTCTGTCTTGGCTCATCTGTTCGACTGGTGTAGGTATCTATCTATCTTGCTCTCTACACCATCGCGACACAGCTAGCATATCGGATTGTCTCGCTTTACCTCCAGCATTGTCCCCCTTGCCTCATCAACAACGTGGCTGCCTTCTCCCGCACTCCTCAGGCAAAACCTACTCTCAACCACATCCAATCTCGACGCATCCGTGCAGTCTCGCCCTGGACGGATAGGAGAATGAGCGAAATAACGACGCCCTGGATCTGCGAGACCATCCCCATCAACCACCCAAGTACCTAGTACGGCAGCACGGGCTCCGGCTTGCGCAGTCCTACACCCCTACCGTCTGTACCGCGTACAGAGTCTTACCGAACCACCCACATCCACTTACCCAATCAGACAACCCATCAAATGCGCCACTTTTTCTTCTATACTCGCCTTCAAACCTCCTTCTTTGCTCCTTGGTTGATTGACTCGCACCCGACAACCTTGCGCACTTGGTTCACTTCCCACCCATCCTTCCCTCCATCCAGGATCAGAGGGAACACAACGATTTCGCCAAACCGGTCAGACTGGCAGACCCGAGATTGTCGATCCCGGCTACCGACAGCCAGTCTTTGCTATTGTTGGCGGTGCACAATGGCCCATGATTATTTGCAAATATGTCCAGCTGGACAGGTCAATAGCCGCCCGTCATATACTACGTTGAATCACCCGCCATTAGCGTCAGCAGACTCTAATCCAGCACGCGCGAGCGGGGTGTATCGGTACATCTTCTCGTTAGTGCAAGTGGCAGCTCAAATGCGCGCCAGTTCGTGCTCGATTCGTTGATTACACCCACCAACCGAGGGGGAGGGTGTTGAAAAAGAGGAGGCGCTCCAGAGATGCAATGAAGCCGAACGCAGCCGCTGCACAAATCAGCAGCGACTACTAAGCAACGGCGCCTTATTTTATCGAGTTTCTTGCACCCCCAATAAGCGCTCGCTTCTCGTCTCCCCCCCCCCCCCCCCCCTTCACTACATCCGCATATACGTACACTACTTAGGCTACACCGCAACCCCCGAGGCATAGCCCAGCAAATAGAGTGGCAACGTCGTTTCCTACACTAATGTCATGGCGCTCTAGTGCATGCAGAATGGGATCCAACCCACAGGCTACAGCAGCCAGATGGCCGGGGCAAAGGCAAGGGTACCCTGCCCGGCCTGGCCTTTGCGGGGCCAAATACGCCCAAGAGTCCTTTTTTGGTGCCGTCCAGCGGCCTCCACTGAACCCCTGGATTAGCGTTCATGGGGCTGGATGGGTAGCAGACGTTGCAATTTCCCATGCTTCCTCTTCGATCCATGTCACTCACTCGTCCCATTCCCACTGCTGCTGGCGGGGATGGAGACGGCGGTGGAGGAGACGGGAGGAGGCTCGCTGGTAGACAGACTGGCTGACTCTTCCGGTTGGCCATGTCGCCGCCGGGAGACGGCGCTGTTTGTTTGGATCCAGGACTCTCGTACTTGTCCAACATGGCTATTAATATGTGCCGCCCTCCCCTTTTGCTTCGCTCCTCTTCTTTTCTTCCTTCTCCAGCCAAACAAGCCTCACCAATCTCAAGCATCAGCTTTTGACTCAACTTTGACTTCGGTCGTCCACTCTTTCACAACACATTCTCTTAATCAACCAACTCACGCTCAACCCTTCCAACTCCCCCCCTTTTTCAAACACCTTCAAGATGCGTTACGCTGCTGCCGCCCTTGCTGTCGCTGGTGCCGTCATGGCCCAGGACGCTGACGTTATGGCCCAGGACGCTGACGTCTACTCTACCGTCTTCTCTACCAAGTACTTCACTGTCACGTCGTGTGCCCCTGAGGTCACCAACTGCCCCGCCCGCAGCACCGTCGTCTCGTCTAGCGTCGAGCCCTGGACCACTTCCACCATCTACACCACCAAGGTCCAGACCATCACCTCGTGCGCTCCCACGGTCACCAACTGCCCGGCCCACTCGACCGTTGTCGTCACCGCCACCGAGGCCATTGGCACCACCATCTGCCCCGTCACCGCCACCGAGACCGGCGCCAAGCCCACCGAGACCGGCGTCGTCCCTCCCCCCGTCGGCGGCAACGGCACCGTCCCCGTTGTCCCCATCCCTACCACCGCGACTGGCGTCATGCCCGTCCCCGTTACCACTGGCGGCGTTGCTCCCTCCGTCTCCAAGCCCGCCACCCTGGTCACCAGCGCCGCCTCCGAGTGCACCGGATACTCCGTCAACACCATCTCTACCAGCATCACCACCGTCATCCCCACCGTCATCTACGAGACCGTCCAGATCCCTTGCCCCACCCCCAGCGCGCCCTCTGCCTCTATCCCTGGTGTTCCCACCGGTGGCAACGGAACGTGAGTACCGTCCGATCCATATTGAAGTGTCGAGACCGAGAACCCAGATGACTAACTTTCTTCCAGCGCTGCTGTTCCTACTCCCTCTGTCCCCGTCACTGCCGGTGCCTCCGGCCTGACCGGCTCTGCCATCCTGGCCGCCGTCGCTGGTGTCGCCGCTTTCGCCTTCGCATAAATCTTTTCTCCCGGACAACGTTTTTGAAGGCCAACCAGAGGATATGGCAGTTTTACGATGAATCTAGCGGGTTTCTTGCTTGGGAGTCAAGTGGAAATGTAGAAAGAGCGCTTCTCTTTGTACATCTATCTTAACGCAATGGCAAATACCAATTGTACTTAATCTTCTAATTGTATTTGCGGGATGTCTGGGCATCTGGAGCAGCCCCCCTCGCGACCGAGGATATTGGGCGCGAGGGGTTAGCTTTCCAGGGCCTGATGACCTGGCATTAACGAAGTGTTTGGTGAACTCTAGATCCGTGTGACATCCATTGTGACCTGCCGCCAGCCAACACCGAAAAGGCCGACAAACAGTGTTTCCCGAGAAGTGTGGAGAGATAAAGGACGGGTCCCCCCGGACTTGCTAATCTTCGACTCTTTGGGGGGTTAGTAGTAGTAGCATTGATCATCGCCCCGGACAACACCCCGAGGTCATTTCCCAACCGACCGATGAAACAAACAATCAGGATGAAATAAGCACCGTCCAATGGGTTCGGATGAGCATGCCGGCCTGAAGATCGTCTGGCCAAGATATCCTGCCATCCCAGTTCTAGCGCCTTGGCGTGGGCGTCCGCGCACACTGAGAGGAGAAAGAGATAGAGATGTGCGGGTACAGCTACCAGGATCTACCTAGGGGGGGGGGACCTTCAAGGAGATTGCGATCAGGACGAGCCTCGACACATGATTGGTCGAGGGGACATCGCTTCAATATGGACGAAACGTTTCGTCCCCCGCCTTATGGGATGAACGGCATCACCGACCTTTTCGATGGACCTCTGCATAAGCTCAATGTCCTCTTTTCATCATGTGCAAACGACCACGCACAAACGCATCGGATCGAGTACGTCGGGATGACCCTCCACCAGGACACGTCAACGGGACCACAAGGCTTTCTAGTAACTCACGACTCACCTTTCCCACCTTTCATTTCGGGCGGGGATCTCGAGACTCTGGCTTTGGCGTGTGCACCTGTTCCCAGCCCATACATGCATTCCTCTGCGCATCCCAAATTTGGAAATCCGGAGACGGGCAAAAGGCTGGAGGGTCATTAACGGAACGGACGACGAGCGACCGCTCGGCTGGTTCCGATGCCATTCGGCTCACGGCTAGAGTTGAGCATCTTATCGCGGACAGCATGGCGGTGTGCGTGAAGGGTCAGGGGGGGGAAGGGGATGCCGTATCCCCTCAGCAGATTCGTACAGCGCACATACCACCCACTAGGCCTATTTTGAAAGGCGGTCAGCCAGCCTAGCCACCCACCCATCTAACCCTAACCCTTGCCACCAAACTTGCTGCTGACGTTGACTAACCCCTGCATTTGCCACTTCTAGATCCCTGTTTCTGCCAGCCCGCTAGCCCCTATATAGTAGCCCCTGGTCAGTGCGGTGTACGAATCTACTGAGAGGATACGGTATGCTGTTGGCGATCGACGCGCTCGCCCCACCTCTCGATGTTGCCTACGTCACGGGCCCTGAATGCCGTGACCCGCCGATCCGGCAGTCGGAGACGCCGTCGTAAATATGTGTTGGGACCTGTCAATGAGAGTTTCATCTATTTCGCTTTGCTACTTATTGCTCATGTTCATGCTGGAGAGGCGACGGAAGGAAGCGGTCGCGATGCGTGCCTCACCAGAGGACGGCTTTGTTGTTTTCCGAGCGGAAATCCCTATCAAGCCTCGACATTCGAGTCCAAGTTTTCGGCTGGCTCCAGTGTCTAGGGGGCATCTCCAATCCTCCTTTATACCTTTATTCGTGCCAGAACACGGGCATCGACTCGCTCAACCTATTCTCACGGTTGAAGATATTGGCGTTGGCACAGAGTCTCGGTTTCGCCATAGTGTCAAACACCCCTCCCTTCCTGTCGTCGTCGCTTGAGCGCCGAGTCGGGGAGGCAGGACGTGCGTGGATGCGGGCCAGGTTTGGCATCCGTCTCCCTGTGCTCATGCCACCCAGAAGCACGCACGCTTCGGGAGGACCTGTGATTGCAAATCGGCATGGCTGTTTGACAACAGGCTGATTGCCCTGAGCCACCTTGTATATTCAATCATCTTGTTGCACACACTCGGGCCGCCCGCTGCGCAGGACTGTGGTATAGACGGGCAGGAATGTGACCTGCTATGACAATTCTCAACGGCATGGTAAGCACGAGTGCGGTGCAGCCCAGGCACCGACTTTCTTCTGCGTACCGGGCGAGTTGGCACGTACCCAGCATGTTATATTAAAGCCGGAGGAGACGAGTGGTGGTTGACAAGGGTTGCGTTTGAAATACATGCCGCCCCATCCTGCAGGGCTGCTGCATCTCATGCGGCAGCACCCCCCTCAGCCCGTGCATTCCAAGTCAACATAGGACGGCGGACTAAAGATAGCCTCACGTCGCAATGGCAGTCGGGCAATTCACACACCCCGGGATGCGCACCTCTTCCGCCAGCGGGCTCGTCGCTCGTCTATCGCGTCGCAACAGCCCTACGAATAGGGGAGCGTCGGAAAAATAGCAGCAGTCTGTCCTGACGAGAAGGGGATTGGGAAAGCTTGGATACGCACCTTGGTTTGCGCGGGTGCCTCCGGCAGCTGGCAAGGTCAGCTTCCCGTTGCGTCCCGTTTGCGAGTTTGGTTACACCCGTTCCTCTGGCGTTCGTCCACGCCCTCATTGAACCAGTCCAGTTCGCACCAGCGTGTTTCAACTCTCATGTCCGCGTGGCGTAAGGGTTATTATGGGGCCCTTACAGGCCTTCGAGGCAACAAACTCAGTTAACGGTGGCAAGGCCGCAACAGATTGGTGCCTTTTTGGTGAGTGGGCCTGGCCGGCGGTTTCGTCTTTGATCGTGCATCTTTCTGGTCGAGGTGGAGAAGTCACAGCGGTCCGTTGTAGCCCTCGCCGGCGCTGGTGCGGTCCTGCTCTACGTTGGCCCGGCGGCAACCGCAACGGGCGAGTGACGGGACGCGGGCAAGGGACGGCCCCACTTCGGGACCAAGTCGGTGACCGGCCTCCTGTACACCGTAAGACCGGAGCTGCTGAGGCAGCTTGCATCAGCAAACGCTCGAGGCCCCAAACCAAAGGAGTTTGTTTGAAATTTACCGACCTTTGCAAAAACAAGTCACGGACGCCAGTTTGGGCCCATAGCTGGGCCAATGTTGTCTGGGTGATCGATTGCCCAGGTCACTCCAACGCTTCATCCTTGGTCAATTTGCTTGGACCGATGTTGCACAAGTGCGATATTTGGCCAAAAGACCAGGAGCATCGGCTTCCCCCCCCCCCCCCCCCTTTCACTCAGCCACGCTTATGGAATTTGGCGTTCGGCGCTCGTAGGTCGGGGCTCACGCCGATGCCGACCCACCGATCATCTTCCGCAAGCGGACGCGTGATCCAAGCCCAGACCTGATACCATCGAGAGGGCCATCATGATAGGAGAGGGAGAGAGAGAAGGTTGCGGGCGCATTGGCGACGTATCTCAGTATCGTCGTCATCCTGCCATCCAGGGCCGCGGCCACATTCTGTCGATGACTCGTCGACTCCTTCTGCGGGCTTTGGTTTCCCCCGGGATCGTCGCCCGACGGGCACCGTCAACATAGGTAGATAACACCCCTGGGGAAAAAAACCGGGGGGGGTGCATTTGTCACCATCATTCCAACCGTTGCTAGCCATCGGTGTCATCATGTCCCGATTCGCATTCGGAACGCACGGGCCACATCCTATTCCCTCTCTCCACCACCGACCGCCGACTGAACTGAGAAAGCCGGGCTGCGCTCCCGCACTCGCTTAGCAGCCAAGACGCCCTAACCACGCCAGGCTCCGACGATCGAATCCTTCTTCCCTCAACTCTCCCCCACCCGCCCTATCAGATGTCGAGCATCTCGTCTTATTCTTTCTCCTTCTCTCCCGAACCGCCCTATCGGACGGAGGGTGAAGAACGCGGCTGCCTGCCTGGTACCTGGTCCCAAGTCCTCCCCCCCCGGTGAATCTCGGCGGCGGATTTTGACCTGGGCAGAGACGAGTCATCTCTGCTATCCTGTCTGCTTCTCCTACCTTGCGCCAATCGCTCTGACAGCTCGCCCTTGCGGGGCAAGTCGCGCTAACGTGGCATTCCCAAGAGAGCTTCTACCGTTTCCTGTCAAATGCGGGTGCGAGAAGGATGATGAGCCACCGCCTCCACGAGAGCCCCTTCCCACCCGCGCCAACCCCCGTCTGCGATTGACGTCCTAGTCAGGCGCAACACTCCGTGCCCCATATCCCTTCCTGCGTCTAGCTAGGTAGGATTCCTTGTTGCCACGAGCTTGCATGGAGTTGTCCTCAATCTAAGATAACCCTAAGAGGAAAGCATAAGAGAATGCGAGCATTCCTGCTGTCTTGGTCGCTTGGCGGCGATGACAGCTTCCCATCTTTTCCCCCACCCTCTTTGGGCTTAGTCGGCAGACCACCGTGGCAGGACGCCAACGCTAGAGTGGAAGCCTTTTTTGTGTGACCCGCGGGGGGTCGATATGCTTCCCTTTCGGCGCGTATGTACATATATATACACATATGAAGGCCGCTTTCCACGCTCCGAGTTTGAGTAAAAAAGTTTGCTTTTCGGTTACAAACAGCAAAGACCCGAGCTTCCGGACAAACATACGTCCTTCTCTTGAGACATCTCGTCTCTTGCGGCACGCATACCTTTTTTTTTTTTTTTTTTTCAAAAAAGGCATATAAGAAAACACCCTCTATTTCTTCTGGAACGTCCTCTTCAACTTCGCCCCTTGCCCGCCTTCTGCCCCCTTCGTCGGAACTCATCCTCTCCTTTCCGCACGACGACGAAACCAAGACAAGACGCGCTCCGCCTCCGCCCACAATGTCCGGTCCTCCGCCCCCTCTGCCGTCCAACCTCGTGACCTTCGGCCCCAAGGCAAACTGCACCCTCGACCTCTGCCCCCTCGAGTACAGCCTGTACCGGTACCGCCCGAACCTCGCCGTCAACGTCCTCTTCCTCGCCCTCTTCGCCCTCGCCGCCGTCGTCCACATCGGTCTCGGCATCCGCTGGCGCGCCCGGGGGTTCATGGCCTTCATGATCGCCGGCTGCCTCTGCGAGATCGTCGGCTACATCGGCCGCATCATCATGTACTACAACCCCTTCCAGTTCGTCGGATTCATGCTCCAGATCATTTTCATCACCTGCGGGCCGGTATTTTACACCGCTGCCATATACGTGACCATAGGCAGGGCGTAAGTCTTTCTCCATTTTCCTCCATGCCTCCCTCCTTTCCCTCTCTCTTTCTATCTCTCTCTTTTTTTCTTTCTTTTTTTTTCTTTTCCCTTGCTGGCTTTCTTTTCTTTTCTCACGTGAAGCCGCTCATTTTGTTTCACGACCGCTGCTTTTTTGGTCTTCCGCTTCCTCCCTTGTGCGGCTTGTAATATATATATATATATATATGTAAAAGCTCGCATCCCTTCCCCCCACAGCATGTCATCATCTTGCATCGTTGAAACCTTCCTGCAAGAAAAAAGAAAAATGAAGCGTGACGAAAACCCCCCGCTGACTCAAGCCCCCTTCCTCGCGGCAAACAGCATCGACTCCTTCGCGCCGGAGCTCTCCCGCATCCCCACCAAAGTCATGTACTGGCTCTTCATCTCCTTCGACATCTTCTGCCTCGTCCTCCAGGCCGCCGGCGGCGCGCTGAGCACGACCTCGGCCGGCAGCTCCGACGTGGGCGTCGACCTCGCCATGGCCGGCCTGGTGCTCCAGGTCGTCGTGCTGGTGGCCTTCTGCGCCCTCTTCGCCGACTACATGTTCCGCTACACGCGCTCCGGCGCCGCCCGCCCGCTCACGCTTCGCGACAGGCTCTTCTTCGGCTTCCTCGCGCTGGCGGTCATGCTGGTCCTCGCGCGCTGCGCCTACCGCGTCGACGAGCTCAGCGATGGCTACAGGCAGTCGGAGAAGCTCGCGAACGAGGGCCTGTTCATCGGCCTCGAGGGAGTGTAAGCGGACCCCTCCCCCTCCCCTTCGGCTTTCTTTCTCACTGAGATATCGTGTTAACTGGCCTCATGTTCCCAGTCTCATCATCTGCGCTGTTTTTGCGCTGTGCATCGGTCACCCCGGAATGGTCTTTGGCAGGAGAAAGGCCACTGATGGCGTGAGCAAGGGGTCCAGTGCCGAAAGTGGCATCGAGAGCGGTGCAACGCAGATGGAGCAAAAGTGATGGAGACGCTGTTTCTCGCTCCCGTGCGGCTTGCACTGCATGGAGCCTGGTTTCGCTGCTGAGCGGTGTGCTTGCGTGTTTCTCGAATTCTTACAAGGCGTGTCCGTCCCACTGCCTAGGGGCCTATTTCAATTATTGCATTAGAAGCGGTATCTAGCGTTATACCCCCAGCGCTTCGATACGTGAAGTAGAGTAATCAATGGTACTGTCAAGTCGCATGAGTTGGCTGGCATCTTGCTTTGCGTGACTGTTTGGCAGTCGCATTTCTTCAACGAGGACTGAACAATATATCCAGACCTGAAGCAAACATGTGCTTGTCCTCGTATTCCCTCTACCAAATCGTCAGTGGAACCTGATACAGAGACGACGGTGCTTGGTTGGAAGCTGGTGAATCGCACTCGTCCATACTCCTGGCGTCTGGAGGTGACGCCCCCTTTAGCAGATATTCGCTTGGACGATCATGATCCGGAAACACACAATTTCTGTTTCATACTTGTAGCCCAATAGAAGTATAATCATGAGTCGCTGGAAGACATGCTACTGCAGGACCCCTGGTGAACAGCCTAGTATGAGCTGCGAGCATCGGCATTCATCGAACAAGAACAGACAACAAGACGCAAAGTGTGCATGGAGCGAGCTCACCGCAAGCAAACTGGTCGAAATCTAGTTCTGCTCATGTAAGAATGGTGAAAGCTATCGCTCGCTGGGCTTGAATCCGATCGCTCCGGGCCCTTCGGAAAGGCAGGCCGCAATCAGAGTTGTCCGGCAGGTCCAACCTCTCGGCACACCTGCGCCGTCGTCCATATGATCGATTCCGAGTGTGCGGGACGGGCCACCGCCCTCGTCAGCCCGCGAAGCAGAGATTCCGGAACTCGGGTGTAAGAAATGTCTCGGCTGGAGGGGGTGCTTCTCGTTGAGGTTTTCAAAAACGGTCAGCGGGTCCAGGGGTTTTTCACAATGGCCTCGATGCTCTCTGCCCCAGAAGTGGTTGGAGGAGGCGAAAGGACCCTCAGACAACCCATTTTGGATCGTTCGGTCACTGTGTGTGTGTGTGTGTGTGTGTGTGTGGGTGGGTGGGTGGGTTTGTGGCCAAAGGCCGCAGATCCAGCGGCTGGCCGACCCGGAACCTGTCCGTGTCCGGGGTCGGCACCGGGCCCCACCTTCCCTTACTGCCGTCCCCGCTCCGTTCGGATGCCTCTCAATAGCGTCCGTCCGCCGCCGAACCGGTCCGTCCGTCCACTTCACGTCACATCAGTCCCGTCAACGCAGCCTCTGCCATCCATAGACCGAGCCCATGCATCACAAAAACCCAGCCCACGCAAAAAAGAAAAAGAAAACGTGTATTCGTCGTGCCCAGAAAGTCAGATAGATTACCACCGCTTTTTCTTCTTCTTGGCTTCGCCGGGTCGTCAGCTCTAGCGCCTAAGCTCCTTATAACGCCATTCCTCATGCTGCATTCGTGCGCCCCCCAACACGGGATGGCAGACGACAGCCTAGCTGGTGTAGCCGATGATGATTTAAATCACACGATATGCTATACCAACAGTCAACTCGAACAAAAGAGACTCCATTCATTCCCTCCCACCACTTTCCCTCCTTTTCAGTATGATATAAAGTTCGGTGTGATCTTGCGGGATGTCTTCCAATCCAGCCGAGATCATGACCCAACCCTTCAATGGTATAGTGCCCTCGAGCCGTATGATATTGCAACACGATGTTGAAGCAAAATCCCGGCAAGGTACTGCAAACGACAACAGGGCATCGTGTTGCGTTGGATGCCATGCAATGCAAAATGAAAACGCCTCCACATGAACCCTTCGACTCGACCTCTTTCCAACACGTCATGAGGAAGAGACAGAAGAAGATGCCCGTGCCAGACTAAGAAGACTGCTCGTGACGCCACCACAGACGGCACTTGTTGGGTCGTCCTCGTCCTCGTCCTCGTCCTCATCCTCGGTGTCTCCCGTCTCAGCTGTCACCAGACGCGGCTCCGCGGTATTTTCAGCCATGACCGGCTCCGTCGTCTTCTTGACGTCGGCAACGGGTTCCGGCTCGTTCTCGCGTTGCTTAGTACTTGTCTCCTCGGTGTCCTTCTCCGGAGGCCCGTCACGGCTGGAGGGTGGCTGCACCGTGACCCTCGGCAATGCCCTCTCACGGCTGGTCTCCCGCTGCTGTCCCGGGCGCGGCTTCACCTCTAGCCTGTCGAGGGGCACATCTTCCTGTCCCGTCTGGAGCTTGTAGTTTGCGAGGCCGAGCTTCAATCGGAGGATTCGGGCTTTCTGTACGCCGCGCAGCCTTTGTCAGTATTTGATACCTAATCACGCGCTGGCCGCCATCACGGGATGCCGTACCTGTCGCGCCTCCTCGCGGGTTAACAACCTCCTAGGCCTCGCCGGGGGCTGGGCCCTGGCGGTCTGCTCTGCGTCGGGTTCGGTGAGCATGGTCGTGTTCTCCTGCGACGTGTCCATGGCCGAGTTATCAAACACAGACGATGTGTCGGGCGACGCGGAACGATTCCGTAGCATCTGTTGCTCCTCGCGGGGTTGCACCTTCTCGAGCTGTCGTTGCTCACGTGGTTCGTTGTGCAGTTTCCGTTCCTCGAGTTGGTCCTGTTGCTCGCTCCGATCCTGCCATGGAGACACACGCATTAGGTTTCTGTTGTGGGAACCATCCCGAACGCGCTCCATCAATGGAACACCACTCACCTCCTTTTCGGGATCCATGCCCATCTCCGTTTGTGCGGGCGCGGCGGGAGTTGGTGTGGATGCTGACATATGCGTAGACGAGGACGCGATCGTGTCCTCGGATGCAGCCGCTGGTGTAGCAGGGCCGGGAGTAACAGCAGAGACATGCGGCGGCACGAGTGCAGAGGCATTGGCAATGGCAGAGGCAGACACAGAGGGTGCGGCGGCGGCCGGCTCATGGCACTGCTTCTTCCTCGCGACGGCGTTCTCGTCAAAGATGACAGAGGCGAGAGGCCGCTTGAGACCCAATGGCGTCTTGATGGGACTCTTGCGAGGCGACCCGGGCACCTTGCTGTGCTTGTGCATCTTGGTGGGCGACATCGCGTTCACATTCGCGTTCAAGGGCGCGAGGGCGCGTCTCTTGGCCGGTGATGAGGGGTCCATTGTGTGCGTGTGGTCGTGTCGGGAATCGAACGCGCTTTTGCCTGTTCAGGGGACTGAAAGATGTACAAAGCCAGCGACGAGGAGGATGAGCAGAACGGGAAGTCGACGTCCTTGTGAAAAGTGTTGGAGTGGAGGAGGAGGGGGAGAAAGGTAACGAAATGGAGACGAGAGGAGATGAGGGTTGGGGGGAAGAGAGAGAGAGAGAGAGCTGCACTGATGGAAAAGAGCTATTCCCACACAATTACCCGATTTACAAGCTTGGGCGACTTTAGGCGTGGATTTCGCGGTTCGGAGGGGGGGACCGGGGGGACACCGTTTAAACGAATGGCGGTTTTGAGTGGCCGCGTGCAGCTGTAGCAACTTGAAATCCACTCCAGAAGGAAGCTCTGTGCTTAAAACAAATAAACAAGTGGCAATCGGATAAACCACTCTGCCTTCTGTCTGCTGTGTTTGACGTTGCGAGGGCCGTGTGTATTCTCGAACTCTAAGGCTTAGAAAGGAAGAGAAAGAGAGGAAGAGAAAGGCAGGCAGGCGATGCAAACAAGGTGCAATTCGTCCGGTACAAGAAATATCTCTTCAGGGGAAAGGGGGGCGATAGATAGATAGAGACACCGACGTGTTGTTGATAATGAAATGTCCCAGGCAAAACGCGTACTAGGCCGGCGAGAAATGCTTAGGGACCCCCCCTCCCCCTTAACGTACCTACTAAGACACCTGTAGGCTGTGTGTGTGTGTGTGTGTGTGTGTGTGCCTGTTGCGGGACGGACCTTTTCTGTAGGTACCTTGGGCTACTCGCCCAACGGCCACGGTTGACGAGCAGCGTGTTGCGTGCTGAAGAACGACCGCGTAGTGCATTTGTCCAGCGCAGGGAAATGGCTGTAACTCTGAGGCACTCGCTGTCTTGCGCCCCCCCCCCCCTTTTTCCACCCAACATAGTTCGGTACAGGTACTATGCAGTCTTTTTAAGTTACCTCAGTCAGGTAGGTATTGTGCAGATATTGCAAGTGACTGACACCAACTTGACACCAAAAACCACCACCAACTTTCTCTCGAATCGCGGCTCGGTTCCTGTACCCCCCTCCCCTCCTTGGTTTGGTGGCTGGCATTTTTTTTTTTTTTTTTTGGTCGCGTACCCCTGCTCATGCAACTACTACCTACAGTGTGTGTATGTGGCAGCTAGGACGCTACAGTGGGGGTAAGACCCAACGCCTAGGAGCCAGAACGCGGCTTACATAACCTGACCCATCCTTTAACCCCCTGCAAAGTCCACAGAGGCGCGTCCGTCATTCCAGGGGTCCGCTAGCCATTGCAGATCGCATCCGGCCTAGCGTTGAAGAAAGTGAAATGCACGTCCGGGGCGTGGATGCATGGCCACGGTCCACGCCGCTGGGATCACACCTTGGACGTGACAAGCTCCACGTCCACCATCTGCCATCTTACCTTATCCCGTCCCATCACTCTGTCTGCAGTCAACAGCCGCCTCCATCAACACACGACCATTACACCATCCTCTCCCTTCCTCTGTCTGAGCAACTGTCAGGTCTCACTTCATAGGGGGGCCAAAATCCTTGTGAACTTGGGTATCATTCCTCTCGCCCTTGCAAGAGTCGCGCCGACGCTACCATCGTCGCCAAGGAACCTAACTAAAAAGACGTCCATGCCGCCCGACGAACAGATAGCGCGCGAATGAATGTCTCTCCCACCAAAATACCAAAACGTGATACCGAAACTAGAAAGAAATGACTCGTCGAAGGGTGGGGTGGAGGGGATAAGAAAGAAACAAGTGTTAAGTGCTGAGCCAGATTGCCCTCCAAGCCCCCTTTTCACAACTCGTCCAACTCTCCCCCAGTATAAAAGAAAAAAAAGATGAAAAAATAAAGATGAAAAAGTCGCTCTCTCTCTCAAAAACAAAAAAACAAAAACACCAATACGGAGGTTGCCATGCTCTTCGAGTTTGGATCCTCCCCAAGGAACGCCAACCCCCACTGCTTTTCCTCATGTGATGGCGCCTACCCACCCACCCGCTGAGCCGGCCGGTCATTATTCATGGAAATCCCCGGGGTATCCAACCATGAATCGCCCACGTCTGCCGTCCACTTCCCGCGCCTTGTTTTGTCTCCCATTCACCCTCTCTTTGCTCCTCTCACGTCGACGACGAAACGTCGAGCGAGTACATGCTGTTGTCGAACTGGAACGGTTTGTTAAAGTCGTTGCTCACTTCGTCCCAATTGGGAAACTGCTCCATCGGCATCGCCTCCTCAAGCATCAGGCCCTCAATCTCGGCCCCGCCGTCTTGGAGTCCGTCGAGACCGTCCATGTTGATGCTGTTCATGTCGAGGAGCAGATCCATGTCGACAGGCTGCCAGTTGAGGTCGATGTCCAGATGAACACCTTCCGAAATGTCGCTGTTGGGCTCCGATGATCCGCTGTCCTTGCTCGACTCCGGTGTGTCGTTTGGCGTCAGGGACCGGTATACGCCCATGTCGCTGATGACGCCGTTGGCGCCGAATTCGAACTTGCCCAAGTTGTTGAACAGGCTTTGGGGGTCGATTGTCGTCGCCCAGCCATCCATCGGCGCTGCCGGTGCAGCCATCTCCGGCTGCTTGTTCTCCATCTTTGGCGTGCTTTCCGCCTTGCTCTCTGCGGGCTTGTTGTCCTGCACCTTGCCTCCCATCTTGCTGCCACTGCGCTGCATCGAAGCATCGCGAGACATGGGCGTCGCGCCGATATTGCTTGCTGGCGTCTGCCCCTGCCTCGAAAGGCTCTGCCCCATTGGCTGCGCCGTCTGGGGCTCCATCTTGACCTGACCGTTCACGTCCAGCCCCAGAGACTGAGCAAGGCTTTCCTGCATGTACTTCATCGGGTCTTCCGCAGGCTTCACGTGCTCCTCTTGGATGTGCGCCTGGCGCGCCTGTTCCGAAGCGAACCCCGTGATCGCCATCTCGCAGTCCGCCTCTGGACACAAGAACATGGGCTTCGGCGGCGCTTTGGGTTCCGGCGCAGGCTGTCTCTTGAGCTCCGGCGATCCGGACTTGCTGATCTGAGGCGAAGGGGTGGCCTGGTTCGGTTGCTGCGGCGGAGTCGACTGCGTGCCAGTCTTGGCCTTCTTCCGCGCCGGGAGCTGTAGGTTCTCCTTGGTGACCTTAGGCTTGGAGAAGTGAATGGGTTCGCCGTGCGGGGAGCTTGCGCCAAAGGGGAAGGGGGGCTGGCTCGTTGTCGGTGCCGCCGGGGGGCCGCTCTTGCTGTTGGACCGGCTATGCATCTTGTTGTTGATGTTCTGTGTCTGCTTCTCCAAGTTGGCCATGTTGGCCATACTCAGAGGGAGCGGCTGGCCGCCTTGGCCACCTCCGGCCCCGGTTTGGTTCGGTGCTGCGGGTTGGCCTTGCTGAGGCGGCATGGCGGCCTTCTTGCCGAGGTTGGCACAATCGCGCGCCATACTCTCAAGCAGCCGACGGACCTCGTCAATCTGAGCAGGCCTCACACTGAAAACGGGCTTGGGGTTAGTCATGACTTCGCCATCAGTGAATTGTCTAATCATCCGCAGACGCTGTCAAAAACGTTAGTGGGAACCTAAGCCTCGTGTTAACGCGTATACTCACAGCTCGGAAGTAGCTCTTGGCGCGCGCATCGTCACGAGTCGCGGCGTACCACCGGCCAAGGGCCTTTCCAATCTTGCCCATATCCACCACAATCTTCATTAGCTTGGCGCATGTCTCTTGGCGCTGCTCCGGCGTCATGGGAATGTCGGGCATGTGCTCCGTCATCATCAACCTCTGCTCTTCCTGGCCTATCCGTCTGAGCTTATCAAAATCGCTCTCAGTCGGTGCGATACCCGCATTCGCCGCCAGCATGGCCTGATGGCGGGTCTTCATGGCCTCGTACTTGGCCTTCTGCTCGGGTGTCATACTCGCGATCTGCTCAGGGGTAAGGTTCGGGATGGACCGCATCTGCCCGGGAACAGCCGCAGGCCTCTGAGGCTGTTGTGTAGCTGTCTGAGGGACATCGGCGGGCTCATCGGTGCTGGGGCGCTTGAGGTTCTTCTGCTGAGTTGCCGGCGAGGGGTTAGGTGGTTGCTGTTGGTTGCTGTTCGGGGCGCCGCGCTGGTTGTTCTTCGCCGCCGCGGCGTTAGCAACGGCCTTTGGGTCGGGAGTCGCACTCTGTTGCTTCGGCGGGGCAGGCTGTACCGCCTGGACAGGCGTATGAGTGACGTTTGCCGGTTGGGCAACCTGCTGTGGCATTTGAGGCTGAGATGTGGGCATAGGGACGTTCTGGACCCCAGGTCCTGGATTACCCTGCGCTTGGGCTTGACGCATGGCTATTTCTTTCTGCATAGCTGCGGTCATCTGCCGTTGCTTGATCTGAATAATGAATTGCCTCAGTTGGTCATCTGTGAGACTTGCAATCTTGGGGTTCGCTTTGCGGGCGTTCATGATGTCGGTTGGCGTTACTTGAATCATGTGAGCCGGAATAGGAGGCATGTTTGGAGGCATGCCTGGCTGGTTAGGCTGCTGCTGATTCGGGACGCCGTTGCCCGCCTGCATAGCGCTCTGCTGCAGCTGCGACTGAGGCGGCTGCTGTTGCTGTTGAGGTTGCTGGGGCATATGCTGTTGTGGCTGCTGTCCTTGTTGAGGTTGCTGGGGCTGTTGTTGTTGTTGCTGCTGTGACAGTTGCTGCTGCTGCTGCTGCTGTCCCGCCGCCGCCGCTTGCTGCTCCCGGTTACGCTTCTCCATTTGCCTTTGCATGTATGTTGCGAACTGCGACCTCTGGATCCTCTCGAGGTGCTGTTGTAGCTGGGGCTGGACGGGATTCTGTGCAAGCCATTGCCTGAGGTCCTTCCACTTACGCACCTCGGGAGGAGCGTGGAGTTGATTTCCCAATTGCGCGAGAACCGGCGGTGGGAGATCCATGCTGTCCATCATGACCTGGTGCGCAGGCGCCACAGGCGTACCCTGATTCCTCAACCTAGCCAGCATCTGCTGCTGCTGAGCAATGACTTGCTGCTGGTTGTTGGGGACTCCCGGTTGCGCCTGTTGCGGCATCATGCCGTTTGGCATAAACTGGTTGCCGTTGGGCATGTTGAACTGACCCATCTGCCCGGGCCTGCCCTGCATCTGGCCTGGAGTGGTTCCGGCTTGTGCCATGGCGTTCATTTGCATCTTGCGCTGCTGCTCCTGCCACTTGGTCATGACCTCGTGGAGCTTGTCGGGTGGCAGCCCGTGAACCGCCTGCCTTTGCTCCGGGTTCATGCTCGCCATCATGTTGTGGAAAACAGGGTTGTTGTTAAGGTTCATGTTGCCACCGGCGGCCATCGGCCTCTGGTTCCCCTGATTGAACCGAGGGTCGAGGGTACCGGCGAAGGGGCCGTTGGCTGGCGCTCCTCCCTGGCCTTCCATGGGGTTCATGGCACTTGGGGGGCGGCGCATGGGAGTGTTCAGGGTGTTCATGCCCGGACTCTGGGAAGGAGGGGCGCCGCCAAGGCCATTTGGTTGACCCTGTAATTGCCTAGCCTGCTGCTGTGCTCGCATCTGTGCCGCTTGTTGCGATTGTTGCTGTTCCATCTTCAACTGTTGCGCCTGCTGCATGCTCAGCTGCTGTTGGGCTTGAGTGGGCCGAGGCGTCTGGTTCTGCCCGGCCTGGTTGGGCATCCCTTGACCTTGCGCACCGACGATGGGTTGCGGAGTGGCGTTGCGAGCCGGGCCGTTGCTGGCGGGAACAACCATTTGTCCCTGCTCTTGAGCGAGTATGCCGGCCTTTTGCTGGTTCATGATGCTCTCCATGGTGTTGAACTGGCCAAAGTCGCCGTTGGCAGATTGCATGCCTGCTGCGGCGTTCATCAGGGCAGGATTCATCTGTCCTCTGCCGGCTTGCATGAGCGCCTGGGCTTGAGCCTGGTTCATGTTGGGGGGGATGCCTCCCTGCTGCTGCTGCTGCTGCTGCTGCTGCTGCTGCTGCCGCTGTCTCGCCAACGCCGCGTTCTTCGAGAGACCTTGGAAGGCTTGGTGTTGGAACCAAATAAGGACCGGATCCTTCCCTTGCGCGGTATACTCCTGCGCCCTCTGAGCGAACCGAGTCTGCACAATGTTGCGGTAGTGGTTCTTTTGAGGCTCGGGGCACGCAGAAGCCATCTTGTGGGCGAGCTCCAAGACCTTTTGCTGGTCGTGCGGCGTGAGGCTCGACGCGTCGGCCGGCATACCGTTTGGGGGCCTGACCTGTCCACCGGGCATCTGGAACATTTGCTGGTTAGGCCCGATCGGCTGACCGCCCTGGTTGCCCATGTTGACGCCCATCTGGCCCTGCTGGGGGATTTGAGACGCTTGCATCTGGTGTTGCAGGTGCTGGAACCCTTGCTGTTGGTTCTGACCCATGCCCCGGCCCATCTGGTTCTGCATAGCAACATTCTGGTTCATCATCAGCTGCTGTTGAGCCTGAGCGGCTGCCTGCACTTGGAGGTTGTTGGTGAGGTTCTGCTCGTTCGCTTGTCGCCGTCTGTAAAATTCGTTCGTTTTGTTGCTCATCTGCGCCTCATATGAAGTCTGTGTCTGCCGTTAGCCTCCTGCCTGCAGCACACGGGAGTGACCCGGCTTGAAACCTTACCTTATCTTGCGACTTGTTGAACGCCTCGCGCTCAAAGTTGACGCCTACTTCTGCCGCCTTCATGAAATCAATGTTGGTTACGGCAAGGCCGATGTTGGTGATCCTGGGGGGAGAGTCAGCTACGGCGAGCACATACAAGGCAGGAGAAGGGTTGACGCATACAAGTTGTGGCACTTGATCATGCGTTCCTGGATGGCAACGCCGGCCTGCCAGCCTGTATGCGGCTGCTGCTGGTTAAGCATGGTCTGGTAGAGAAACTGGTTCAACTGAACCTGGGAGGGCCTGGGGCGCGGTTGCTGCTGCTGCTGCATCATCCCCGCCGCGCCCGCCATGTGCTGCATATTTGCGGCCATGGCCGCTTTCCACAGGGTTTACACAAGTCCCCTAACAACACGTCTTCCTAAGCCGATAGCTTTGATCGAGAATGGACCAGGGACCGTCAGGCGGCTGCTGAGACAAGGGCCGCTGTCGAGCGAAAAGTGCGGGAGGATCTGAGGTGCGTCCGCTCGGTCGGTGATCAAGTCTGGGGAGGGTCAAAAAAGTCGCTGAGGGTGTGGTTGAGAAGTCCAACACTGAGGCACGAGCCGTCAACTATCTGCAGGATGCCTAGTGACTTGCGACACGAAGCATCAAAGAAGTAGTTTGGAAGTCTCGGGCGGGTAGAAGCTCGTGGTGGGGTATGGCGATGAGGCCACGATGTGTCGGTGAATATTCCTTTTTGTCCGGAGGGGGCTGACAGATGGTTGTGGTTGAGCGGTAGTGGTGAAGGGGAGGATGGTGAGGCGAGGCGAGGCGAGGCGAGGCAGGTGGTTCGGCGGTCTCGTCTCGTGTTTTTCGTCGCCGGGATTGCGTGGAGTCGATCAAGGGAACCGAGCGCCTGTGCAGTAGCAAAGTACACGGTGCCTGGTCTTTGTCGCTGCAGTACACCAAGTTGGCGAGAACGAAATGGAGAGGACTCGAAAAGAGAGCAGGAAAGAAGATGGTGGAAAGCCACGGCGCGAGGTGGCTGTGGATGGTGGGTTGTTATGGGATTTGGAAGAATTCGTCCAGGAGCGGCGGAAATTCCAGAGAGTGGAGGGTGGGTGGGCGTGGACAGCGGCAGGTCGAGACAAAGCAAGCCGGGGGCTTTGAAATTGGGACGATGCTACGCGTACGGAATCTTTGCTGTGCAATTTTGTCGCTATGTAGTCGTCGCCAAAACGTGGTATGGCAGACGGTCGACGAGGGCGACTCTCCAAGGAAAAGGTGCGCGCGGGGGGGGGGAGGGGACACGACGAGAAAAAGGTGTCGTGAAGTGTGGTGTTGGTGGAGGAAGAGGAAAAGAGGCGGAAGAGGTGATGGCGAGTGAGGTAAGGTAGGTGAAGTAGGCAATGGGCGTGTGAGTGCGTGCGTGTGCGAGGGAGGGTGCAGCGAGCAATGGGTTACGGCAGCAGACGGGATCGTTGGGCGAGGTGGAGCCTCTAGAGATGGGCTTTGCTCGATCAGTGCCAGTTGATTTAGGTTCTGGTGGGCTCAGGATTGACGCTATTTAAGCGTGGAGCCTATTTTTGCCTGTGGTCGACTGGGGTGGCTGAAACGAGAGATGAGAAGTCGCAGGGAGAGAAAGAGAGTGAGAGATGCAGAGTCACGGTGTTCAGGGTGCAGCGTAGTTGAACATCATTACCACGTCGTCTCGATCTGAAGTTATTCGGTGCGAAGAGGAGGAGGGAAGGTCGGCGTCGACCACATACCCAGGACATGCGACCGGGTGAGTGAGGAGAGAAAGTGAGATGGTTGTGGAGGTCGTGCAGAGGGAGAGGGAGGGAGGACGAGGGTAAGGGCGGAGGTTGCAAGAGCAAGGCAGGGTAAGGTGCCTAGGTGGGTGGTAGGTAGGTACCTAGGTAGGGCCAGGAAAGAAAGAGGGTGCGCGCGCAGCAATGAGATGGTGTGGTGGTAGTGGATGTAAGTGAGACTGTGTGGATGACGAGACGGGGAACTGAGCGGAAGAGACGACTGAGATTATATTGTTGTTTTATTCAACGCCGGTACGAATGCACTTTACGGTAGATGGACATTGAGCATAGGGTGCCTAGTACTGACCAAACCACTAAGCTTCAAAAATGTAAAATATCCGTCAAACTACCAGTCCAGTTCCTTACTTGGAGACCGCGACAGGACTGATCGGAGTCCTCGACAAGATCGATGCGGATACGAGCCTGAGGACCTGCGAGTTAAGGAACATGAAGGGCTTTCCTGATGATTGGTGCAAGGTGAAAACGCTCACCCTTTGCGCATTCATGTTGAATATATGTGCCGTGTATTTGGTCTGTTTTTTTTTTTTTTTTTTTTTTTTTTTTGAGATATCGTCTGGGTACTGGGCGAGAGTGAGAGAGAGAAGAGAGGATGGCACGATGGAGATGCACGGTGGAGCAAGAGAGAGGAGGGAGAGGGCGTAGAAAGGGGGGGGGGAAGAGGTGGGCAAGGGGACATGGCGGGTGGGAATTGGATGAGAAAGACGAAAGAGAGCGGGGTGTGGATCTAGAGAAAGTGGGAGGCAGCTGTGGAAGGAGCCGGACAGACGAAAGGGCAAGAAGCATGGGGGGTAGTACCTAGGCATAGACATGGACTGCAAAGCAAGGTGCAAAAGGTACTTCAGACCCACCCTACCTTGCCTAGTAGTACATCGTACCTTTGAGTCTGGGCGAACGGGAGTGTAATGACAACCGCCAGCCAGCACGCACCTTAGACTCTGCCTACAAACAATTTATTCGTACAAAGTCTCGATTCGATACATGTGGTATATTTTATAGAATTGAAATTTCAACTTGCGTATTTCTGTCAGTTCTGTTGCTGTTGCTGTTGCTGTCGCTGTCGCTGCTGTTGTTGGTCTTGTTAGAGAAGGATTGATATCGATATAATCCCCACGGCCAAAGAGACAACCCATATATGGTCATGGTGTAGTTCAAAAGGTACCCATTCACAAACCCCCAACCCCCGAGGTACAACACTGCTATCAGTACCGATACCCAGCAGCCCAGCCCGGCCCAAGCCAGCCAACACACTCGGTATATTGCAACGCAACGCAACGCAACGCAACGCAACGCAACGTACCTAACTTTTGTCGTTCGGCGCACGCAGCGACATTGGGGTTTGCGATAAAAAAAAAAAAAAACCGCCCTTGGTTATGAACCTTGATAAGTCAGTCTCTCGGTACGGGATAACCTGGTATACTGTAAGAGGATAGCGGAAACCAGAAGGGAAAGAGAGGCCAGCGGGCAGAAGTGGGCACCTGGTCAAAATGGGGTCCCTTCCCTTGGGAGAGACGACTTTTTTTTCTGCCCTGCCCTTGCTTCATGGATAGGTAGGTAACTGCGATGTATGTACGGATACGTACTGCCTACTATAGTATCCGTATGTAGGTATGGATATGGATGATGGGAGGCGGGACCAGGAGGGGAAGGGGGTGTCCCATGTGGTATTAGTGACAGGGGGGCGTGGCTCGTCGAATTCTCCCTCCCACCTGCACGGCGCACCTGCCTCATCCTCCTTGTCCCTCTCTGTCTCTGCTTCTGCCTCGTCTGCCTCTTTTTGCCTTTTCTGCCTCCTCTGCTTTTTGACTTTCGCCTCGTCTATACTGCCTTGCTGATGGGTGGGCATTGGCACTTGTTGTGTGTGTGTGTGTGTGTGTGTGTGTGTGTACCTCTTCTACGGCAGTGGCGGCACCACCACCACCACCACCACCGCTGCCACCTACACACACACACACACACACTTCTTACTTCTCCGCACCCAAGCCGCAAGGTGACCAGACCTCTCGCCGTCCATTGGGGCCCCATTGCAGTTGTTGCACCCTGTCCCATGAGGCCCTTGGCCCTGTCCCTGATGCAAGAAAAGCCTGGTGGGCGGCAGTTGTCAGGTACCGACCTATCGTGTCGGCGGTGTGGGAAGCGGTCAACATGGGCCAGAGGGCCGCATCATGGGTGCTAACATGATACATACGTGCAACCTTGAAGAACGACCGAAGCAAGTTCCTCCGGGTCGGCGACTGACGCCAGTCTCGCAGCTGAGAGCACCCGTAGCAGACGAGGTCAAGCGGCGACGTGTGGTGCAAGTGTGGTGGTACCTCGCCTCATTTCTCCTACCTGCCTGCCTACCTACCTAGGTACCTACCTACCTGCGCTCCTCCAACTTTCGACCTTCCATGCTACCGGTAGTACCGTGGTACTTCCACTTCACGCCATACTAGCCGACAGGAAACGACAATCCGAGGGGCCAGTGCCGGAGCCAGGGTCAGAGCCAACCCTCGACACACACACCGGACCCCGAATGTCTGTCTGTCTGTCTGTCTGTCTCTCTGTCTGTCTCTCTGAAGCGCCCTCTCTTCTTGCCCTGCTTGTTATCCGTACCTGGTTTCCGCTTGCTCCGAGGCCATTCTGGCTTGTTCCTGGCCTTGAGCACCGGAGCGCTGTCGGCAGTCTTGAAAGACTTGAAAGCAACACCCGCCACGCATCACGGATCCAACAGCCAACACGCACATGGCTGCCATCCGATCAGCATCAGTCCTCGCCGGAAGATCGTGGACGAGCAGCGCCCCGTGGTCATTGCAACCCCAGTCACGGGTCTCACTTGGCAACGATTTACATCACCCGCTGAGCAGGCCAAGGCACGCCGGTAAGCACCGGTACGACCACGCCTCGGTAACTCTGTTTTATAGGGGTGCGCGCGTCCCCGGACTATCCGTAATGCCAGTTTAATGCGCAAGCCGTTCGACAACTCGACGTTAGACATTCGATATCCCCTTCCAACAGCTTGCTCTGGCACCACCGGCAGACGAGCCAACAGCCGCCAACCCCGGAAGCTTCAATGTTTACCGCCTGCATTCTTTCGCCCGCGCCCCGATCCATTCGTCCACTGCTACAAATTGGCAATGTCTCTCTTCCCGGCGAGACATTAGCCCACTGCCAAGTTCTCTCTCCCCTCTCTCTATTCGTAGGTAGGTACCAGTTCGGATTACCCGTTGACCCTTTTTGGGACGGGCCACGTTAGTCTTTGCCTTTTCTTTTCTTTTCTTTTCTTTTCTTCTACCCTCCGTCTTTTCAGTAGGCGCGCAAGCCTTGGTCATTCCTTTTGCTTTCTTCTGCTTTCATTTTCATTTGAACCATTTCCCCGTCCCTGTTTCGCCAGATTCCTATTCGTCGGTCGTCTCCTCTGCACGTCTCCACAACCCAGCAACGCGATCCCAAAGTCTGAGTCTCTTCCTGCTCGAGCATATCCCCTCCCCTGATCTCGTTCCGGCGACTGACTTTTTTTCTTTTTTTCTTTTCCCCTTTCTTTCTGTCCCTCTGGCACTCCTTTTCTTTTCACGTTCATAATGCAAGGCCAAAGTATCCAAAAAGGAACTGTAATCGCGGCAATCAACGTGGATCATCCGGGCCCTTGCATTGTCGAGCAATCTCGCCCACAAGTACGCCGGATGGGAACCTCGCCCAGTCTTTACAGGGGGGTGTGAGGCGTCTAAACTAGTACAAAATTGGGCCCGAGGTGCTACGCGCCTCATTGTGGCCAGGGAGAGCAACACGGTTGGAGAGAGAGAAAAGACGGAGCCTTCGCAGACTCCAACAGGGAAGGGTGAGAGGGGGCTCGAGGCTCCCAGTTCGTGGCACAAGTCGCTGTCTTTCCCTGTAGTGTACGTACACTGCAGTAGACAGAGTGCTTTAGGACGGCCCCTGTCTAGCGCATCCGCACACATCAACGCTAAGCCGAGAATGACCAAGTCGTGACGGCCTGCTTCTCACTAAGGTACGTGAGGAGTCCCGTCCCTGAGCTGTGTGCCAAGTGATTGAGGCTGTATGGATACCTGACCTGGCGGTGTATCCGCTGGCAATCTGTAACTTTCACAAAGTCATTCTTGCTCGCCGGATTAGCAAAAAGGCATACGACTACGAGTGTGTCTTGAGGAGGTGCGATAGCCAACGGGTTGTGGCCGGCGCAGCAGACGAACCCAAGACTCTGGAGCGGACGTTGGTATTAGGCTCATCCACACCTATCCATCCCAATACGGGCATTGCAGTGAAACGGGACGAAGTACACGCGCGTCAGGAGGAGAAAGTAACCAGGGCACGGATACGCAAGGCCATGGGCACCTTGCGAGTCCCAGGACCCAGTCAAGCTACCTAGTTCTCTGCATCAGTCACCTCTCGACGTGGTTCCTACTGAGTACGAAAAAATGCATTTGGTGCAAGGTGAGAGACGGGCAGGGTGTAGGTGAAGCAAACGAGCCGAGGCCACGCCATTTGCGACGCTACCAGCTTCAACACTTATCCACGAGGGCCGTACTGGCCATCATCGTCTGCGTCTGCCGATAAGATTCGGCAATGCAATGTAGCCAACACGACGACTTTTTTGCCGTCAACCCCAGCGCGGGCTTTCGTGACAGGTGGTGAAGAGGGAGGGAAAGAAACAAGGTGGTGGTAAGGCGGCCGGGGCCAGCGACGGAGCCCGTTTCGATCTGCGATGTTTGCATATCTGCCCCGAGCTCGACCGGCGACCGCCTTGTTGGCCCTGCTCACCGAGTAATTGATACAGGGTGCAGGCAGATAACCCTTTTTCTTTTCTACCAGTATGTCCCTTTCTCTCCGCCTAACCGCACCGAGCGTCGTGCTACCTTGCTTGGTGTCGAGGTGGCATACTACCACTTAGTAATTCATTCATCCCGCGGCTGGGGGGGTGGTGTTTTCTTCCATTGTCGTGATTGACACACTGTGCCCTTCTCGACCAGGACCAGGACCGACCAGGCTCGGACCCAATCATCCATCACTCACCCCCACCGTCGAGGTGCGGCGTTTGTTGGTGGTTTTGCAGCGCTTGAACTGAAGGACATTGGTTTAAGCCACGACGAGGCCTCTCTCTCTCTCTCTCTCTCTCTCTCTCTCTCTCTCTATATATATATATATCTGTCTCTATCTCTATCTATCCATCTCCTTCTGCTGCAGCAATGCTCTCGACGACTCGTCCAAAACCGCGACAAACAGACCGGGAAAGGGCGCAATTACCTGAACTCGGACCGGTAGTCGGCTGGACCTCGCGCACACGCACGCGCCAAAACCTTGGCCGTAAAAGGGTTGTTCGCGCCCCTAAACGTGCAACGAGCTGGAACGACACCCGAACCTTGGATAGAAGTCATTGTTTATACGGTTCGTATACATGTATGTAGATGGATACGTGTACAGTGCAGTGGCCATCATCTCGGTAAGGCAGTCGCTCCCTGTCTTCAACAACATTGTCGTCGGTTTCGTATGTCTGCGCGATACGCACTGTATGCAGGCAGCATCGGACTGGGTAGCGCCTGTTCGAGAGAAGGTTGCGTTACTGAGCACATCAGTCAGGTTAACAAGCAACACCCAGGTCGGCCCCGGCCTGAAGGGAAACAAGGTGTTGGCAGGTTCGGACATCAAACGGAACGAGGTCGTCTGTCTTTCGGCTCTTCCTTTCGTCGCATTCCTGCCTGTTAGTCTTACGAATACTTTCTACCAATCTAGGTAGTTGTGGCCGGCTGATGGAAGAATGTGTCTCGCGGATTCGCGCACTTGGCCGCCCACCCTCGAAGCCTTTTCCGTGGGAAAGCAAAAGAAGAAGAAAATAGCTAAAGGAAAAGTAGAGGAGGGGGGTCCCATAAAAACTCCCTCATGATAAAGTATAATAACGTTTGGCGCTACCGAGGAGGAGGACGACAGGTCTGGTCTTTCACCGATGCTTCTGTTGCTCAAGCAAGAAAGGTGTCGGCGGGATGAACCCAATGCCAATATCGAGACCTCGTCCTAGTTTACCATGCTAATGCATATCCGGCGCATTTCCATCAGCCGGTCGGGCGTCTGGGCAATGTACTAACTACGGTACCATGGCAGTACGCATACCTGGCAAGAAAAAGGAAGCAAGACTTTGCCAAGCCTCTGCAGAGGATCTCCAACTGGAAACCCAGTCAGTCCCCTTCAAACCGGTTGCACCCTCCCCCTTCTCCTCCGTGGATCACGCCGCTCCCCTCAGGCAAGCCCAATCAGGTTGTGCCTAGTGCCCAATCGGTGCTTGTTTGACACTGCTTGTGACTGACAACTGCGATCCTGAATGGTGGTATAAGGGTGCTCCCGCTCAACTAGGTAGCTGACTGTCTCAACCCAAGTATCCATCCCATCACCTACCTACCTATGTACCGGTAGATGGTTTGCCTGCCTCCTCTGCAAGTGGGGGTATGCGCGTCCCCCAGGTTTGGAACCTCTCGATAAGCAGAAGCAGAAGCAGAAGCCGTAGCTGCGGCAGTCGTCGCTCGGGCTTTGGGGAGGGGGAAGGGCGGCTCACCAAGGCAAGAGTTCGGATCCCAAATTCTTGAGTTTGGAGAATCATAATAGTCTTTCCCTCGAGTAGACAATCTACGAGGCGACGACTGAACCGCCCCCCCCTCCCCCCAGCCGTGCGGTGCCAACTTCACCCCATTTCCATCGAAGCGTCCGGTCTTGTCACGCCGTTGAGCAGTGGCCCATGAATGGCCAGACCTCTCGCAACAAGGTTACGTCCCAGACTCGTCTCGTTCCAGCCGCGTCAAGATGCACGTTGCACGTCCTCGGCCACGATCATGCTGGATCCGAGTCTGGCCCTACCGACCTTTGACCGAGGAAACGATTTCTGATACCTGACACCCACAGCACCCTACACTACTCGCATGCATCGTCGATCCCTGCACATCCAGATGGGTTGAGAATAAGCCACCACCACGACGCCGGCTCCCTTTTCCCCACCAACGATTGCCGAAGGCTGGAGGATTCCTCGACTGCACCGGGCAGGACGATGTGGTTACGCCCGGGCCAGCTTTGCATGGGCTCTTTCCGTCGAAACGCCGGCCAGGCATGCCTGTAAAATACATACAGAAATAAATAAATCAAAAAGAAAAGGGAAGGGGGGAAAAACAACAACGGCTTGCGTTGCGCTTGGCTGCTGCGTCGTCTCCTCTTTGATTCCATCCCACATACCGGTATACATACTTGTAGGTGCAGGGCACCCGATGCGCCCATGTGTCGCAGACATCCCGCGCTTTGCACGAGCTGGCGGGGCTGCACCCGAATGACAACTTGGCAGCACGCAGACTGAAAGGAGAGGGACGAGAGACAAGACAGCAGCGACATGGGGAACTGATTGATTATTACTCGATGGTACATACATCAGGCACACGCAGGCGCACAGACACGTACAACCGAAATGCTTTATCGGATTGTTCCCAGCTTGCCCCGCGCGCCGCGTACCTTAGCCGGCCAGAATAGCACATTCGTTTCACACGGAGACGGCCTAGACATCGTGGACGGGGGACCCTGACCAGCTGGGCTATCTTGGCCATCTTGGCTATGGATAGCCTTTGCTTCGGTGCCGATTTCATGCTCGTCGTTTCCAAGTCCGAGATGATTCATCGTGTTCGTGCACCAGGCCCGTACAGCCATCGCCGGTTTCCGAGGGGTCATCATCCTCTCCCGGTGACTATCACCATCAAGGTTGCGAGGACATGGCCAGCTAAGGGCACGTGGGCAGATGACCCTGTTCTTGCCGTTGCCAGCTGTCCGGTGCCTCCATCAGGTAGGTAGCCGGCGCTCAAGCTAGACGATGATAGCGCGTGCTAGCTGCACGCCCGGGAGGGGGTTCGATCAGACTGGCGAACGAGGGGGGACGGCGTAGACTCGATGCGCACATGTGGCTGACAGCAGCCAGTCTCGGTCAAGCTGATCGCCTCACTCGCACACATCACCCGTCCATTGGCGCTGCCTTGTCGGGTCACCTCAGCCTAACAGGGGGGGGGGAGGCCAACGGCGCTATCAACCAGACCCTTGGTCAGTGACGAGCAGCTCCAATGATGTTGGAATAGGGAGCCGCTTACAGCCGAGCCCGCTTCCTATGACATGTCGGAGCCCGCGACCTCGAGGTACGCTATGTATGTCTCGGAGCGGAAGGGAAAGTTAGATCGGGATATTTTTGCCACAGACAAAGCCGGCCGACAAGCTGGGGGAGACTTTTCCTGGCCCGTTTGCTCTCCCTCGCCTCCTCTCTGACTCTCTATCCTGTCCATGATTCTGCAGGTGTCGGCCAGTGCTTGGGCTTTATTGGCCCGTGTCTCGAGGCAATCGACGCCAGGGTCCAACGCTAGCCATCTCAGTCGGGCAGGATTGTCGGCTAGCAATGGCCGTCTCATTGCACACATCATGCACCGTTTAGACCGGGGCTTCAACGGGATCGACTGCTTCTCACGGCCGATCAGGACCAAGACGCTGACAGAAAGGCCGTCAGCGAAAAGAAAATAGAGCGTCAAGCAAGTGGGGAAGGGAGAACATCGGCGTGGTGGTCCTAACGTCCTACGGATAGTCTAGTGCAGGAAACATATGCACCGGGATCACCGCCTCCCATCTCGAGTGGCTGCCAGGGACCACGGGATCCAAGTGACGTGACGCCGCCGGCAAAAGATTTGGGGGAGGCATATGGCAGACACCAGCGACATAAGTGTGAAGCACGTGCAGCAGGGTCATACCAGTTTACCCTGCGCCAGGGGGGGGCCTGAGGGAAAATAAAAGACAAGGAAGATAACAAACAAGAAGAAAAGGCCTGTACACTTCTGTCATATCAAGTACTAGAAGATGCGCGGCGCATTCAACAACTGCGCGAGGTCTGTCTTATTGTCCTCGTTCACCCCAAAATCAGTGTATCATCCGGTACCTGCATTGCAACCAACGCTGGACCCGTAAGACGGTGTCTCTCGATGGAGCCATGCATGGATGAACGAACGTCTGGGCAAAACGGGTTCGGACAAGGCCAACGTAGTACGGTGCAGGGCAGCCCGCCATGGCCGGCCGTTATGCCTTCGCTGAGGGGAATTCATGATTGGAACCTCTCTTTGACCTCGGAGACGATTCAAGGTTCTGACAGTGATTTGTGCCATCCTGTCCGACGTTACCATTGCCGTTGTGCGCTCGGTGTCGTCACATGGTCTCTGTGCTGCTCTCCACATCTAAGGGTGGGGGGGCTCTAGCGGCAAGCTCTTTGATGTGAGATGGACCTCGATATGGACGAAAGCAGCACCTCGTTGTCGTTAAAGTTTGCGCATTCGTCCCGCTTGAACGGCACGGATGACGGCCATGCCAGCCAAAGTACTCGAGCGCGCCTATGCGACTATCCTCTTTTTCTTCGTTCCCCCCCCCCCCCGCTTCTCTCGAGGTCGAGGTCGAGGTCGAAACGACACTCCAGCCTGGAACCTTGCAGGACATACATGACATGAAGCATACTGGCAGCAGGTCAACAGCCCGCTTTCCCTCTGACGATCTGCGAGAACCCCCGACAAAGTTTCGAGCTGGCAGTGCGGGAGCTACTGCGTACGCACAACTAGCTGGTTGAGATGGGACCCCCCTTGTCATGCCGCGCGAGGAAAGGCAACACTGGCCAGGGACCAGACGGTTATTGGCCACCGTCTATCCGTACGTGAGGGAAGCAGGGCACTTACCGGTGACTATCATGGCGTGAGTGTGGGATTATGTCTTACTGGGGGGGAGGGAGAGGGCATAGAGGGTCGATTGAGGAATGGCGTCGCGGCAAAGGCACTCACACGCTCATGCACCGATGAGCCCCAGCTAGAGTCGGCTTCGACATCGCGACGGAGATGGCTAGCCACCGTCGCCTCGCTCAGCCTGGCGCGTGCAACGGACTGCATGAGCCAGCAACAAGAGCCGCCAGCCTTTTTAGCTGCCACAGTTGGAGAAATACACAAACAACAAAGGATACGGAGTAGCACGGGCGGTAGCTCTATATACTACGTGCTCTGTCGATACAGTCAACGATGGTGTCTCATCGCCATACCCAAATCGACGAACCGAGGAGAGAGAGCAGTTTGGGGAGGATGTGGGTCGAGGTCATGGTCCACCCAGCCAAATGCTCCCGTCTCTCACGTCCTCGACATTAAGCTGCATGCATGGTTGTGCGAGGTTGGGAGTGGCCGCATAGTGTATGTCGTGTTTGCCATGTCACCAAGCAGCACACAACAGGACAAGAGCAACTTTGGACACCATGTTCAAACAGCTGTCAGTCATGCTTGCTTGCTGCTCTCGGGGTAGGTGCGGACACATTGAGTCGTCTACCTTGGCCCAAAATATCCGTATGCCCTCTGAGCATCGATCTTCACTGAAAGGTGACGGGAGCGTGGTGCCCGTCCGCGAACAAGGCCCAACCCTGGCCGAGTGGGCTCAAAGAAAGGGCCCTCCCTTGATTGGCACAAATCTCGGTAGGCGGCACTTTCTGTCTTCGTCTCATTTTGCTAGTCCTCTCTCCAGAACACTAGCAGCGGGCTTATGAGTGTCCCCCCACTCCCCACCCCCCTCAATGGGCAAACGGCCGAAAGACTAGTTTTTATGTTTGCCGGGCTGATGGGATAGAGACCGCCATTGTGGGTTCGTCGCAGGTGGCTATCAGTCGGGAATCCGACGTCCAAGGGGGGGAGGATACACTTTCAGAATTCTGTTGATCAGGAGTCTGACTTCTGTGAGGGATCGTCTTCCTCTTGACCAGGATAGAAGAGAGAGAGCCAGATAGGCACGTTCTGGAAGTCTGGAAGAATGGGGGAGAAACTTCAAGCGCGGTTCGTCCCTACATGCGCAACCCAAACCATGCGCCTTACACAGCAGCTGGGAATAATGACTGTTGGCGTCCAGCCTCTATCTGACCAGCAGAGCGCACCGCCGGTGGTCGGTTTCTTCTTGGAGACGCCTCGGGGACAACACGACGAACAACGAACCCTTTAGCTCGTGGATGGACCGACGCCGCTGGACGTCGAGTCCAGAGGTCAGTCAGCCACTCGGTCACTTGTTTGCCGGGGGGGGGGGGGGGACGGGACGACCTGACATTTTGCTCAATGCAACAGAAGAGGGAGAAAAAGGAAGAAGGGGGAAGAGGGAAGGGATGGCGGCGTGCCAAATGGGGGTCGCGTTCGCAGTCATGGAACATCCCTGCTCCCTAGTTTTGTCGTCGACAAGGGTGGGGAGCAGCGAGCAGCAAAGAAAGCGGCGGTCGACAGACGGTGATGGAGGGCGCGGCCGCGGTGGTAATCGACGGCAGTCGTACAAGATTTGAGTGGATCGGAAGCTTCTCTTGGACCGAGGGAAGGGCAGCCGGTCTCCGGGCCGTCTTGGTGCAAAAGTCAAGCCGGACCGGCGCGAAATGAGAAGAGATCCAACGAACCTTGAAATCCCACAAGAGGTCCCCTCGCTCGCACGCACGCACGCACTCTAACAGCACACGAACACACACACACACACACACACACACACACACATAGCTGTACATACGTGTACGCCGTCGGGCCTTAGCATGTTGCTATGGAGTGGGGGGGGGGAGTCTGAGCAGAGACTGGAGAAGCAAGGTGAGGTGCGGAGCGCACAGACCAGGCCTGCAGGGCACCCCTAGGTTGAAGATGGCTTTTGGGGTCACGCCAATAAGCTTGGCTCTTCTCAACTGGCAGAGTCTGGTACGGAGCCCCAAAGGGGGGGACTCCAGGGTCTGCTTTCTTGGGAGATGGTGGTGGAAGGGGGGATAGGGACAGTTTCACCATGTGCTATGAGCATCCGAAGTTTGCATGCTGGCTCTACTGCCCAACCCTTTCCTCCTCCTCCTCCTCCTCCTCTTCCTCCTCTTTCTCTTTCTCTTTCTATCTCTCTGTTTCTCTCGTTTCCAAGCTGTCGATTTCCTCTTCCTTCTTGATCAAACAATCTTACAGGCTGACAAGATGAAAAGGAGGATGAGAGACGAAGGGCATGGCATGTCGTTAATGGATGTCGTCGCCGCCGCCGCCGCCCATAGTCGGTCATGCGAGGGCAAGTCTAGTTATACCTCGAGACTACCCGCCTACAGGTAGTTTTCACACACACGCGCTAGGTATACAAAGTACACGGTCAGCAGCACATGTGGGTACATTCAGGAAACCCCTGTGATCTGCAGGGCCGGGGAGGGGGGTCATTCCGTATCTGTCGTGCTGCAACAACGCCAGGTCGACATGGGCTGGGGGGTCTCGTCGACTTTTGCCGCCACTTGTAATACGTGTGTGCCTTGTTTTGTCTTGTTTCTTGCTTGTCTCCTCTCTCTCCCACTTTCTTTCTTTTTTTTTTTTCTTTTTTCTGCTCATCGTCTCGTCCTGGTCGCCTGCCAGTCAGCCAGCCAGCCAGCCAGGGGAAGAAGGTCGAATTCCCTGTCCAATGAGGATTGAGCGAGCCCCACGGGTTGTGAAGTCGATGGGCGAAGCGATCCGAATAAGAAGACGCGGCAGACGAGCTGGGAACACCGGGAGGTGCTGAGTCGGATCTCCCTCTAGGTCGGATAATTAATATATTGGGGGAGAACTCTGATTAGGAAGGGGGGGGGGGGGGCTTGGGAGGGAGAGAGCCGCGGTGGGGACCAGCATCGAGTCTTATTGGTAACATTGATCCGAGCGCAATCCGTCTGTCTGCCTCTGTGAAGTACACACCAGTAGGTAGAGTGAGTTTCCGGTGGTGGAGGTAATGAGCAGGATGTCGCCGACCCTCGCAAGACGCCTTGCCTCGTGTTGCCTTGCCTCGTCTTGATTGTGCCTTGGCCATCATCCATCGCGGACTTTACTTGTAAACTGCACTACCCTCGGTGCCTAATACGCACTACAGACTCGGAGGGTTGGAGGGGCATCATCCAGGGCATGCAGGTACGTACCGGACGGGCTCTGGCTGTGGCTCTGCAAGACCCGATCCTAGTGTAGTAGGTACGGAGTACTTACGTGCTTACTTAGTTACCCGTGTACGACGCCGCCAGAGCGACCAGAGCCAGGGCTCGCAGTCCACACTCCACCCTCTGTCCTTTGGGGCAGGTGAGAGAGACAACCCCAGCTTCGGCGCCGGATCAACGTCGGGGTTGCCTTTGACGACACGCGATAACGAAAGCACTCCCTCCGGCCGAAAGCTGCCCTCGTGACAACCTGGGAAGATCCCGAACAAAAGATCAATCACGAACACACTGACCATTGGCCTGCCTGCCGTCAAACAACAAGCATCTTTACGACAGATCTGTAAATGCCATCGGCCACTGCATTCTTGTGCCGAAACATTGCCACACCGAACAAGAACCCCGCCATTGCATCCCTCACCGTCGTCCTTCGACCCCTCCATTCCCACGCTCGATTCTCGACCTCGGCCCGCACAATGGCTCCCCCGGCAGCTGCCCTCGACTTTGTCGACTTCGTCAACGCTTCTCCTACACGTGAGTCTTCGCAGCGACCCGACGAGAAGCATTACAAGACTGTCCCCTAACTAACGCGCTCTCTTCGCCACCACCACCAGCCTACCACGCCTGCGCTACCGCCGCCGCCCGTCTCGAGAAGGCCGGCTTCACAAAGATCAAGGAACGCGATTCCTGGAACTCGACGCTGCGTCCCGGCGGCAAGTACTACCTCACCCGCAATGGCTCGTCCATCGTCGCCTTCGCCATCGGCAAGAAGTGGAGGCCCGGCAACCCGGTCGCCATGATCGGCGCCCACACCGACTCCCCGACCCTTCGCATCAAGCCCGTCTCCAGGAGGAGCAACGTCGGCTTCTTGCAGGTCGGCGTCGAGACCTACGGCGGCGGCATCTGGCACAGCTGGTTCGACCGCGACCTCAGCATCGCCGGCCGCGTGCTCGTCAAGGACGCCGACGGCAACTTTGTCCAGAAGCTGATCAAGGTCGACAAGCCGCTGCTGCGCATCCCCACCCTGGCCATCCACCTCGACCGGAGCTCCACCTTCGACCCGAACAAGGAGAACGAGCTGTTCCCCATCGCCGGACTGGCCACCGCCGAGCTGAACAAGGGCGCCCCGGCCCAGCAGCCCGGCGCCGACGACGCCGACGGAGAGGACTTCAGACCTCTCAAGGCCATGACGGAGCGCCACCACCCTCACATCCTCGACGTCATCGCCTCCCACGCTGACGTCGAGCCCGAGGCCGTCATCGACTTCGAGCTGGTCCTGTACGATGTGCAGAAGTCGTGTCTGGGCGGTCTCAACGACGAGTTCATCTTCTCGGCCCGCCTCGACAACCTCAACATGACGTACTGCTCCGTCGAGGGCCTCATCGCCTCGGTCCGCGAGCCCGACGTCCTTGACAACGAGACGACGATCCGTCTCGTCACCTGCTTCGACCACGAGGAGATCGGCTCCACCTCGGCCCACGGCGCCAACTCGAACCTCCTCCCCGCCGTCCTCCGCCGCCTCGCCTCGCTGCCGGGCAGCCGCGACACGGCGTCGGACGGCTCCTACGTGGCCGTCTCCCACGACGGCGACTACGAGTCGACGGCCTACGAGCAGACGCTCTCGCGCTCCTTCCTCGTCTCCGCCGACATGGCCCACTCGGTGCACCCCAACTACGCCGGCAAGTACGAGTCGAGCCACCAGCCGGCCATGAACGGCGGCACCGTCATCAAGGTCAACGCGAACCAGCGGTACGCGACCAACTCCCCGGGCATCGTGCTGCTGCAGGAGTGCGCGCGCCTCGCCGGCGTGCCGCTGCAGCTGTTCGTCGTGCGCAACGACTCGCCCTGCGGCAGCACCATCGGTCCCATGCTCAGCGCCAAGCTCGGCGTCCGGACGCTGGACCTGGGCAACCCCCAGCTGAGCATGCACTCGATCCGCGAGACGGGCGGCAGCGCCGACGTCGAGCACGCAATCAAGTTGTTTGAGAGCTTTTACGAGCGGTTCGGCGAACTGGAGGAGAAGATTCTCGTGGATTAGGGAGCAGAGGAGAGGCAACGGAGAGGGTGTGGGTGTTTGGGGCTGGAGTGAGGCGTTCTGTGTAGATGTTGCGGCACTGTAGCAGCAGGCTGACGAGAAAATAATTTGAAATTGTTCATTCCACCGTTTAGGTTTGATGACTGGTGTAGCGACAACGTCAGTGGCATGTCATTATACGGCTTGATAATCCCGAACCGCTGTAGAATTGTCGTCCTCCGCGGGACGTGTTTAGTATGGATTTAATATGGATGAGGTGCCCAAGTGTTTATTTAACCTTGGAAATAGTATCACTTTGTCTTGCACTTTGAGATTTCCGAAGCGCAGCCGAGGTTCTTCGAGAAAACCAACCATCCCCAACCGTAAAGCGCCGTGCCGCCCGCTCCTTCCTCCCTTCTCTCAATCTGGTGACAGAAGGTGCGCCAGCTCTATATCAATTTCGGCGACGACACTCCGCGCAGGAGCTCATCTTCACTTGTTTCACCTGTGGGAAGAGCCCTTCGGAAGAAAGCTTTCGGCTTTTCCCTGCCGTTCTGATTAAATCCCCAATATCAGACCCTGATCTTGAGCAGCTGGACTTCAGAAGCCAAACTTGCTACCCTTCCGTCACGGAGAACCAGGCGCGTTACCCGACAATCCTCTCGCGTACTTACGACTACCACCGGTGAAGGTACCGGTCTAGGACCTCTGTATCCGAGCATTTCCTCATCGTCAGCCCTGCCACCAACCTGGGCGGCTTCAGCCTGATTCTACCTCGATCTCGACCTTAGGACAAGTCACCGCCAACATTGGCTTCGATCTCAACCCCACCAGCCTAGGCCCTACATACATCTTGAGGTCAAGGCTTACTTAAACTCTCCGTCTCAAGCAAACCTATCTCCGATACGAGAGTACTCGATACCTAAAAACACAACCCTTCCATTCCATTCGAGGCCTTGTCCCTGGACTTTTCTTCCTCGATACCCTTTTTCCACACACAACAATCACGGAGAGCACACAAACTGAAGTTTTTGAAAATACTGACATTGGCTGCAGCACACAGAACAGCTACGTCGAAAATAACGAGCAGGTATCTTCTTTGGTTCTTGTTGCTTGCCCCTTGGCAGGAACAAAAGCCCAGCCCCTCTCCTGCATCCTGGCATGAATTCTTCCTAAACAGTATATCACTATCCTCTGTAACGCAATTTCACCTGCTGACCCATTCTCCAGCAAGAAGACATTGATTCATCCAAAAGCCACACCCCTCACGACATTCACACGCCTTGCTTCTGACTCCTGTTTTCTTCGGTGGCACTCATACACTACAACGCAGCAAGTCGCGCAGCAGAGCAAGAAGGCAGGCGAGTCGCTCACTGGTGCACCTCTTCCTCCCATCATTCGACCTACCTCATCTTCCCCAGATACCAACCATTTCATACACCCCATTTGTCGCAACCCCGACTGCCATCTCAGCATTCTCCCATCAACTTTAGGATAGCATCTTAACCCATGGTTCCTCATCTGCTTAGTCTTGAGATAATCACTCATTACTTATAAATTCTGACCTGAAACTCCTTAAGCACACCTAGCTAACCTTTCTATAGGAGTCGACCACAGCCATATATCATCCCTGTAAATTGTCAAAACTGGGGGGTTCTGGTACTTTCGGGAACAAGTGTCACCCCACGGGATAGACCCCGACGTCAGCTAGGACATTACCCAGCCCATTCCGCAGTTCAGGCAACGTCGTTCCTTCTTGGGCTCTGTTCTGCAAACGAACCCTCGCCGCCACCAACTCCATTTATCAAGGCCTGAAGTCGACCGCCCTTGTCTCCTGATTCATAATATATTAGCTTATATCGAATCGAACCCGTGAAGCCATATATCCCAACCGTACTCTAGACGAGTCGAACACATATCCTTACTCTTCAACGCGGTAACTCTTGCCACGCCGAACTGGTTGACTCCAACGGCTGACTTTAAGCACGAACTTACACAGAGCAATTTATTAAGGTTTATATATCAAACATACCTGGGATCTACAAAACTACATTTAAAAAAAAAAAAAAAAGGTAAACCCCTTCTGTTGATCTGCCATATACCAGTGATTCTCGCATGTTAACATTTTGTAGAAGCAGGCATCAGCATCGAAGATGTGCCAGAACGTCTTCTACACCTACTCGTGTGGCCACATGGAGTGTGTCACTTACTGCTGCCTTAAGTGCAAGGGTCCACACGAGTCCATATGCATCTATCGTCAGGAGCCCCAGTACACGCCTCTCAGGGACCAGGTATGCCACGATTGCAACGAGATGGGCAAGAAGAGGCGTCAGCGCGCTCGAGATCGCCGAGAACGATACCTGCAGGAAGAAGAGGAGACTCGAATACAGACCGAAGTTCAAGCCCGAGGCTATATATCTGAGTCTCGGGTCTCTCTGCACGAGCAACAGTCCTTCGAATCCCAGCACCAACATCTCGAGTCTCAGCAGACTCGGCGGGCCCAGCAGGCTCTGCAGTCACAGACCCGTCGGGAGCCGGAGTCGTCTTCACCTGACGGCAAGAGCATCCGTCCACTGGAGTCGAACAAGTTGGGCAACATGCAATTTCACAGCGAGGCTGATGCGCTGGGCTTGCCGCCCCACGGCCTGTACCGGTTCTACACAGATCAATAAAAGAAGAACAGGGGTTATAATCATTTGCATAATAAGACCAAAAAGTCTTGACCAAGTGGTGGATTCAAATGAGCATCGATGAGCCTATGGTATCAACACATCTTACCGGTGAGGGTACATGGCGTTTCGGCATGGAAATAGGGACAGCATATTATACCTAAGTTTGGGGAGGCATCAACCAGCGTCTGCTTTTGGCAGTGATAGTTGCGATCGGAAATCGGTCATTTTTGGTACCAAAGTTGATGGGTGAATCAAGAAGATTGCTTTCTTTCTTCTGCACCATCCGTTGTTTGCTTTCATCGACAATCGGATGATAGACTACCGTTGCATGCTGCTGGAACGGGGTTGCATGCCTGTCGATCCCATCAGCTGTTCCTGGGGCAGGGAGACAAAGACTGGGAAATATGGGGGGGGGGGGGAGTCTGAATGCACTGATGCAGTGATGGAGGAGGACAGGGATGTCTGCAGCCGACGAACCTCGCTTGCCAGAGCTGACAGCACTGCTGTCCTGGTGCTCCAGCTGAGCTTCCCAACAATAGTACTAGCACTAATGCTAACACGTGGAAAGGTGCTTGTCCCTGGAGGGAGCTTGCCCCCTAAACCCCACAAAGGATATCTGGCCAACTCGATTTTTCCCTTTCAACCGCGCCCCAACGTCATCATTCTCCAGCATCACGGCGCTTTTGACCACGTTGTGCACCTAAACTTCTGACAACCATGTTTCTTTGACAGACCACACGGGTACTTGACAAACAATTCCTCTTTTCGAATCCCAGACCGAATCCCAGACAGCCGCAGGGACATCTCTCCCCGCCAAAAGACCTTCCTCAGCTTCGCCAAACATGGCCCCCCCTTTCGAGTCTGCGAAGATCGCCCTCGATTACCTCCCCTACGCCTGCGAGTTTGACCCCCAGGATGCAAACCGCCTCCTCGTTGGCGGCGGCGGCGGCGCCAACAGAAGCGGCGTCGCCAACAAGATTGTACGCTGATCCCCTCCTCCCCACCTCTTGCGCGACATGCGACTGATACCTCTCCCGCGCGACAGACAGTGATCGACGCTTCGACCAAGGACGAGTTGCGCATCACCGGCGAGGCCGACCTCAGTCGCAACGAGGATAGCGTCATGACTCTGGCCGTCGGTCCCAAGAAGGGCCGGACGAGCTACGTCTATGCCGGCATCAATTCGAGCCCCGCCGACGTCGAGAAGGGCAAGAACGAGCACTTCCGGGTCTTCGGTGTTGAGCAGAGCAAGGCGCGCGGCTCGTCCGGCTCCAATGCGCCCGGCGTGGCTGTCGCTGAGCTTGCGCGCACCGCCCTATTCGAGCATAACGGAATCGACAAAGACGCCTACCAGCGAGTCCTGCGGCTTTCTGCGCCACATGGCGAGAAGCCCCAGCTCGGCGCTGTGGCGACTGGCCTGGCTAAAGAGTCGCAGATTGCGTTGTTCGAGGTCTCGCCCGCGAGCGCTACTGCGCCCAAGGTCAGGGGAAGGCTGGACATTACAAAGGAGCCTATGGACGTCGACGTCGTCCAGACCGGGGAGGATGAATTCCAAGTTGCCTACTGCGACGAGCGCGAACTCTTCATCATCAAGGTTACAAAGTCTGAAGTCGACGGTCCCCATCTCGCCTACACCATCAGCGAGGACGGCACCGGTGCCTGGCCCACGTTCCGGTCGATCCGTTTCCTCTCGCCAGGCTTCATCTTGGCGGGCACTAACATCCCCAAGCGGGCTGGCGCTCTCTTATTGGGCATCCGACTGCCCACCAAGGCGGGCGAGATGGGACGGCTATCGGCATCGGCGAAGCTGCCTCGCTCGGTGAACCAAATCACCACCATCGCCGCGCGCAACCTGAGCCCGCCCTCGACCCCGGGCGGTAAGATTGGTAATGCGCAGTTTCTCGTCGCCGCCGTCGGCCAGGACCGGTCGATATCGCTCTTTACGCTCGAACATAGGGCGCATTCGAGCATTGACCTGCTGGTCGACTTTGATCTCCTCACGACCCTGAAGGAAGTTCACCCCCTGCAGATTACCAACGTCGCCTTGTCCGTCTACGTTCCGCCCAAGACCACAGCGCGCCCCCAGTACGTCAAGCTGGCGAGCATATCGATGAAGAACACCGTCGTCGTGCACTCGATCCTCCTCAAGAGGTTCACCGACAGGGACGTCCCTATCCGCAAGGGCGGCCCTCCCCGGCCGCAGCGGTATGCCGTCGCCCTGCAGCCACGCAAGCTTACGAAATCGCGGCTTTCGGTCGTGGCTTTCCTCATCTTACTGCTCGCCGTCCTCGTTCAGATCACACTGGAGAGCAACGGTGCCGTGCGCCCGCGCATCCTTCCCAGCCGCGGCGCCGTCGCCAACATGCCCAACGAATTTATCAGGTCGCTCATCGGCGACGCGCACAACGTCGACCTCCAGGGTGCGTCAATCGTCCTTCGCGAGGAACTCATCAGCCCCACACACATCGAAGAGGACCCCGTGCCGAAATTTCAGGCCGCCATTCACGACGAGAAGGAGCCCGCGCCCGCCGTCAGCTGGGAGGACCTCGCGCCGCAGCAGAAGAAGCTGTGGAAGGAGAAGCTGTCCAAGGCCGGATACTGGACGCAGAACATGGGCGAGAGCGTCTTTAAGGGCGTTCTCTTTGGGGAGATTGCCGGCGCTGTTGGCCGCGCGGTGGGCGGTTAGAAGGCGCTTTGGGGGCAGGGGGGTTGGTGTATGGATTTCAACGTGTTCACGGATATGTCGTTGATAGCGGTGCCCGGGGACGGGCGCATACGATTTTAATCACGACCTTGTACGATTCACTGGAGCATAATAAAAGAAATTTTTGGAATACACGCGATTGAAAAGTGATGCCTATGGGGAACATGAAGCACTCCGTCATCGTTCTTTTATTGATTTCTTCTGGCACTAATGCTACATCCGCCGCCGGCGCGTCGTGGTAGGCGGACCGGGTCAAGCTTCATGAAGCTTGCTGCTTGGTCATTGCTCGTCGGCTTGTGCCGGTGTGTGTGACTGACGGCCTTGACATTCCTTACCCCCCCGATGTTTTCCAACAAAAGCAAGAGCTGGAGTTCTAGAGACAACATGCCTGGTCCTGGCAGCTTTTGATCGCGTCAGTGTAACCCGGTTGCTCCCTCACGAAGCACGACAGGTCCCAGGGGTGAAAAAGAAGGTCAACGGCACTGCAATAAAGTCACATTTTGCTCGAGACAGGCTTACACTTTGCAGTAGCTCACGACGGCAGGCGAGGTGCACCGGCCGACAGTTTGAGGCTATCCCCGCAATGGCCCCCATGTCTTGACGAGAAGTGATCCCGACTGGCAAATTCGGCAATCGGAAGACGGGAGAATTTCTGGAATCGTCATATATCTTGAACAGCAGGGCGTATGGCACTGGTACCGGAATCATTGTATGCACCCCTCGCCAGCGACTGATGGTCTGAGTTGAATCTATGCCTCGAAAAGAGCGTAGAAAAGGGGTGTGGATCTGGAGATTGCCGATGGCGATCCTTCAAGATACTGTGAAGGCCGACTCAAGGCACAACTGAACCAACCTGGGCAGTTTGCCTGAAGCGTAGTAACAACGATGTGGAATGATGCTGAAGGGTCGATCAGTCAGCCGGTGGTGACGGGAACATTAGATGCCAGGAGGGATTCCTCTCGGGAGAAAGGGTTTTTCTTTTTGGAACCAGACATGCCACGATCCCAAGAGCACGAGGCCAATGTATGCTGCACAATCGTTTGGTGATGGGCACACGAGGGAAACCCCTCCCTCTTGGAAGAGAATGGCATGAAGCTTGGGACAGGACAGGACAGGACAGGACAGGACCAGTCGGGGAGGTCGCCGAGAAGGAGACAACAAGTTCTTGATAGGAAGGTAACACTACCAGGGCTACCCATGCCTGAAGGTTATTGGCCAATCGGAGGGTTCCGTTGAAACACGGCATTCATGGCCCCCGGCCCAGTTCGCCTATGATAAGGCTTATCGTCTTCCGGGCCCGTGACGTGGAGCGTCCGCTAGGGGGGGGGGCGAGTTTTCAAAAATGAAGCTTTTCCAGTTCCTATGTCTGTATGGCGTTACCTATCTATCCACACTAATTCCGTCAATTATGCACCATTTCTTATCTTCAATACTTGGACTGCATTGTAAGTTACGGAGAAAAATACGGCTTACGATAAGATACAGCAACGATTTATGGGAGACACACCGGCTCTGCGGCGTTCGTCAGCGAAATCAATCCGCGTTTCTGCACATCTCCTCCCTTGTCCTTTCAGGGGGATACGGTTTGTTCTCAACGCCAAGAGCACCGTGAGGTCCTCCCTGCGCCCTTCTCAGGACGTCTCCGAAGAAGAAATGACAATCCGAAGCACGCCTTGTCTTCGACGCCGTCTTCGCGCTACAAGGATACTCATGGTTTTGAGATGAGCCGCCCCGGTAAGCGATTGGAAAGCGTATTGCATGGGCCAACGTAGCGGGGGGCGTTCCGTGGTTCTTCTGGTCGCCACGTTTTTGGGACGATTAGCTGTACAGCCGGAACAGGGACTGCCCCAGCACACGAGCAATGCCTTTAGGATCAGGTACGAAAGTTTGCTCCCGGTCATGGTGAGGGACCCCTGCAATCGACGGGTGGCAAAAGAGAGGTTTTCTGAACGCGACCCGAGACGAAGACTGGTCGTCACCTCCCCCCGCGAGTCCGAGTCCGAGGTTCGTATCACGAGGGAAATCCCTCACGAGATGAAGTCGTTTCGGTCCAGCACCTTCGAGGGGGGGAAGACACCCAGCCTTGGCTGTGGCCATCAACATTCAGCCAGAATGACTACTTTGCGGAAGATGAGGTTGGCTTTTGCACAGCTAGTTGGCATGGAAAGCCTGGACCTATGGTACCGGTATACAAGCAACCGGGGAAAAAAGTATCGCGGAAACTCACTTCTCACTAGTGCCGAGCTGAGTTCTGTCATCGGTTATGCTTAGCCGAGACTAACAAGCTTCTTCCGCGCCTACCGGTCTCGAGGCTATTGCATTCTTCCATCACTGGAAACCAGCAAAAGAACGACCAAGACCGGCGGCGGCATGAACAGAGAGCCATGCGAGATTTGCAAGCGAACAACTTCTTCGTCTTACTTTAATCCAAGCTGGGACGGTTGCGTTGCAAACACACAAGAGTAAAAGAACAAAAAGGAAACAAGAAGGATAAAACTGAATGGACGAGATGAAAGAGAGAGAGTCCCGTGCCACCTATTCGTCTGTTGGTCTGGGTGAATGAGACAAAAAAGCACTTGACCAGCCTGGGGGTCGAACCCAGAATCTCCTGATTACACGAATCCTTTCTACAGAATCGTAGTCAGACGCCTTGCCATTGGGCCAACCGGCCATTATCCAGTTCGCTTCGAACCGACGAGATGGGATCCCGCTGCTTGTGGACTCGGCGAGCAGAATTTGCTCTTAGCCCTTGGATACGTGGGGGGTGCAGGTGGTTGGTGACGAAATTTTCTTCTCTGCGCGAGTGGACATGATGGGGAGAGAGCCAGAGCCAATTTGGTGGGTCGGATGGGGGTTGGATTGAAAGGAAAGGAGCAGGCGGCAAAAGAGAAAAAAGTGGATTGACTGCATTGATGGCCCATACGCTCAGACAAGAGGTTGGAATAGCCGTCTCGAGGTTCTCATTGGCTTGTCCGTGTCCGGAACCCCGGGCAGTCTGAACTGCTGCAGGGGGTCGAGTCCGTACGAGCAAGTTGCCTCCGGGCGAGCGGTTACGAGCAACGAAGACGAATACCCGATCGGTTTCAAGCGGCCAAGTTGACCAACAACTAGTGTTTAACTGACTTCACCCAAACGATCACGGGCCATTCCGGATCCCCCCCCACCCCATCCATCAGGGAGGGCTGTATCCTGGCCGTCGATCAGGTTCTCCGGAGAGATGGGCCACTCCCCTCCGCACCAAGTCTGGCTCAGAGTGACAGACGAACGGAGTTGAGACGAGACCAAAGTACCACAGTGCCTGCGGTATATGACTTGCATGCATGTCCGTGAGCAGGCAGTGTGGTGCAGGGACGTCAGTGAAACATGTTTCTCCCATGGGTCAACTCATGAAACGGAAGACTCGCAAAAGGGGCGGGGAGACCCTTACTGCTTACGTCGTCGTGGTGACTACTATACGACATCATAGCGCCAAGACATCTGTATGACAACTGCATTCGATATCTGTAATTGACCGACAGACAACTAGCAACATCATGTTACATCCAGCTTTGTAACGCACAAGGACGTTCGTCGTGAATGGGATCTATCATTGGTGGCTATGTATATACAGTACATCGACACTCCCCCAAGACAAAGCGAATAGCGGTTGTGAGCGCCTGCCCAGCGTTCAGGCTGGTTTTAGTCGCCGTAAGTCGCGGTTGCAAGCCTTCATAAAAACACATAGTCGTAAACATCGTGATCCGGACAAACCAACCAACACCCGTGCCGGTTTATCTACCCATTAAGCCCCTCCATGACTAGCCACTGACAAACTAGTTGGCGGGCGGCGCAGGTGCCACAGGGGCGGGGCGAGCGGCTGGCTGCGCAGGCTTGAGGGGAACTTTGGCAGTGTTGGGAGCCGCAGGGGGGGCAGCGTTAGCCGGAGGAGCAGCAGCCGGAGGAGCAGCAACCGGAGGGGCGATAGCAGGAACCGCGGCTGGGGGAGCAGCAGCCGGAGGGGCAGCAGGAGGAGGGGCGGCAGCAGGAGGAGGAGCAGCAGCTGGCGGGTTGGCTCCCTTGTCCTTATCAGCACCGTCAGCAGGAGCGGCACCAGCTGGGGGAGCTGCAGCAGGTGGGTTGGTTCCTTTGCCCTTGGCAGCACCGCCAGCAGCAGGCGGGTTGGTTCCTTTGCCCTTGGCAGCACCGCCAGCAGCAGGCGGGTTGGCTTCCTTGTCCGTATCAGCACCGCCAGCGGGGGCAGCGCCAGCGGGTGCAGCAGCAGCAGGCGGGTTGGTTCCTTTGCCCTTGGCAGCACCGCCGGCAGCGGGAGCAGCACCGGCAGCACCGGCAGCACCCTTGCCCTTGGCAGCACCGCCAGCAGCTGGTGTGGCGGGAGCGGCGGCCTTCTTCTTAGCAGCACCGTTGGCGGGAGTGGCGACCTTGCCCTTGGCCTTTGCGGGAGCCGCGGGAGCTGCGGCTGCGGCCTTGCCCTTGGCAGCCTTTCCCTTGGCAGCCTTTCCCTTGGCAGCCTTGCCCTTTGCAGCCTTTCCCTTAGCTGCCTTGCCCTTGGCAGCCTTACCCTTGGCTTTCTTCTTCTTGAGCTGCCGGGCACGAAGGGGCACTGCGCCATCACCTCTCTCGAAGTCCGCGAGCACGCCAGTAGTGGTCTCGACGCCGGCGAAGGAGGGAACGAAGATGTCACGAGCACCCTTGCGCTCTTCACGATCCTCCAAGTGCTGGTCATGGTTGTTTTGGAAGCTGTGAAAGTGTTAACGAACCGACTCGGTTGATGGTAAGCTTGGTGTGAACGTACCCGACAGCCCTGCTGTCAATATCAGTCGGAAGACTGCTGACGCTAACAATGGTCGAAGCCAGGACGATGCCGAGTGTGAGGAACTTCATTTTGATGGAATGGAGTGAACCGAAGTGGACTGAGTATTTGTTGTATCTGTCGAGTTGATTCGGAGTAAGCGTATCTGAGAGAATGTCTGTGTTAAATTAGATACCGTCAGGCCTGCTGTTGAACAGATCAAAGCCCGTCCCGCAGGAGAGGCAGAATACGGATCTTTATGTACTCGCTTCATTCCGGTTCCAAACATAGACCTGAATAGGGTGGTGATCGGACCAAGGGCGAACATGTTGAGGCAGCGTGGCCAACCGAGTCTGAAACCAGTCTAGCAAGATAGAAATCAGTGTGCTGGGCGCAGAGCCTCCCACCCAAAACATCAAGAAGTGGTTATTGATATTCCCCACCTTCTTCGCCTTCAAGATAGTACCGTAGTAGTGCTGAGGTCACGCTACAGCAGAGAGTCAGCTCGGGACTCGGTCCATTGTCATCCCAAGTCCAAAACTCTGTTCCATTGTCCGATGTCGTTAGCCTCTCACCCTGCTTGTATCATGCCGCGCGCCAAGGTCCTCTCACCACCACACACTGTGCAGCGTTGTTCATGCCTGATTCGAAACAGCAAGGTCGCCGCCTCACCTGCTACGTAGTCAGTCGTGGTGGTATCCAGAATAAGCGAACGTAGCCTTGGGCACGGGTGATCGGCCTGGCTCGTGCCCCTGCCACCCCTCGTCGTGTTTTCACGTTTGAAGGCAGTAAGCTTTTCGACGTGCCTGAAGACTGGGCCAGTGTTGCAAGACATGGCAAAAGAGGCGAAGGAGGTCAAACCATCACACACTGGATCGTGTCGTCCAGTCTTGTTCATCACCCTCTCGGCAGTTTCCATTGCACCCCAAGCATTGCTTATCACCCTCCTCGCATTGCTCATCGCATGATTGTTGGCGACTCAAACAGAGAATGACGAGATTTGATAGGCGGGACAAGGTGATACCTCCTGGAATAGCATACACTTCGTAAAATGGTTGTATGTGCGACTGACAAATAGCCAGGGTAGAGTGACGGATGCGGAAGGCATACATTGGCAGATTTGGCAGCTTGCATCCATGCAGCCAAATCAGCACCGGTGTTATTCTCGACACTGAGAGGGGTTCGATTTCTGCTTTTTGTTGCAAAGGAGAACCGACGTATGCAGCCAGTACGGCTGGTCCATGCCGTCGTCGGCCGCCGTTCTCGGCCAATCATTTGATGATGATGCGGTGTTTGAGAAGCAAGGATCTATCAATCCGGGATAGCGGGCACAGCCACGAGGTCTGCCGAGAACCGATCGAACGACCGATGCCCTGGCAAGCCGAGCCTCATTCAGGGTGTCTTTCTTGCGCGATTCGCAGCCTCCGTCCCCCGCAGGAAGCGAAGAGGTTCTGCACCACTGACGTTCGGACCTCCGACTCGTATCGCAAACGCGATGGTGTGTAGGAGAGGAACAGCAAATAACGGCGTTGCGTTCAGCTGAAATGCCTCCATTGCCAAGCGGTCTAGAAAGCACCGCAACACACCTCGGAGGTGGGCTGTGTTGCCTTGAGCATCGCATGATGTTAAGGTCGAAAGATCCAGACGAGGCACCGGCAACGTCCGAGCCGTCCAGGGTACAGCCTTGTAATCAAGAAAACAAGTCCATCCACGATTGAAAGGATCCCATGTTCCAAGTACTTGGTGTCGTACATCGGTTGCAAGTCGGTTACGGCTCTTGACACCCCCGGTTTCCTGGCCCCAATCGTAGATTGGTTGATATTTAAGAGGCCGGCTGCGAAGCCGAGACACAGGCCACAGTGCGGTCCATCAGACCCTTTATCGAAGTTTCAGTTCCCAGGTCTTCGTCAATGGACAAGTGTTGCCCGGGCTGCGAGAGGTAACGTGAAAGGCTTCGCGTCACAGTGGAGTGTTCCCACGAGATCATCTCCAACGGTCGTCTGGGAGACATGCGGTTCTCCGTCTGGACGTCCTTTCTGGGAGAACCGTTTCATCTTGTAACTGAGACCGCTTAGTGAGACGATTCCCACTAGATGTTTGTTGATAGACTGGTGCGGGCCGACGCATCTGGAGGCAGTGACTTTGGTCAATCGCGATTGCTAAACAGTTCTCGTCTTGCCGTAGAAAGCTTCCAGAGGGGAAAACGGAGCCACCCGGCCCAATTTCCAAAACCTGAAAGGATGTAGATGACCAGGAACGAGTGATGGTGTCATCATGTTGAGTATTCCAACATGCCTCGTCTTGACTTTTATGCGCATGGGGCCCAGATCATGCAGAGAAGACGACTAATAGTAGGGTATTAGTAACAAGCTGATTCGGACGCGATCAGTGCCACAATGCAAGGCAGAAGAGACCAGAAACGCACGCTCCGGAGACCCTTCGCTGATATTGAAGTCATGGAGGGTTGTGGTAAAGGTTTGCTTGGCACCTGCAAGAGCTGATGTTGAGTTAGCACAAGGATCAGATGATTATCGTGACAAAAGCAAAAAGAGAGAAACCTCGGGGAATGCAAATGGATCCCAGCTAATAACTCTATCAGGCGCCAGGGGCGACGAACGGCTGATGCCGACGGCGGTTGAGATAGAGTTGCGAGTTCTAACCTTGGCTCCAACCTTAGTTTCCCATGGAGATGACGACGATTGTCGCCTCGTCCCGAGCTGGCAGGTGCGGTGGAAACTGCTTAGATGAATTGCTTCCTTTGGGGGGGACCGAGGCCATTCGAATGAATATTCATCTACGCCCACCATCATTCTCCACTAAAACGAGCACAATGCATCAAACCGAGGGAGTGTTCCGTACACGGTCCACTTCCCCGTCCACCATCGTGTGCGAAGGCAACCGATGCACCTGTTCTTCAACAAGGTGACACAAACCTTCCTCAAGTCTTCTTCTTTTTCTTCTTCACCACCACGCCGTCCTATCAAACAGCCACACACTCACTCACTCACTCACTCACACATCCGAAGGGATGACAATGCCCACCGGCAACCGAGAGGCAGCCACAGCCACAGCCACAGCCGCAGCGCCGACGGCGGCGTCAGCATCAGTCCAGACATCCACACCGCCGCCAGACGCCAAGATCAGCGCCGCCGATGGCCGCTCCTACTGGCAGGGCGTTGATGCCGATGTCAACGGCATGCTGGGCGGTTTCCCCTACATCAGCAAGGTCGACCTGCAGGGCTCGCGTAACTTTCTTGCCAAGCTGGGCATTGGCTCGAAGAGCGGTCTGCGGCCGGTGAGCCGCGCTCTGGAAGGCGGGGCCGGGTAAGTGTTAGTTCTGTTTGCATCGCATCGTTGTTTTTTGTCCTCTTGCTTGCTGTCTGTCTTGTATGGCCCCGTCCTGTTCTGGCTGGTGTACCTGTACATTGCACCATGTGGTTTTCTTCCTTGTCGCGTGGCTTGCCATATATCGCCCTGGCATCGTGAGCACGATACACGCCCCCCGTATTTTTCTTTACTCACCGCCATCTCATTATTCATCTCACCGCCTCTCATCTTTCTTCAATCTTCACTCCCTATCCTCTTTTCCTGTCTCACTCCCCCGCACTCTCTCCCCTAACCCATCACCATAACCGCAACAATGCACGAGCGGGCCGAACTAGTGGTTTGCCTTGGCCTCTGATGCCGGGGACTTCTCACCGTCCCATATACGTACTCGTACACTGCATCGACTCAGCACCCCTGCCTCGTCGGCTCAAGTCTCCGTACCATGCATCTATGCTAACACCAGGCCCCCCCCAGCATCGGTCGCATCACCGAGGGTTTCCTACTCGATGTAGCCCAACAGGTTGACGTCGTCGAGCCCATTGCAAAGTTCACCGCTGCTCTCCGGGAGAAACCCGGCGTCGGGTCTGTGTTTAGCATCGGCCTCGAGGAGTGGAGACCCCTCGAGGGCACCTCATATGACCTTGTCTGGAACCAATGGTGCCTGGGCCATCTGACCGACGACCAGCTCGTTGACTACATGCGTCGTTGCAAGCAAGTGGTTGCCCCCAATGACGGTCTCATCGTCGTCAAAGAGAACTTGAGCACTAGCGGCGTCGATCTGTTCGACGAGGTTGATAGCAGCGTCACGAGGTGAGTAACTCACAGGCATCCTCGCTCGCCCTTGCCGAGGTGTTTGCCCTGGCCTCCCTCTCCAACCACCATTTTGTTGAAATGATTCTACCGCTCTGCCTGCCTTGTCTTCTCTCACTCCCTCACTCCCTCCCTCACTCCCTCTCTCTCTCCCCTATATCTCCCCTATATCTCACCCCAACGACCCGCAGGGCTGGGCAGTTTGTTTGCATGCAAGGCACCTGCATGTACAGATACTGATGCAAAGCAGGGTGGATGACAAGTTCCGCGCCCTCTTCGAACAAGCGGGTCTCCGTCTCATAAAGACGGAACTGCAACGTGGCTTTCCCAAGGAACTGTTCCCGGTTCGGATGTACGCGCTCAAGTAGTCGGATTTGGAAGACGCAGCGGCGGCGACGGCGACGGCGGCGAACCATGGATCTGGGGGCCTACGGCCAGGAGGCCAAGGGGGGCCGGGGACGCCGGCCGAATGGGAATGGACTAAGCCCCAGAGCCCTGAAAGGTATCCCGCATTCACCCCTTCCCTGGCCTTTCAAGCATGGGATGGGACGACATGGCGGCTCGGGCTCCGATCTACTGCACGATGCGGCAGCCCCCCGGCCGCTCGTAGGTGGGAACCACTCTAATTCTCCGATCTGGGAAAACCGGGACCGAGACACACAGAGAGAGAAGGAGGGATAGAAGGAGAAGGAGGGGGGTAAAGAAGAGGGGGGGGGGGGGAAGGGTTGTGGTACATGGTCGTATTTGCTTTGTATGTTCGAGTACATGACACGCGAGCGGGTCGCCACGTCGGTTGTGCAGATAGGCGACAACGAACGATCGAGTGGCCAAACGGGCGTGTACAGAGGACTTGAGGTTCATTGGGTTCGCCTGCTTGCTTCTCTGCTCTGCTGTCTGCTACTATTGCAGCGCATGCTTGCGATGTCAGACATCACTAGCCGCGTCCCTTGAAGCTCTTGCCCACCTCCGCCCGTACGCGCCCTCGTGTGCGTGTCTCCCGCGATGGATCTGACAAAGAGGCTACCCTCCGTCATGCAATGCAAACGCAACCCGGAACTGAGACTACTTCTCGTCGTCGGAGGCATTGGTGCCCAAGACAAACGATGGGATTGCGGTTCTCCCTCCCCCCGCCCTCCTCAATCAGCACCCGAACCCCCCCCAAAAAAAGAAAAGTGAGGCGAACCTCCTGCATGCAGCAACAGTTCCATGTATAGTACGGGGTGCACATGGCCAACCCCGGGAAGGGATAGAGAAGAAGCGAGAGATGGGGGAAGGGCATGAATGAGTCAACGCCCTTCGTTGGAGACAACAAGAGCGCGACCAGCGAACGAAATAAAATAAAGATAAAAAGAAATTATCGTGAACCGCAGGAAGCGCGAGACGGGCAGGGTGGGCTTCGTTGAGCTCTCCCGTTCCGCTGGCACCCCGTCCTCCCTTCTCCCTCCCCGTCGTCGACGACGCTTGTCTCGCTGGCATCTTCTCGGACGGGGGAGGGGATCTTTGGCTACGAAAATGGGGAAGGACGCCCGACAATGTCTGTGACACGAGGTCCGTTGGAGCGACTCCCAGCAAACATGGACGAAACACGGGGGGAGGGGGGGACGAGGAGGCAAAAGAGCGGTGTCATGTTGGTCTTCGTTCATGGTCGCTAGCTCCCGTCCTGCTGCTATCGTCGTGATCGCCTCGTTTCCCATTCACCACGCCCAGCGACGCTCCCTCTCCCTAACCACCTCGCCAGCCCCTCTCCCCTTTCCTTTCCGTTCATTCTTGACGAACCCATCTCCATCGCGGGGGTGGCGTCGCGCAAGGGGGGGGGGGGGATCGACTTTGGTATCAGGCGTATTCCGCGTGACGCTTAACCCCCCCCCCCCCTACCCTCTTTTTCCCTCCCAACCACCTGCCTCCTTTCTCCATCGTCACGCGCCCGAGACCGCTCAAAGCTTGAACTCAAACGGCTCCAGGCCCCTGGCGCCGACGTCGACGCGGAACAGGGCGCCTCCGAGCTCCCTCTGGTCCTCGGTGCCCTCTGCCTCGCCGAGCTGCGCGGTCGTGATGAACAGCTCGGTCCCGACGAACTGCACGCACGTGGTGGCCAGGGTCGGGACGCGAACCTCGCCGACGAGCTCGCCGGCGGGCGAGATCTTGAGGACGCGGCCCTCGTTGTAGACGGCGTGCCAGAGGTTGCCGTCGGCGTCGACGCGGAAGCCGTCGGGCTCGCCGGGGCCGTCGTGCGCGTAGAAGACGCGCTTGCCGGAGAGCGCGCCGTCCGCGGGGCTGTAGTCCCACGCGTACACCTTGCGGTCCGTCGAGTGCGTGAAGTACATGGTCCTGCTGTCCGGGGACCACCCGACAGAGTTGGGGATCAGGAGGTCCTTGAGCACTTCTTCCTTGCCCGATGCGCCATCGAAACGGTGCAGGGCGCCTGTGGTTCGCGGGAGTGTGTTAGCCTTTACTACAGGAGCCGGGGGGGGGATGGTTTGTTAGTCCGGGGGCGGGATGTGAGTGTGATGCGGTGAAGGGGTTGCGTTGTGTTGGCATGGCGATGGGCAGTGATATCGTGAGTGAGGGGGGGGGACAAGGGTCGTCGTTGACCGACAACCCCCCCCCCCCCCCTCTCTCTCTCTATCTCTCTCTCTCTCTCTCTTCCCCCTATCGAAAAAAAAAAAAAAAAAACCTAGGAGACGAATCGTACCTTCAGCTTGGAAATCTCGCAGCCCGAAATCCGTCATGGTGCCGAGCCAGAAGCGGCCGTGAGGGTCGACGGCGCCGTCGTTGGCCCTGAGCCTCTCGTTGTCCGTGTCATGCAGCTTGGAGACGTACTGGTACGTGCCCGACTGGACGTCGAGCACGGCGACACCGTACTTGAGACCCACCAGGATCTTGTTCTTGGGGTCGACGCCGGCGATGTCGGCCGTCACTCCGACGGGTACGTCGAGCTGCACCGTCCGCAGCGATTCCGGGCCCTGGTCGAGGTTGACGAAGTGGATCTGCTTCTTCTTGATGTCGACGAAGCGGAGGACGTCGGCCGCCTTTTCGTAGTAGGGGCCCTCGCCCAGCCCGCAGTGCAGGTTGAGGTAGGGCTTCTCGGCCGTCCACGTCTGTAGGGGTGCCATGCTTGCGGGGGTTTCTGGAAACGTTGCGGATCGCGGAGAGTGAGAGAGATGTCTCTCTTCCAGAGTTTTTGTATAGTCGGTGAGGGGGGGGGGGGGGTTACGCGATGAGGAGATGGCCAGAATTACCCGGAAAGCTTCTGCCACCTTGTGTCTCGCTCAGCAAATTAACCGAAGGAAACCCGGGAAACGTTTCTCGGCTCGGTACGGTTAGTAGGCTGGCTGGTCCGATTGAGAAGGGGGGGGGGCAAAGGGGAAGAGAAGCTTTCTGGCAAAGGTAGACGTCGGGACAGCGTCGGTCAAGAAACGCGTGGAGGGATGCAAGATATACATCCATCTGGCCTCTACTGCAGAAACTCGGCGCTGGTTCGCGTGGAATCTGTCGCCCGCTTGATGCGTTAGGTATCTGGCCGCAGAGTCGCTCCGAGACCCACGGAGCCTCCGCATTCGCATCCTAAACCGTCGAGCAACGTCCTCGGAACGCGGGCCGCCATGCCTTGATTTCGCTCGCCGGATACCGGTGTTTACATGAAGAGAACCAACGTGTGAGAGCATGCTCAGCTTGAGCTGCTTGTACAAGAGTGATGCCACAAGAAAAGAAGAAAGAAAGAAAGAGAAAAAAGAAAGAAAAAAAGGACGCGGCGGATCAATCGGTAACAGGCCAGATGCTGGTCAAACCCTCCCGAGACCTAATTGCGAAGCATACAACCAACGACTGCACGGGCGGTGCTGCTCTGTTTGCTCTTGTTCCGCGCGGCTGGACATTAGACGCTAGCTGTGGGTTTTCGGGGGGGGGGATTGGGAGTGCGCAACATTTGTGTACTGACTGATCCAGCGTCATCCCCGTTCGGGAGGCGTCCCGGGGAACGCTGGTGCATGTTCCGGGACGGCGGCGTCGGGACCGTGGACCGCCGTGAAGATTTCGTGTGTCATTTGAAGCCTGGTTCGCCGGCCAGGCCAACGGTTCTCCTATGAACAGTCCCCCCCAGGTTTGAGCAGCTCATTTCACGTGGCGAGACGTCCCTGCGAGCAGAGCATTTCCCGTTGGCTCTGTGGAGAAGAAAGAGAGGGGGAGGGGGGTAGAGGGGTCGTCTTTGACTTTCACCTCACTTTGGATCTGTTGCGAGAATGACCAATCTCAAAATAAGCGAGTGTCGGCTGGCATAGACGGGTGGGTGTGTGTGTGTGTGTGCATCCCTTTTGGATACGGATGCTACTGTGGGTTGAAGCCGCGAAAGGGTTCGTCTCCCAAACCGAGATGGTCTTGGTACGCTACCGTATTCACGACCAGGTAGGTGTAGGTGTGTGTGGCCCAGTCCAGCCAGTTCCCCGGGGCTGTGCAGCAGGTTCGGCTGCCGTCCTTCCCTGGAATGTTCCATCACCAGGGGGGGGGGGGGGGGGGGGATGGGGGAACCAGACATATGATCGCCCACAACCTTGGGCAGGTCATCTTTTTTGCAAATTTCCCGAACGAGGAAAGGGAGGGGGGCTCTCGTTCCTATTCCTGTGGCGTACATAGTTCATGTAGGCCGGTTCGTTCGCCCATGAATCGTGCATTTTGGGTATCGATGCGGGTCAGATGGGAAATGGTACAGCGACCACCTATCCGTACCGTAATTCCTGGGGTGGGTGGGATCGAATCGAACGAGTGGCGCGGCAAAGAATGGAGGAGATTCTGGAAAAAGGGCATAATACTGCTACTATGACTTACGTATGGGTACGGATATATACCTACCTGTACTATCTTTCGCTTACCGGGTCGTATTGGACGTAAGCTTCATCACCTCGTCGCCAGCTTCACCAGTGACGTTGGAATGCCAATGACAAGGGCCGATGGAGAAGGGGGGGAGGCGCCTAACGTACGCGGATATCGTCATGACGCTTTCTTAGAATCACTCACTCACTCACTCAAAACTCACACGCATACACCACACCGCCAGCCAAGACTTGGCTTCGTCTTTCCTCGCTCAAACCGGCTTGCTGCAGATGACCCGCCGGCGGGCGTGCTGATCACCAGGCGACTCCCGCTGGCCCAAGGGCCGGGAGATGTCTACCTACCGGTAGTGAGTACCTAACGAGGGGAGGTCGGAGAGGAGGGGAGAGGAGAGGTGAGATGGATGGAGATGGAGAAAGATGGAGGGAGGGCCAGCTGGGCGCATGAACGGCGGCCCGTGTCAACGCCGTCGTGAGGGGTGCAGCCGCAGATGCATGCCATTCTCACATCGCGTATCCTCTTAACCACTACTACGGAGTACATACTTCGTGGTATGTAGACTAACTACTCCACTCAATCCATACCAGTCGTCACCGTTCGTTCGTTCGTTCATAGTACCGACATCGCCCGCACTTCTCGTCCTCTCAGCGTAGCATCCGCCGCCCCTTGCCCGGTCGAAGCTACTGCTCATTTGCCGTTTCGCGAGATTTGACGCATCTCTGTTTTTTTTTTCTTCTTCTTCCCCCCCCCCCCCATTCTAGTCTGGGGGCACCGCCCGCGCGAATAGCGTGCAGAGATCGCCGGTGCAGGGAAGGCCGCGCTCAATGGTCGACGCCCCAAATTTCTTTTTCCTCGCGTGCCGCAAACTGGCAGCACGGCGCTAATTGCTGTGACTAGCGACGGCGGCTGCTGGCTGGTTATTGGATGCGTGCTTGACTAGTCGGGGGAGAGGGGGGGGGGGGGGGGGAGGCCGAATTGCTAGGGACGGGCCGGAACAGCGAAGCAGACAGAGGCAGGGAACAGGCCTGGTTCTCCCTCTGTGCGGCCGCCGTCCGTGTGGTACGAATGCGCACTATTTATTACCTTGGCTCTATGGATGGATACTTACTTAATACGTGATTGATCGCTTACACTAACTAGGTACACCTACTTGATGTGGTACGGCGGCACTTGGGCGGACGGACGGCTCCCGGAACAGAAACAGAACGCCACGCTACCCGAATCTGGCCCGTGGAGACCAAAAGAAGGGTGTGTGTCAGTCTCGACTCTCTTCGCGGCAGAGAGAACATAACATATACCTGCTGCTCCCCTGACCCTTGCGAGGAATTGCGCAATGCAACCTTCGGCTATGGCATGTCATGCATTTGCCCGGGGACACGGAGCATGACATTGTTCACGCCGTGGTCGGCCGTTATGGGTAGTCTCCGCGTATTCAGGGCCACGCGCCGGGAACAGCTGATCGTCATCATAACAGCTCTTGTTATTGCTGTTGCAGATGTCTCAGTTGTCTCAGTTATCTCATTTCAATTGAAGTCTGCCTACTACCCTTGAGGGTGTGGTGTGGGGTTCATCTCGCAACCTTACGATCCAATATCAGCGTGTAATTGACAATGGGGCTCCCGCTCCCGTAGCCATCTGGCCCTCTGCTGCTTGGGGGTTATGCAATACCATTATCCGTAGTTGCTTCAGCACACGACGATGACGAGGTAGTATAAGCTCCTCCCCCTTGACCGATGAAGCTTGAATCGGTGTCAAGGGTGGTGATGCAAGATGCATCACTCATAGTGTGTAACATCACGCGGCCCTCCCCGCTGTTCTCGCTCTCAGATTTGCCACGACGCCGCAAGCTTTCTTGTCAGTCATTGGGGTGACCGGCGTAAACCGAAAGCTTACACCCCGCGGCCAGCCGCCGACGTTACATTCATTGCGTGGACGGGAGTGTTGCAACAGAGTGCGATGAGATGAGTGTGCCCGTTCATCTTGAATCCCAGGAGCCAGGAGGCATGCTAGGTATTAATGCTATCCTAGTCTCCCTACTACTACGTGTGATGGGTAAGTAAAAACTCCCTAACAGGTAGTGTGGAGTTGTGACCCACGTACGCGAGACTCTCACTGGCCAGAATTATGATGGATGTGCACAAGAACCTCAAAGTACCGTCGCTGAGGTAATCAGAAAAGCACGGCCATATTTACCTGACGAGGGGGTTAAACTTTGGCCCGATACCATAGTATGTACGGTGTTTGCCTTGAGCCCTGCGGGCTCTTGGATCATCCTTGTATGATCCGCTGCAGCAAGGCCTACTATGTAGCAATGCGGAAGTTGACCAAATTTTGAGCCTCGGCCGCCGGGTTCCCGCCATTCGCTGCGCACGCCGAAAGCGCCGTCTCGCTGCCACCAGGCAACTATTGCAGAGGCTGCCGCTACTATGTACACCGCCGACGCGCGTTCAACGCATTACAGTTGACGTTTTGAGTCCGGAGGTTCGGAGCCTTGGCCGCTCTCCACTCAGGACTCGGAACGATTTGGGGGGGGGGGGAGCCACGGTTCGGGGCACGGCGCACTCTGTAATCAGCCTAGAGCAAGGTCCCTTGACGAGCCTAGTTTCGCCTGGCAACAAAGTCCACCGCGTCTGTGACGAAAGCAGCCTAGTGTTTGGCGGTGGATCGCGTGCCAGATTCCAGGAGCCAGGCCGCGCGACATGGCAGACCAAGAACGCCCCCCCCCCCCCCCCCTGCTCAATGTCGTACGGTAGTGTTATGCCATCGCGGAACCGCAAAAAAAAGCCCCTGGAGGGGGGGGCTAGCAAAGTCGATGGAATGATTAATGATGAACAAATCCAGGCTCCACATCCACTCTTCTGGAACGATTCATTTGGCTAAGCGAGTTGATGAGCCTGTCCGGTAATGAATGGCTGCGAGCCACCAGGATACAAGGTCAGGGACGATTCACACGGATGTCGTCTGGAACGAAGCGCAAGTACCCTTGTACCGGCCCTGTCCTTGACAAACATCACCGTTTGTGATGGGCAGAGAGATGTGTCAGGGGCCGCGTATTTGGTCGCAGATGGCATTTCGTTGCTTCTTGGGCCTTGCATATACTAGCATACCGTACAGCTCATGCAGGCGGCATGGTGCATGTACAGCAAGGACACGTCCCGCGAGCGGTACTGTGCTGAGCTTACAGTACTGGGGGTCGACCAGGGATCGGATCAAACATCATATCATGTATCATCTTGCAATGACGGCACGGGTACTCTTGTTGTAGTCCCGGCAAGGCAGACGGGCAGGGCAGGGCAGGGCAGGGCAGGGCAGGGCATGATATCATAACGACCAGCGCCAGCCAACGCTAGGCGGCAGAAACCACCAACAGTCGACCGCGCCCGGTCTGTTTATGCGACGTGTTGGAAGGTCTGCATTATCACACCAATCGTTTCTTATGACGGTTTGCGAGCCTGGTGTTTGAGCAGTCGGCCAAGTGCCCGCAAACGGGACTATCGCGACCAGAGTGAAAAAGAAGAAATGGAGAAGAAAAGGGGGGTTTTGAAGGGGGATAGAATGAGCTCTCCAAGAGGCGACGATAGACGACGACAATACGAAGAAGAAATGAGACGGCGTGAAAAGGCGTGGATGGCAGACCATTGAGGGTGGAGATGGTATGAATGGAGGGGGGTCTTTGGAGTGAATCTCAATCTTTTCCAGGATGCCAATGTCCCTTTCCGCTGGCCCAATCCATGTCGTCAATAGTGACCGTGTGACGGGCACCTGGAGCTGGAGCCGGAGCCAGCGGCCGCTTGGGGGGGGGCCTTGTTGTCATGGGTGGTGGGTGATTATTTCAATCCGTAAGGTTGATGGGCAGGGAACATTACATCGGAATCGATAGTGATGTGGGGAAGGCGGTCGAGGTGTTACAAAACGAAACAACGGGCGAGCGAACAAGCGTACCCGTACTCTGTGCGATGGATGGATGGATGCTGAGAGTGATGCTGTGGTATAACGCACACTAGTTAGTGGCAGGTCGTCGATTGTCTACTCTTTGGGGCAAAGGTCGTCTTCACCGGCCAGCTGCCAGGTGCTTTTGTTCCTAGCTGCACAAGCATGGCACGGCCAACGCACCCTACCGGGGACTCTGGAGATCTTTGACGGTGGTTGATGAGGGAGGTTATGCACACGGCGATACGCTACCGGTGGGAACGCCTCCCGTCCACGGTGGGCTGGGATGTACGCAACATGCGGCGTGGCCATCCATCCCTTTGCTGGTGGCCTACTGATGAGAGCGAGCCCAGGCGTCTTCGCTGCCATGTTCCAACGAGGCTGCTTATCCGACATCCGTCCAGAAGCAGCAGCAGCCGTGGCTACGCGTGAAAGGCGTTCCAGGAGGTCGGGAACCAGGGCTTGCATGGCATGGCATGGCATGGCATAGCGTGGCGTGGCCTGGCGTGGCGTGGCCTGGCCTGGCCGAGGATCTTGAGATGCAGCGGGCGGGACCAGAAGAAGGTGGTGAGTGGCATGGCATAGCCAGCCCGCCCAAGCAGACCAACCCACCCTCTCTTCGATGTGATGCGTGCAATACGTTCCCGCGATGCGAATGTGGACACGGCATGCGTCTTGGTGTGGACCTCGACCAGACAGGCCACAGACCAAACCATCCGTCCGTCCGTCTGCTGGCCCGGCGTCGTGGAGGAGGTGGAGGTGGTGGTGTGGTAATTTGGTAGTGGTGACTTGGGGGGGTTAAAGTTTTTGCACGTCGACTGACCGCCTTTGACGGTTGCTCTGTACCTGGTTTGGTATGCCTGTATCCGTAGGGCTACCGTGTCATGTCGCGAGTGATGGCAGAGCACAAGGTAGGCACCGCTCAACTCCCAGTCTCCTGCGGGTTTGGGAGGATCCCAACGAGTGACGGCGGGAGCAGAAGAAGGCAGGCTTGTCAGCAAGGCGGGGTTTGTGGCCGTTAAGCGCCAACTGCACCGATGTGCTGTCAAGGAATCGGCGGTGCATGAGAGTCGTCACGGTCGTTCGTCGAGTCGACGTGCGTGGCACCAAACCTGGCACCCGAACTGCCTGCAAGGCGGGAGAGGGATACGTGACTAGTCGGTTCCCAATGAGCGTCAAGTACACGTACATACGACGTGCATTGGCGGACCATCCAGATCAAGATCGTCGCCGCCGCCGACTGGAGCCAGTGTATTGTCTGCCGTGATGTCGTATCGTGCACATAGTGTACGGAATAGTGTTGTGCAATGTTCGCTTGTCGCGGAAGAGATGGATGGATGAGGCGTGATGGGCTTTGGCGAGTGCCGGTCGTCTTCTCGAAAAGACGGTGACGTTTGAGCAGGCCAGGGGAGTTTCCGTCTTCCCCGAGAGGAGACAGAGAAACGTTTGTTCATAGTGTACTCCGTAGCTGGGATAGCATGGGCTAAGACGGCAGGGATCCAGCTGCGCGTATGTACGATGTAGTCTAGCGTAGGTGGTGGTGATTCTTGACTCCCCCAGCTGCTCGCTACTAGTCCAGTAGCCAGCGGTGGAGCAAGGAGACCGGCAGGGTGTACGTATATACAAACGATACACTATGGGAAGGACTGAGACGAGAAGAGGGAACAGGTTCCGTCGAGAAGACGTTGAGGAAGCAAATAAGGTACCGAGATGGCCCAAAAGGGAGCAAGAGAGGGTACCTACAGTACAGTAGCGCAGGGTTGGTGATGCGTCAGGGACAGGGGATGAAGAGGTCGGCGGAGTGGGTGCGCCATGGGTGCCCAATATCCAGATGGACTGGGCCGTGTGCAGGTACCAGCGGTCTGTCTGTCTGTCTGTCTGTCTGCTTGTTTGCTTGCTTGCTTGCTTGTGCCGAGCTGTGCCGAGCTGTGCTGAGCTGTGCTGTGCTATGCATCACATCGCATCGCATCGCATCGCATCGCATTGCGCGCATCGCATCGCGCAGTGTGCATGATGGGGCTGGCTTGGGCCGTCTTGCAACGGTGGTGGTGGTGGTGGTGGTGGTGGTGTTTGTTTGCTCCGAGTAAAGAGTCAGCGAATCTTTGCTCTTGTTGGCGAAATGAGCATGGGATGCCGTTCCAAGACAACGCAAGCCGCGTCAGGAGAATGGCCAAGCAACTACGTAGTTTGGCTTGGCCGTTGGAAGTGAGGCGTATGAGCTGAAGCTTCATGGCGTTGATCTTTGGGACGAAGGCGGAGAATCTCGGAGGGTTCGGTGTGAACCAGACAAATGACTAGTTAAGGACATACCCCTCCCCTCCCCGGTCCAATGCCGGTTCGGAAGCCATGAGAGGAGGAAAGTTGAAGAAAAGGAAAGAGAGAGAGAGAGAGTGTGTGTGTGTGAGAGTGAGAGAGAGAGTATGAGTATGAGATTGTGTGTGCGTGTAAGATGAGGGCCGACGGAGATGAGAGTACCTGCCTACACCTACACCCAGCATGAGAAAAAAGTACAAGAGATTTCTTGCCATTCATGTGCAACGAACGTTGGCGATGGACGAACCAACGGCCAACGGCATGACGCCCACTCGGCTGCCATTGCTGTCACCCTTCACCTCACTCAATCTCAGCCAGCCAGCCAGCCAGCCCTCGGATCCATCCATCCATCCATCCATCATCCATCATCCATCATCCATCCTCGTCCGTTCACCTCCTTCCCGCCCCCAACCCCAAGTCGCTTTATCCTGGCTTTGCCCTACGCCGTGATGCTTGTAAGTTCTGCCGGTGCCCCCTCCCCCCTCATCTTAGGAAATTCCGTCATCAAATAAACTTATTTAACCCACGGCACTCCGTGCTACACTCCCTACCTCTCTCTGATTAAAAATAATAAAATAAAATAAAATCACTCCCAAGCCACCCACTCTCGACTTGAGACCAGATACGGGTGCGCGGAGAACGCCATGGCTGCCCAAGCCCTCGGAAGGGAAGGGTCCAAAAAGGTGTAGCAGCACCCAATCGAAGACGAAGCCGTCCTGATTTAATGCCACCAATGGCTTGAACCATTCATTGTTATCCCAGTACTCCGTATATGTACACTAGACTCTGCTTCCAGACTCTGCTTCAGTTTCGAATGAGCACATTACCCCCACTCATCGCCCCCTCAGACTCCGAGTGACACACAGGGCTGGCTGTCCAGCGAACCTTTTTTTTTTTCTTTTTCTTTTTCTTTCTTTCTTTCTTTCTTTTGCCTTTTTTCTCCTGGTGGGGGGAGGGCCGCCGCCGTTGTAAGTGTTGGGACCGAATCTCGCTTCGGAATAGGTGAGTGTGTGAATGAGTGAGTGAGTGAGTGAGTGAGTGAGTGCCTCGGGCCTCAAACATGTCTCGACGATGAGGTCAACAAACGGAACCGTGGCGCACCTCTGCCGAATGAGGACTGAGTGAGTGAGAAAAGGGCAGCCAGCGACTTTTCTGCATCTTGTGAAAGGAAGGGGGAATAATGCAAACTCCCCAACTTTCAAATACCTGGCTGGCTGGCTGGGTTGGGAACAGTTCGTCCTCCCGCCCCTGCTCGGTGAGTGTGGGTACCAGAAACAGAAACATGCCGACGGGTGCTGCGCTAGGTGAAGGTACTCTTCGGCGTCAGTTGCTGCATGTATCGTTGCGCCAAGTCCAGATGTCTCGAGTACTTCGGACAGCTTGGGGGGTGTGATGAATGTATTGGCTACTCTCCCGGCTTGGTTTTCTCATCGCCCTCGGCTATTATTTCTTCTGGGCTTGCTTAGCTCCAGTTCCTCTCTCTCGGGTGTCCTCATCTGCAATACAGACTATTATATAAACTACCCATAACGGTAGATGATTTGCCTAGTGTGCAGGCCGTGTCAGGCAAGCATGTTTCCCGTCGCAAGCGCCGGCCGCCACCACCGGCACTGTCAACGTCCAGCGACCTTTGGCGTCTGAAACATCCGACTCGAGCACAACTTCGCAACGTCTAGTCGAGCCAGCCGACTTCCGCAACGAGCCGATGGGGGGGGAACTCGTGTTTGACCACATCATTCGCACCCCCGCCCGCCCCCCGTTGCATGCCGCCGAGAGATGGGGCGTCACTTGCCAAAGTACCAAAGTCTCTCGCCCGTCCAACGAGACGGTTCATGGCCCTTGTTCTTGACATCCGCCACTTTGACTAGTGTACCTTGACGAATGAGTGCCTGTCAAAGGCATGCATGATGCAACTGACGCCTGTTGGCCGGCTCTTCTCGTAATGTATGTTTGTATGTATGTATGTATGTATGTGCTCTACGACGAGCCAACTTGTGCGAAGCCGCTGCTGAAGGTTTCCCACCCCGCCCTGGCCTGACCCCCCCCCATGCGAACCAGGGCTGTCCAAACGCCGCCGTTGTTCGGACGGGAATTCGAATCGACATGGCCCTGCCGTTATGCTAGACATTGATGGCTCCCCTCCCAGTTCTCGGTTCTCCGGTTCCGACCTGGTCTACTACTAATAGTGCAGGGACTTTGTCAATCGACATCCTCGAGGCTCAGCCAAAGCACCTTGCGGATTTGTGCTGACACGACCAGCATCCCCGAGTTGGTCTGCATAACCACTCCAACAATCATGGGATTCTCAGCCAGCTCGCATAACACCAGCCGGTGCTCTCTAAAAGCCGATGACCCAGCTGGGCTCATATGAAAGGTGACCGAATGCGGCCCGGGTGCCGCCATTATTGTCGACCTTTTAATGGATACAACACACGGTAGGATTGACCGCCGCCGCCGAGGCCGGTGGATGTGCACAGTGGTGGCGGTCTACCCATCCTCCGCTACGTACATTGTGTACACTTTACTCCGTACATTATACAGGCTGTTTACAAAGTACACTACAACGCCGCATTGGACCCGCAGCGGGCAGGCGGCTTTGGGACGAGAGTGCGCGCGGGAGAAGGGGAGAGAGAGAGAGAGAGAGAGAGAGAGAGAGAGAGAGAGAGAGAGAGAGAGAGAGAGAGAGAGAGAGAAGGTGTTTGACTGGGATCCGTGGTCCTGGACATTCGACGCTACTCATCCACACCGCACCACACACCACGGATTACAGATATTGATGCAACACACGCAGCTCTATACCTTGTCAGCTCGCCCGCCCACCACCTCACCTTGGGTCTCCGCGAACCACGCTAGCCGGCAAGTCGCCTAGTGCCCAGGCAGACTAGCTTCCATGAGCCTGGTCCCAGGACGACGTCGTCTTCGGGGACGCACGCAGGGACCCCCGAATACCGGCCGGTTTGGATTTTCGTCCCTCTCTCATGCTCCACCGACCGAGATGACAGGGAAATGTCCAGCAGTATCCCGCGGCTCTCTCCCCCCCCATCACCTCACTCAGTCGCTCTGCCGAAGCCTGTGTCGGTCTGAATAGCGGTGTTGGAAGGGGAGCCCCCCGATTCCTGCATTATGCACAAGGACCCCTTCCTGGTACCCAAGAGCAATGCCTCAGTCTCCATTTAGGCATATCTGACTGTTGCTGACAGCAACAGGACAGCCGCCCAGCGAGTGCCTCCTCATACACCTCGCGCACCCACATGCGAACCCATCTGTGCTGCGAGACGAGACGGTGAGGCACGCACGCACGCACGCACGCACGTACGCACGCAATGAGCTTCGTGGAGTGCCTGATGTGCAATCATCCCTGCCGGCAACGGAGACTCCCTAACGAAATAACGGTTGCGGAGCGCGTCGTCATCTCGCGGTAGTGTACCGTACCTGCCTGTATGTCCGTCAGTCAGTCAGTCAGGCAGTCAGTCAGTCTGTCTGTCTGTTTGTCTTCGTGATCGATCACACCCGTAACGTCTCGGCCGAGTAGACTTTGCCGGTGAGTTTTGTTTCTTGGTTCCCGACCTCTCCGAGCAGTGGGATGGATGGATGGATGGAGGAGTTGTGCAGATTGGCCCTCCCCCGGTGGCTGCGAAGCATCGCCGGCCAGCTGCTGCTCGTCATCATTGGGAGGAGGACCGAGGCGTCACGAGCAAGCACCATCCCGGTGCGCTCACTGCTTGTTCCGGGATGGCTCGCGCCAGTCGACGAGGAGCTTTTTTGGCTCTGTACGGCAAAGCTTGGCTAACCCTCCATCTCGGGGGGGGGGGGGAGTATTCCTGGGCACCATGTCACAAGAAGCAAGAAATAAAATAAAATAAAATAAACATAAATAATGGATAACAAAAAGGCAAACTTCCCAAGGTCAAAGGTCCCAGCCAAAGCAAGACGAGACAGACGGACAGACGGCGGGCGAGAGAGGGCTGCTGGTACGTGGCGTGGGTGGTGTCAGTAGTAGGGATCTTGTACCGTGACTTGTCTCTGGACCCGAACGAGAAGCACTGGTCTACTAAGCCCTGTCATTGTCTGAGCACCTTATGGCGCCGAGGCTGGGGATACCCCCCGGGTGTTTCCCTTGTTGTTCCCACGTAACCCCGGCCAGCCAAACTTCCACCACAACAACCCAACAGACAGCTTCAACCTACCTACCTACTACTACTTACGGTATGTGCCCATATGGACCTTATCCATGTCGCCGTTCATCCTCCTCTGGCTCCTCCCCATCCTCCTCCACCTCCACCACACCCCCATGCATCTTAAGCTCGTTGACTCCCCGGCCAGTTGCCGGGGTTCGATAAGAACGCTATGCCGCCATGGAACAACTATGCTGGGGCAGCTTTGAGTGAGGAAGGAAGAAAGGAAGGAAAGAAAGAAAAATCAAATAGGCCCGGCTCCTCCCCGACCTTGTCTGATCTGATAGCCTCTGTCGTGTGATGAAGAACCGTTACATTTGAGCGTACTTGGCCTACGAGCGAGCATCCTCATCATCAGTCACTTTCCACTTCACCTACCTACTCAACCGCTCCGGCCCATTTCTTGGTTAACCATACCTACCCTGCCAAGGTTTTGCGAACACTCGGGGAGAGTGAGTGAGAGAGAGAGAGGAGACTACGACCACCACCACCACCACCACCACCTCCACCTTCTCCTCCTCCTCCTCCACCACCGCAGCCAGGGGTCGTTCAATACTTCAATAACAGAACCCGACAACTTATCTCGCCTCGGCGTTGCCTGGTCCTCGCTCTACGACCAAACATCTCAAACATCTCAAACACGCCGCCCGCTGACGACCTGTTTCGATCCGACGCCTTTTCCGAACCAACCCAACCCCAACTTTGACGCGGAAACCATTTCAAGGCCGGCACGTCTTCCCTGGCGGCTGTTTCTGGTGAGTAGATCCGGCCCTCATCCAGTGCCTGAGGTTCTCCTCTGCCATTCATTGCCCGGGAATCGGTTCGAGGGCCTTGAGTGGTCCGTTCTGGCTGCACTTATTCCACACACCCTGCCACCCGCATCTAACCCCGATTAGCACAGCCAACCTCTGTCAACTCTTTTACCTTCCACACACAGTCTTCCTGTGGCCATCCGAGAACTTCCCTTTCTCTCTCTCTCTCTCCCTGCAACGACCTATCGTCACCGTCCCTCATCTGGCATCATCGACATCCGGGACGTCGTCTTGTCTCCGTCGACACAAAAAGACGTCAGTCTCACCCTCTGGGGCGGTTTCCGAGTCCATCCATTTCAGCTTGCCAGCCTGTTCAAGTCGACTCCGTTCGGCCCTGGGACCCTCACGACTCCCACCAACGCGGCTTCCCCTTGTGGCCGTCGGCGAAGCTTTCCACCTGAATTCCTGACCCCCGTCTTCACGTCTATAGCTCGGGACTGTTGGCTTCGACCCAGTTAGTCCCACCCAAGCCGACAACCTGGCGGTCTCAGCAGCTGTCCGGTTTTCTGGACAAAACCCTCAGCGCGGCCGTGAGGCTAGGGAGAGTGACAACGCACAGACGAGCTACCTGACTACACCCCGACAGTCTGGGCCCGACAACGCGCAAGCATCCGAGCAACCGGCCCCGGTCCCAAATCCGCACTTCCGTTCCGCTTCGAGTGCTGGCCAGGACGGCCAATGCCCGGGCCCTCAAGGCCGGGAGAGTGTAGGGGACCAGGTCTCGATGTCACAGAGGGGACCTGCATCTCACCCTACTACTACTACTACCACTACTACTACTACCACGCAAGCACAAACGCAGTCACCGCCTCGAGACCCCTTCACCTCTCAGCAGAATCCTCAAGCTCAAGGTAGCCCGGGGTCTCAAGATGTTGCCACCGCTCCGTCCGCAGCTGGCGTGAGGCACCCTTTTGCCCCGCGGTCGTTGGGCATCAGGGGATTGATCAACGAAGCACAATCGGAAGGCTCCGCCGGCGAGATGTCACAGCCCCGAGTGGTTGATGCCCAAACCTCGCCCTACGGTATGCCCCCGAGGCAGTACAGCACGCCTGTCGACCGCCAGTACACGTACCAGAGCCACGGGCCTTTGGGATCCCAGCCCGGCACACCGGCCGGCCACCCGACAACAACGCCTCTGGGCCACACGCCGTCAGATCACAGCTCGCCCAAGAGCGGCTTCCCGTTCCCGCCCATGGGTGCTCCGAGGCAGATGCTCAGCCCCAGGGAGACCCGGGCTGCGAGCATGAGCCAGGCGGCCATGAGGGCCCCCGAGCCACACCAAACCCATTTCATGCCTCCGCGGGCAAAGCGGCCCTACCCAGGCGACGACGGTCCCTCGGAACCACACCGCACAGCGCCCGGCCACCCGTTCTCCGGTCCGGCACCTTCGTCGGCGGGGATCGCATCGCTGACGACGCCGTCACGGTCCATGTCCCAGCCCATGATCGGGCACATGCCGCCCGGAAGCGCCGAGCGACACCAACTGCCCCCCATGACGCGAGATCCCCACGGTAGGGGACCCGAGTACCAAGGCCAGCCGATGTTGCCGCCCGGTCAGGGCTTCCCCCCACCACAGTCGCCAGGCATTCCCGTCTGGTCCACACCCGGCGCCGGGACGTCCCTATACCAAAGCCTGCGGTCCGACGTGACCAAGGCGGAAGGCGGGATGGTGGTCAGGCTTCCGGGAGAGGAGGGCGGCATTCTCATACCCGTGGACGTTCACCAGGCCTCGAAACAGGCCGACGAGAAGCGGCAACGGAACGCCGGCGCCTCGGCGCGGTTCAGGCAGCGGAAGAAGGAGAGGGACCAGGAGCAGATCGCCAACCTGCAGAAGCTGGAGCAGAGGAGCCGCGATCTGGAGGCCAGGCTCCGGGACGTGACCCACGAGAGGGACTTTTACAGGGACGAGCGGAACCGGCTGCGCGACGTGGTGCTGCGGACGCCGCTCAGCGACATGGCGAACGGGCCGCCGAGCCCGACGTGCTCGAGGAGCGGGGGATCGATGGCGGAGACGAGCCCGCTGACGCAGGCTCCCATGCTGCCCCATCAGCCGCAGCAGCAACAGCAGCAGCAGCAGCACGGGTACGCGTCGAGCGAGGCGTCATCCGTGGAACGGCCGGCGCGGCGGCGACGCACCGAATCGGCACAAACCCCCGAGTTTTCGATGCCGTCGTACGGCACGCCCGTCCCCCAGACCGGCAACCTGCCGCCCTTGCAGGCCCCCGCGTACGGCATGATGCCGCAGCGGCCCCCGTCGACGGCGCCGGGCGGGGAGAGGCTGCCACCCCTCCGCGTGATGGAGGGCTCCTATCCCGGATCGGACGTAGGGCCCAACGTCACCGCCGGGGGTGGTGCTCCCATGTACCCCAGCTACGCGCGCGTCCCCCACGAGACGGGGTTCGCGAGCAGGACCGCGGGCCCGCCGGGTCATCACGGCCAACACGGCCACGACGGCGGGCCGCGGTAAACACGCAAAGACGGGAAAGCAAAGGCACGACAGAAAAGGTGGTTCATTGTTCAAGGGGGGAAGGGGGAGGGAGAGGTTGGTGGGATTCGGCTGCGCGTTTCTTTTTTGGAATTTTCAATTTTTTCTTTAACTCTTTACATCGACACTCGCTACCAAGCTTATACCCACTTCGTTTCGCCGTTCGAACTCGATCGCAGATATATCACATACAAGATTATAATAGCAGCAAGACGGGGAGGGAAACAAACAAGGGGGAGGGTTGAAGAGGATTTTTCGAAAAAATGGGACTTTGGGGTTTTGGCTACTTCAAAGAATCGCATAGTTGGGCGACCGACGCACATGCTTCTTCTGTTTTTTTTCCTTGTCATATCATGGGAGGTTATCATAGGAGTTGGCTGCATGGGCACAGATGGGGGGGGCCTGCAAAGAAAGAGTAAGCAGTAACAACAGAAAAGGGGTGGAGGGGGATGGGAGCAGCCGTCTGGCCTGGAATCCTCTCCTCTCCCCTTCCCGGACTCAGTCCGGCCAAATCAACTTTTCCACAGCGTTGGATTTAATATCTCGGCCAGACTTCATGTTGCTGGTGTTCTTTTTTGTCTTCTTCCTCCCCGGATTCTGGATAGGACCGTGTGTGTGTGTGTTTGACAGCCGCCGGCATCTTTGTGAGCCGTGTTGTTCTGGGTGTGTTTGTGTGTGTTTTGTCAACAGTCAGTTTTTACTTCGATCGGTGCCTCCCCTCGAAGTACCAGCCATCGGTGAAGGGCCAAAGTAGAGACAAGATGGCAGGCTACGTGCTCGGATTAGTCTGGTCTGCAGACAGTTAGTTGACAGACGTGCGTTGGGCGCGAAAAAGCAAATGACAAATAGCGGGCTCGGGGCGCAACCTTGACTAGGGCGGGCGGCAATGACGAGCCCATGGTCCATGGCGTGGGGGGTTGGGAGTGACAAGTGAGGCGGAGGGGCGTGTTGATATGAGTCGCAACATACGGAGTAGTGTGTAGGTAGACGATCGCCTGCCAATGCCGGGGCGACGAGGATGTGCCTCATCTTCCGCGGGATGATGCCGGAGCAAGTCAGCTTATGTCACAAATGCAAGTCATTCATTCCATCCGTCCATTCATCATCGTCGGTCGCCGCCGTCGTTGTCGGGGGGGGGGGGGGGGGGATCGGTGGCTGCTGTACCACCAAAAACAAAATTGACATACTGCCACGCTACCGCTGGTAAGTTTCTCTAATACGACCGGAAAAGTGTCGGCAAGGTGTCTCATGCTTTGACTGAGTCCCTGGGTTGTGTGTGCAGTTTGCGAGCTGGCAGGGCGTCGGCCACGTCACGCACGCACACGCGCTCGCCAGCACTTTTCTTGGGGCGGAAAGGAAGCAGTCCCGCGCTAGCCGATGAGGGATTCCAGACCTCCCCCCGCCATCTAGGTAGGTACCTACACGTAGGTAGTATTTTCCTGCCCTAGGCCAGGTGAGGGGGGGGGAGAAGCGCGTGCAAGTTGCATCCTTTTCTGATTCGGCAAGTCATACTGCGGCCTGAAGCAGGCAGTGTGTGCGTGTGTGTGTGTGTGTCTCCCGTCGGGCGCCCACGCCAAATGCTAAATGATGTCTGGGTAATGGAGGATGATGGTGTGTCTCGGGCGGCATTGGTGCGCCAGGGCAGTGAAGAGCTTAATGCCCAACCGACCGGACAATCCGTCTCAGCGAGTCCGGACGTAGTTGGCCAAAGGTGAGGGAGACGACGCACTCGGTGTTGCGGTTATGATGGTGGCGGTTTGCGTCTGAAGACGGTTCAGGGTCTGACAAGAAGAGACGGAAGTGGCGCTTAGGAGAAAATGAAGGGGGAGGAGAAGAACGGTAGACGGCAGGCGGGAGACGGGAGACGGGGAACCGGGAAACGGCAGGTGGGGCGCGCGGCTGGGTGATCTCCCATCCCACTTTTATGTACGGATATGGACCCAACCAAACTGGGTAGTTAGTTCTGTGCATTTCACAGTCCAAGCCGTTTTTCACACCTTGCTTGCAGCTTGCAGCCGGTTGGTACCCTGTAAGAAGTGCCACTATCTAGAAGACGGGAACATACCTACCTTGAGTATGCCTAGGTGCTGCAGGTCAGGTGGGCTAGGTACAGCAGCGGGGGGTGGGGATGGAGCAGTCGAATTTGACATTGGAATTTGATAGTGTACTTTGAAGCTGGCGGTTGGCGTCCAAGCTGCAAGATGATGCATGTTCCGATCCACATCCACGGCTTGCAGCTTACCTTAGCCTCTCTCTGCCCGTTCCGTGTCGAGACGCAGGCCGATCGGAGTGCCTCGCTGAATTCGGGAGGAGGTGATGTGTGTGTCTCTCTCCCTCTCTTTCTCTCTCTCGCTCGCTCGCTCGTGCAATCAACGGCTGGCGCTCCGAGCATCTCCCTCGCGACCCTGTGTCCTCGGAAATATCCTTTTCTGCCACCCTGCAGCTCCCGGCGCCTCCCGAGGTCAATCAAAACTATCCCGTCCCGTATGGATACTACGTCGACGTAAGCCAAGCCGTTGGGTCGACGGAATGCTTCGAGCTGACGGTGGCATCGATTCGCGAATCGATTGAGTTTGTGTTTGTGTGATTTCTCCTCTTTGCTGCTATTTCTGGGCACTTGGCTCTCTGGTAGAAGAGGGGAGGGGTCTTTTGACTCGGCGCAGTGGAGGCCGATGTTGTCGGATATAACGGCTGAGCCAATAAACGGACAAAACGACAACAGCAAAGACACGCCCGTTTGTAGGTACCGTGGTCCGGATGGATAACCTCATCACGGCCGCTTAACTTGGCGCCGTCTCTTCTTGGTGTAGTACGGTAATTATTTTTCAGTCATGTTTTAGGGAGAAGGGGTGTGGGAGTAGCACGCACCCTTTTGGCACTTCAACCCACACCCACTAGCCAACCGACCGTGTCGATAAGCTCTGGGGCTGCCTAGCTCTAGGGCAGGGCTGGCTGCCTCGAGGTCTGGCTCATGAACTATCCACAAACTTCCCGAGCTTCACTAGGTACCGTACCTCATCGACACAGCTTCCGCAACGGCGAATCGGGAGATAAGTTCCGCAGCCGCGGCGGAGGTGTACTAACTAGTAAGGAACACCAAGAGAAGCCAGGGGGGGGGGGGGGTTGGAAACGAAGAAAAGAAAAGAGGGGCCGTTGCCAGATAGATACGGTAGGTACGATCGGGATCTGGGCTGGGCCCCAATCTATCCGTACATAGTAGGTAGCAATACCCCGCACCACGGGTCTTGCCCGAATCGGTGCCTTGCGGCACTTGCAGACGACCTCACGCCATATACCGGTAGTCCCCCTACCGGTAGTCCCCCTCTCGTTCTCGTCCTTGCGAACCATGTCCATATCCGCCCGCCCTGTTGCATCCGACCTGGCCCGCCGCCACCTGGGCCTGCGTGCTGTGGCCGGGGTGACCCGACCATCCTGCCCGCCGTCGAGGGTCCTCATCCCGTCGGCCAATCGCGCTTTCGCAACCTCGCCCCGTCGCCGGACCACCATCGCCGCCGCCACCGAGCTGACGGCCCCGAACGGCAGGACATGGACGCAGCCCCTCGGCCTCTTCATCAACAATGAGTTTGTCCAGAGTTCCAACGCCCAGACCCTCCCAACCACCAATCCATTGTGAGACTGCCGCCCTGATCTGTTCCTCGTGCGAGACCAAGACCGTCTGCTTACCCGACGTAGCAACGAAGAGGACATTTGCTCCGTGTATGCCGCCACGCCTGCCGATGTCGACAGCGCCGTCGCTGCTGCGCGAGCCGCTTTCAGGCACCCCTCGTGGAGCCGCCTCTCCGGCACTGACCGCGGGTACATGATGATGAAGCTTGCCGACCTTGTCGACGCCAACCTCGAGACTCTGGCCACCATTGAGACCCTCGACAACGGCAAGCCCTACTCCGTGTCCCGTGGTTACGACGTGCCGCATTTCTCAGAGGTCATCCGCTACTACGCCGGCTATGCCGACAAGATCCACGGCCAGACCATGGACGTCGGCCCGGGCAAGCTGGCGTACACGATCAAGGAGCCGCTCGGCGTGTGTGGTCAGATCGTCCCCTGGAACTACCCTTTGTGCATGAGCGCGTGGAAGTTGGGGCCCGCGCTGAGTTGTGGCAACACCCTTGTGTTGAAGCTGGCCGAGCAGACGCCGCTCTCCATGCTGTACGTGGCCCAGCTGATCAAAGAGGCCGGCTTTCCTCCGGGCGTCGTCAACATTGTCAACGGGTACGGCCCCGACGCTGGCGCTGCCCTTGCTAGGCACACGGGGGTCGACAAGGTCGCCTTCACCGGAAGTACCGCCACGGGTAGGGAGATTATGAAGCTCGCCGCCGGTACTCTAAAGAACGTCACACTCGAAACCGGTGGCAAGTCGCCCCTGATCGTCTTCGACGACGCCGACCTCGACCAGGCCGCCAAGTGGTCTCACGAGGGTATCATGAGCAACCAGGGGCAAGTTTGCACGGCCACCTCGCGCATCCTGGTCCAAGAAGCCGTCTACGAGTCCTTCATCGCAAAGTTCGCCGCCACGGTCCGCGATATCTCTGTCGTCGGCGACCCCTTTGATGAGGCCACCTACCAAGGCCCGCAGATCACACGCGCGCAGTACGATCGCGTCTTGGGCTTCGTCCAGTCGGCCAAGGATGAGGGGGCAACGATCGCTCTGGGCGGCGCCCCGGCCCCGCAGGCTTCCGGCAAGGGCTTCTTCGTGCAGCCGACTGTGTTTACGGACGTGACAACGTCGATGCGCGTCTATCGCGAGGAGATCTTTGGGCCGTGCGCCGCCGTGGTGAAGTTCTGGACCGAGGAGGAGGCGCTGGAAATGGCCAACGACTCGGTGTACGGGCTGGGCGCCGCCGTGTTTACCAAGGACCTGGCGAGGGCGCACCGCGTTGCGAGAGAGCTCGAGGCCGGCATGGTCTGGGTAAACAGCAGCAACGATTCGGACTTTAGGGTGCCGTTTGGCGGAGTGAAGCAGAGTGGCATCGGGAGAGAACTGGGGGAGGCCGGGCTGTTGGGGTACTGTAACGTGAAAGCGGTTCATGTCAACTTGACGAGCGGGTAGCTCCTTCACCCGTTGCTCGGTGATTGCTCACACTTGATATCAAGCGCCGACGTCCCATCGGCGGCGGAGCTCAACTCAACCCCCTGGTACAGCCCAAGGTTTGGCGTGGATCTGCAAATACAACGCCCATGGTCCGACCAAGGGGACGATGCATTGTTGCTACAGTCTCTTTTTTGTGCTGGGCTCAGTGAAGACTCTGAAATTTCAAGCGGCCACCAGTCGAGACGTCACATATTCGTGGGCTTGAATGGAGACACATCGTTGAGCGAAGAGTATATAGGTTGTGAGGTACGATGGTAGTCGTGACTGCTGCGATGCAGTCTCCCTCCCGAAACCCAACTGCATCTCGGCCGTCTTTCATAAACAAAACTCTCGTACCTACATATTCCTGTGGCCCCCCTTTTCCTCTTTCGCTGCCTCCCTCTTTCTGCGGACTGCAGACCTCTCTAAACGAACGAATCAGCAGGCCATCTCTCACCTCTTCCCGAGGGGCCATGCAATCCGACGAGAACATATCATCAAGCAGCATCTGAAGCCGTGTAGACAAAAGTATTAGAAGAACGAATAGAAGGAAAGGGATGCCTATGAAACAGAACTCATTCACCCAATCTACAAACGTTGATCCCTCGAGCCGCATTCATTCCTGCTTCGCCTACACTCGTTACCTCACCGACCGACCGACCGATATCCTCCATTGCAACAACATACAACGTAACGCTCGAATGAACACGCCAAAAAGAGAAACAAAAGCATCCGTACACCTCCGCAACACTACTCCTTCATTCACATTTGGACGAACCTCACCATCCGGTGGTTCCACAGTTCTCAATTAAATCCCAATAGCAGGTGCTTCCCGAGCGTTCCTTCCGCTCGAAAGCCTCGTTACCAGGCCACACGCAAAATCGACCCCTGAACCCCTCGCCTCGTCTTCTCAAGCCATCAACACCCAACTATCAAAAATCCCATCCCGGAATCTTTCAGCGGCACACCAGGTTCCGTCGAGATGGAGAACACCACGGCTGCCGTCTTTACGCCCCCTAGCGCCATATCTCCCGCCCCCGAGTCCCCCGCCGCCAGGGCCGCGGCTCTCCGCGCTTATAAGCAGCGGCTCGTCGAGCGCATCCCCGCCACCGTCTCGGACGACTACCGCAAGATGCTCGTCGACACCATCGAGGCGCAGGTCGATATGCCGAGCCTCGACTGCGGGCTCCGCTGGGCCGTTGAGGCCGCCTACCACAACGGCATCGAGCCCCCGTCCCACGAGGTCGTCGCCCTTTGCCTGTGCTTCGGCTCGGGTGCTCTCGAGGGCGACGTCCTCCGCGTCCAGCGCAGCTTCTACGCCCGGCAGCCGCGCCTCGCGCACCACATCCGGGACTGGTCCCTACGGGGCCTCGTCGACAAGCACAGCGCCAAGGTCTGTGCCGGCGACATCGACGACCCCCCGACCACCGCCGCCGCTCGACGAAAGAAGCGTCCGGCCTCCGCCGTCGGGGACCTCTCCCCGCCCCCGACCGCCTGTCGCCCCGAGCCCCCTGTAGACCCGTTCACAGTATACCACGAGAGCGATGATACCCCGCGCCTCAACTCCCTCGTCAAGAGCCATCATGCCGAGCCCAAGAAGTCTGCAACCCCCGAGGACCCCGCAGTTCCCCAAGCTATCCTGGACCGCCTTCCCCCGTCCTTCATGGACCCCAGAGTCGGCGGTTTCGCGCAGCTCAAGCAGCTGCGGAGCCCCGGCACCGACACGATCCGGGACACCGTCCCCCCCTCGGGCCGTACGGGAGGCCCCGCGACCTTCGTTTCCCTCTTTAGCGACCCCCGCAGCACTGCGGGCCCCGTTCCTGTCGGCCTGGGATCACTCCTCTTCGGCGGCGACCCGGCGACCCGAGACACTAAGGAGGCGGCAGCAGCGGCGGCCATCGCCGCCGCAACCGCCACTGCGAGCCCCAACGCCAGCGACACGCCCGGCACCGCCGCCGAGAACCCCTGGGCCGTCGCCGACGCCGCCGCCGAGACGCGCCTGGCCTCCCTCGCCGCGCAGATCGCCGGGCACCGCCGGCGGGCCCGCGACAAACTCCAGCACGCCGCCACCCTGCGCGGGGAGCACGCCAGAGCGGCCGAGCGGCAGCCGCTCGAGGTCGGCGCCCTCCCGGCGGACATCGTCACCCGCGTCAACGAGGACCACGGGCTCGCGAGCCGCTGCCTCCGCCACCAGGAGGAGGCCGTCGCCGCCGTCGCCGAGGCGGACCGCCTCGAGGGCGAGCGCGCCGAGGAGGTCTTCCGGCGCATCGAGCGGCGCCTCGACCGCATCCACGCCGTCGTCGTCGGTACGGCCGACGCCTTGGGGACCGAGCGGGCGGCGTGCGCGTCCTTTACGGCGCAGCAGGTCGATCGGGCGACTGCCTTGAAGGCTCGGAGGGAGAGGCGAGCAGGGAGCCAGGGTTAGATGGAAGGGGATGGGGATAAGATGGTTGGCTCTCTCAGAGACGATTTGGCATATCCATATTATCTAGAAAGCCAATCCGACTTTCACATATATAAAAAGCCGTAGATGAATGATTTGCGACAGGATCGTAGTGGATTGTGTCGCTCTACTTCATACCTCGGCTCAGCCCCTCCGCTGGAAGAGGAGAGTCACGAACAAGGCCAGCAGCTTACGGTCATGAAAGCCGAGAAAAGACTTTGCGGCTCGCGATGCCAGTCGAACAAATAAGCTGCTTCTTCACGTCCTGGGGGGGGGTTGAATGTAGAATATGTACTGATTAAAAGCCTATCAATGCCCTTGGCTCCCCCAACAAGAACAGACCAGCAAACCCCATAAAAACAAGTGAGAATACCGATAAAAGAATTATCATAAGACATTAATATTATAGGATGTTGTTTGCGAATTGAAATTTGTACTGCTGTGTTTGCCACGGCTCCCCGTCAGCTCACAGCTCGGCTATGTGCTGCTTTTGTTTGGCGGCATACCACCACAACACGCTACCCTGATCTGGCTGATGCCGTATGGCGGCAGGGTATCGTGCCGGGTGGGGGGCGAGCATAACGCGAAGATCAGGGCAGAGGTTCGTCGTCCTGCTGCCGACAGACTCGCCGCACCGCAGGCGTTGTCGCAGTGGGCGGACCGGCATCAGCAGTCGACACTGAACAGGAACATTGGTTGCTTTGTATCTCTGAAAAAGGGAAAAGACGGGTCAGCGAACAGAGAAAAGAGAAGGATGCAAGGGGAGCCGCTCTCGAACAGTATCGCCCTCAATGGAGTACTCACAACAGGTACCGAAGCCAGATTGACAACCGGCACCGCAGAAATCACTAGTGCTACCACAGTAACCGTACTGGGAGCAGCAGTTACCGAAATCCGAGCCGGTGCAGGTGGCGTTACCGGCTGAGGCGCCGCAGGCTCCGTCGAGCGACATCTTGGTGTTGCCGCCGACATTGGTGCAAGTGCCGTAAGCAGACTGGCATCCGCTGCCACAATGTGCAGCGGAGGAACCGCACCATCCGTACGGGGAGCAGCAACTGCCAAAAGTCGAGCCGGAACACTGTTTTCCGTTGGTAGCGCCACAAGCGCCGTCCGTAGAGACGAGAAGAGTGGAAGATGGAGATGCAGCAGAGGCGGAAGCAGACTGCGTGCTGGGGCCGGAGGAGGCAGCAGCAGCACTAGGAGGGGAAGAAGTTCCTGAAGAGCTCATGTCAGACGACAAAGACGACGAAGCCGACAAAGCAGACTGCGTGGCAGGGCTGGGAGAGGCAGCAGCACTGGGAGAGGAAGAATTTCCTGCAGATAGCGAAAGCGACGGAGCCGACAAAGCAGACTGCGTGGCAGGGCTGGGGGAGGCAGCAGCACTGGGAGAGGAAGAATTTCCTGCAGATAGCGAAAGCGACGGAGCCGACAAAGCAGACTGCGTGGCAGGGCTGGGGGAGGCAGCAGCAGCACTAGGAGGGAAAGAAGTTCCCGAAGCCGAGGAAGCCGACGAAGGAGATCGTGTGGAGGAGCTTGACCGAGAGGTCGAGCCGATGGACTGAGCGCTGACGCTGTTGGTCTTGCTGCTGGACGAGCTTGTCCTGCCGCCAGCGCTGATGGCCCCCGAGGCAGAAGGGGATGCAGTACTGCTGCTGCCACGGCCAGACGATGAAGATGAGGGGGTCCTACCTGTGCTCGCCCCAACCGACGAAGACTGACTCCCACATGTGCCGTACTTGGGCTGGCAGCCTGTACCGCAGTAGGCGGAAGTGCTGCCGCACCATCCGTTCACAGAACAACAGTTGCCAAAGGAGGAGCCCTGGCAGGTCTTTCCGGCCGTGGCACCACAAGTGGCATCGAGCGATACGGGGAGAGCGGTGGAGGTTGGCGCGGCGGAGTTTGACGCGGCGGAGTTTGACGCGGCGGAGGGGGGGTGGAAGCGGCCTTGGAGGTGGCCTTGGAGGTGGCCTTGGAGGTGGCCTTGGAGGTGGCCGGGCTCGTGCCGGTGCAGGCCTTGGGGCTGACGGCACTGATCTTGAAGTTGTATGCGGGGACGTTGCCGCGGTACCAGTTGGCCGGGGGTCGCCCAAGCACTCGCCGACGGTCACGGCCCTCCAACCGTTGGCGACAATGGAGTCGAGCATATGGTTGGTGAAGGTCGTAGCAACCTGTTCGTGGATGTCGTGCTCAATGTGCAGATAACTGGCGTTGCAAGACGATCGCGCAGTCATGGCCGCATCCCACAGGTCTATACTGACTTGGATTTGACTGGGATCGCTGTGGAGATAGCCCTCAGTGTCGAGGTCGAAATAGGTGATGTGGTAGCCAAGGTCCACCATCAGCTTCTGGCAATCAGTTCCGCAAATAGAGTAAGGCGGACGCATATAGGTAGGGTAGAAGCCGAGAATATCCTTCAATGCAATCTCGTTATAAATCATCTGATTCTTACGCTGCGTTGCCGTCATCTGGTCGAGGTTCTCGTGCGACCAAGTGTGGCTAGCAACTTGGTGGCCCTCGGCGACCATGCGCTAGAATAGTTAGGCCTGTGTCCTAGTGAACCCATTGAGATGGGAGAGCTAACCTTGATGACATCGCGGTACTTCACATTGATCTGACCCTTGCCAAGGTTGTTGCCGGTGATGAAAAAGGTGGCGACGGCGCCATGAGCTTTGAAGGCGTCTAACATGGCTGCGGTATAAAGGTAAGGACCGTCATCATAGGTGACGGCAATATCGCCGTCCTTTTCGCAGGAATAGATGCCCACGCCACCGTAAGGAACGCTTCCCTTCCGAGTTCTCGTGTCCTTGGATGTATCAGCGCCGCTGGGCTTCTGGTTGCCATCACAGGCTGGACCGTAGTTGATCTGACAGTCGGGCGAACTGCAGGAGTCTGGTCCCGTTCCGCACCATCTACCCGGTATTAGTCGATTGCTCCCCGCAAGGGGAAAAGGATGAAGCCACGTACCCTTCAGCTGAACAGCAAAATCCGTTTGCACACCTTCCAAAGTCTCCTCCACACTGATCGTTGTCTCCAACTGGGATGGTAGTAGAGGCCTGACGGGAATCCAAATGGTTCCTGGCGTGGTTGTGAGGCTTGTTAGCCACGGAGGGGGGTTCCAAGGCTCAAATGCCGCGCGCCTCTGCCGCAACTCTTCCTTGTTTTTTAGACGCGGCAACACTATGTTGGGGTGCGCCACGTTTCCGTGAGCATGAGCTGCCTCTAGCCCTGCAATGGCGGCGAGCAGCACGGGGGACCAACGCATCGTGATGGTATTGGAGCTGTGCAGTCTCAGTCGATTGGGTGGAGGTAACTCCGGCCGGAAGAGGGTTCCAAAGAAAGGCTGTGCAACGACTCAACAGACGAAGAATAACGACGGACGGGGCTTCTTTTATGGTCTTAAAAATCGCGTTGATAGAAGGAGCCGAATTTGGGTTTCTCCATGGACCCTTATGGCGTGGACTGCGATGTTATATACGTAGTGATGGCGACGGCTGTATTGATGTCGGCCATGAGGTCCTCCTAGACGAAGAAAGGCGACGGTAGACGAGAGCCATAGCCGCTAGTCTCCCTCGGTCGGGAGGACCGAGGTGCTCAAACCAAGAAAATAAGAAGGATCAGGAGCTTACCTTGCGTAGGGCCGATGCGTCAAGCTGGTGCGGTCTAGGACGGCCTGCGTAGAGCGAGGCCATTATAAGATGGACATAACATGAGGGACTTGGCCGTGTCTGCCCACGGATACCGCCAAGAAGGAGCCATCGGAGCGGAGATGGGACGGCGGGCTTGGAAATGGTACAAAAAACCGACGATGGAGAGGGTGTGGAGCAACGAAGGACCGGAAACGGGCAGAAGCATGAAAACACGAGAGATCATCGATGGCCAAGGCGGGCTAGGCGACAAGCCATGATGAGGCTGAGATGGGACAGGAGAGACTAGTCGCGGACGCACTGACGAGTCCCGAGAGGCTCGAGTGATGAAAGTAGCCAGGCCGAGGGCGCATATTTCGACGCCATTTCGTGCAAAACAAGAAGAAAACAGGCGAGGTAACAAAAGACGGCGCCGATGCCAGCAACGCTGCTGAAGGGCGTCGTCTACCGCAGCGTTGTTTGATTTAGGTACTGGAAGTTATCATTCTGAGGGAAGAAGGGTGGCAATCGGTAGGTGCCCAAGGAAGGTAGTAAGTACTATATCCGTATCATGTATGGGCTTGCCAAAGCTAGCCCGTGTGGTGATGTGTAAGGTACGGACAGGTAGGCGGAGAGGATAAATAGAATTGGAACGAAGGCGGCGTTCCCGTCCACCTACTCCGTAGTTAGGTAGGTAATCATCGCGTGGAAGTGGGGACGCCCCAGGGCCTTGGCACTACTGCACCACGCAGGTGACGGTCGTGTGTATCCCCTGTAGTTTAGATCCGCCGTCTCAACTACTCTCTCGCTCCAAAGACGTGGGGGCTTGGCACTGACACATGCACTCATATCGAGCAGCTGGTCTTTGGTGCTATGGTTCAGGTAACAACAGATGTAGCCTAATCCGACAGTCTGGTTCAGCTGTGGTAATGTCACGGGCGGGAAACTGTAAGCGCCAGCCGAACCTTACCTGGATGCGGACGAGGCCCAGCAGCATCCCCTCTGCACCATGCATGCAAGCTTCAGACTCATCCCCCAAATCTCGCCACATCTGCACGTAGCCAGCCCGTGCTTGGGGGGCTGGACTCTGATGAGCGGCAGAATGCGTCTCGCGCCGAAAGTAATTCAAGGGCCCGGGCATCACGCAGCTTCTCCCACACAACGACACGCCACCATTGCCATATCAAAACAAACTGCCACATGCGCTGACCAAAGTGCACCTGTTCCAGTCACCATTGCTAACTACCTGGCTAAGGTAAATATGTAAATATGGCCTGCCTCTCCATCCCAAGACGCTCCACGTGAATCATTTAGCCGAAACCGGTATGCCATCAACTGTGGCATCGTCCCGATGCCGCCTCCCATGGCGCAGGAGAACCCCTTATACATATTAAAACCGCTTGCTGATCCCTCCCGGGGTCGTCACCACTGGCCTCACCCTGGTGAGTGAGTCGCCGACAGTCCTCCAACATTACAGGCCTTCCGTAACCTCGAGGCCCTCGTCGCTATATTCCCTTGGCTGTTGTCATCTCGGTGGTGTCTGTATCGTCGACGGACGGCCTGATGCTCAACGTCCTGGACCCTATATATCGACACCACGGCATCAGGCAAAAGTACATACCGTATTAAAACCTAATGCCATCGCCGTGCTGAGCCCCCTTTGATGAGCCTCTCCTTGAAACCTGCTCGTTTGCGAGCCAGCCTTCCTTATTTGTTCGGTGATGACACTTGGCCAACAGAGGAAGCCTTTTCCTTGCCATCCGATCGTGAACCCGAAGCTGTTGCCTTCCCCAAAGCATCGTCAGCATAGATACCCGTGCTGTCACCACCCTTCGACGCATCCTTTTGGCGAAGGAGCTCAGCAATTTCTTCGCTCGTAAGTGGCGAAGTGTCTCCCGAGTCGGATTGCGTCGGGGAACTCTCCACCTTGCTTGTTAGCTCTTCTTTGGCCGCCTTCTCCGCTTCCTCCTGCTTCTTCTTTTCTTCCTCCTTCTTCTTGCGTTCCTCTTCAGCTGCCTTCTTGGCTTCTTCGACCGCCTTCTTCACTTCCTCTTCGGCTGCCTTCTTGGCCTCTTCCTCGGCCTCTGCCTTTTCGGCATCCGTTGGGCCAAGGCCGCCCTCTCCGTTGTCATCATCGCAACGTTCGCGCTCCAATTTCATGTCCATGATCATGCTGATCTCTGGGCAGTAGTTGAAAATCTTCTTTCGCTGTTTCGGATCCTTCCAGACCGCGTCCGAGAGGCTATTGCCACCGTCCCTGATATGGTAGCCCATGGGCTTTTCCAAGTACATGTCTTCCACGGCCAAGACGCCCTTGTTTCCGTGGGCAACTTTCTCACCCTTCATAACCCAAAGCCGCTTGCCGAACCATTCGTCTTCTGCTTCCGTGTCGTTGTATCGCTGCTGGAATTCAAGTACCCTCTTGATAGAGGATACTCGTCGGAGAGAAAGGCCACCGTTTCCCGAGAAGCGGTCGTCAGGGGTTCTGAATGCAGGGTTAGCAAGAAAGGCCAGCATCGGTCAGCACATCGTCATGGCATACCTGGGAGCGCCGGCCCAGCTCCACCCTAGCCACTCATTGAGGCTTCTGGGCGAGTTGGAACAGAGAATGCTGTCCGACTCGAACTTTAGAATCCATTCCACCCCAGGAAGGAATTCGTCATAGAATCGCACATCGGTCAACATACGAAAGACATGCTCTTTGGTGTCGATCTTCCAGGGGTCGGGAAGAACCATCAGATCAAGTTTTCCGATGACTTGCTGGTGCTTAATGCCGTAACTCCGAGCGACGCTGACCACGCTTTTTTTGGAGCCAATAAATAGAAACCTCCAGTCCGGAGGCACAACGGAAGTCATGTGGAGAAGTTGAGGCACAAGATGCGGGATAGGGCGCGGTTCAATGATCAACGCCAGCTTGGAGGCGTTGTATTTGGCTCGCGGGTCGGCGGTGGGCTCCCAGTCGACCTTGATCTTTGGGATTTTCTGTCTTGCCTCATCTAACCTCGATTTGAGCTCGGCCTTGATCATGGGTTTGTAGCCGGGAAGAAGATGAGCAAACCACCAGCTGTGCTTCATGTTAGCAGCCTTCTCTTTCACCCCCTCCGAGAATCGCCTGACGTGTTCAAGATGGGGAGACAAACGTTATGACAAGTGACATCAAAAGCAGAAGCCGCGGTTTGGTGATGGCGAAACCGCCTGCGGGACTGTTCGTGGCAGCCATGGTGCTAGAGATTTACGTCGAGGGGTGGCGCAGGAGAGCCGCAGCGCGAACGAGAGGACTGGACGGCGACAAAAACGTTGCAGCGGTTGCAAATAAGGTCGACGACAAGGAGTTCTAGGTGACCCGATTCGCAGAAAGAAAACGAAAGTCTCCGAGTCGGCAAAGGTCAACGGCACATCATGTCGGCCACGTGTTGAAAACCGCACAGAGTGTATGGCAACGTGAACTTGGGTAATAGATATCCAGGGAGGGATTCGGCTTTCCAGGGGGGGCTTCGAGCCACAGATAGCCCAAGGAGGTAAGCGAGACTGAGATACGGTTGATGCGGGTGTGGTCTGATGCAGACGGCCAGGTGAGAGCCAGCTGTCATTCAAGGGAGGAGGGGGGAGGGGGGTAAAAGACAAGATGGTATGCTTGTGAGATGACGAAGCTTCAGTGAGCACGGCTTGATGCTGAGATGAAAAGTTACCGAGATCCGACTTGTTCTGCTGGGTTGCAGGGTAGGGTCTTGGAGAGGAATCCCCAGAATGGGGGGAAGCAGGTGAGCCCAGACTTGTTACATGTCACTGTACTTACTTACAGACGAGAAAGCGAACAGTAGTACTATTATGTTATGGAAGTGGGGGGACATGAACGGGAACATGGATCACCTTGGCGCAGGGAGGCAGGTTGATACACGGAAGACGACGACGCCTGCGGGATGAACTGGACATTTTTAGGGAAGGCGCAAGTGACAGAAAAGTACTCGCAGGTACCTTCTCTCTGGTGCTGGCGCTGCATGTAGGGAAATCAGTTACTGCCGCATGTCCCACCTGCGCTGGCTCCTCCCTTATTGGTAATTTTTGTGCATCGTAAGCCGGAAGCTACCTAACCAACTTCACTCCGGTGACAAAACAGATGGCCGGTTGCCATATGGTAGTGACCCGAGTGCCAACCTGCCTCCTAAAGCAAAAACATACCAAGGTTAGATAGATAGATAGATACCCACCCGGGTTACAGGTATGTAGGATTGGTCTACTGTGGATGCCGCTACAAGGTACGGAGTAAAACAATCTCAGACCAGCGGATACTACATAGTACCTAGGTATTGCTATTGCTAAGGTTCGCCAGAAGCGCCCTCGTCATTAAACTCTCTCTCGTGGTTGCCCCTCAAGGGTGTCCTTCGCTGATCGGAAACACCGCCACGGCCCCGACATTTGCTCATACAGCCCAGGCGGTGTTCCTCCATCCCGGGTCGCAGCGTTCGTCGATTATGTCGTCTTCGCCCCTACCTCTCCCATGGATTGGCATCGGTGACCGTCATGACTCGACGTCGGAGCTCGGGATTGTCTGTGCATGGCTATGCGATACGTGAACTCCGTATGGATATACCTACGCGTGACTCGTTGGTCGACTACCTACCTACGAGCGTTGTGCGAGTTCCTATTTCCACGACTTGGCGCCATGCAGCCTTAGTCGCGCCGCTCCTGTTGGTGGCACTAGTTCCATGCGATAACCCGCGTATTAGCAAGAAGGGCTGTTTTCGGAGAGGCAAGGTCTGACGGCAAAGCCCTACCGGTACATCGGGCGCTGCCGCTATAGACTTGGGGCTTCGGGAAACCCTTCATCTTGGTCGTCGATCCATGCCGGCCCCGGATAGAAGCAAGCGTGCGGCGAAGCATTGCATGGACTGGTGCCAACTGCCGGTTGCGGCGAGGGATTCTATCAACTCATTCCTCTAGCGGTTGCACAGAGCACACTGCGACTCGACAGATCGGTGTCGGCCGAGCTGACTGCCACCGGTGCCACGGTACATTTATTCCGTACATCGTTACCCCCTGTAACGTGTGTAAAGTCGAAACCGAGAGTTGCCCCGTTAGCCTTGAGCGACATGAGACACCAATTTCAGCAGCGTCTCCCTTGTACATACACCTGCAGCGTGTGCCCGTTCAGCCGGCCGATGGACGATGTTACCTGTACTACCTGTGGCCACCAAGGTACGGCTCTCTGCAGGATCGAAAGAGTGCATCCCCTGCACGTTAATGCAGTCGGGTTAATGAGCACGAAGGTCGGCAATACCGGAAGGCTGGCTCAGGGGCGGGTGGTTTGGTTGTTGGTTGGTTGTGCGAGATGGAGGTTAGTTAGGGTTCGCTGTTGGCAGAGAAAGTTCTGCAGGGATGAAGCTGCTGGAGACGAGCCTTGACTTCATTTCTTCTTCTTCTATTGGGCTGCGATTGTGCGACGAGTCTGATCTGCCTGTTCCACACCAGCAGAGACTTGAGGCTTGAGATCTACAGTACGTAGGCATACAAGTACAGACAGGGAGTACGGTGTACTCGAATGATACATGTAGGTACCTGGCTCGTCGGCACTTGACTAAATTAGACACTGGCTCCATCGGCAGCAAGGGTGGTCTCACTGTTCTGGAACAGATTCGTACTCGTGGGAATCCCTATTGAGGTGGCGGGCACAGAGGTACACAATAACACTCTAAACCAGTTGGAAAGACACAGTATAAGTCTATACTCAACACAATACACTTTAAAAAGATTTCTAGACACTGGAATCCCTAGAGTATGTGTAAAACCTCCACGAACCAGGGCTAGACCTGTTGATGATTGGTGCCTGCTAAACAAACCATTGTAACTCTCTTTTTCTTGCCTTCCTTTCTCCCATCTCCCTTCTCTCAACCTCCGCCCTACCGCGGTACATAACAGTTTACTACCCCCTACCTGCCTACCTTCCTACCTACATGGCCTGTTTTACCTGCCTACTACTACATACCTATGTATCATTAGATCCTCCCTTCCTGTCCTGTCCCTCGCTAGATCAGAAGGGTGGTGGTGTCAAGGGAGGAGTTGCCGGAGGAAAAGCACGCCGTCTATTGTGACTTACTAGCGCACATGTGTCAATTGCACTTTCCCAGCTTCTCCATCTATCGCTATCCCTTCTATCTTTTTCGCTCTTTTTCTTTTTCGCTTACTTCTCTTCTACCAACTCCACCTTCGTCCAACTCAACTGACCCTCATACCACCGTCCGGGTTATGAGCTGTCGCCTGCGCGAGTAGGTGTTCTGTTTTACAGCGAGCTGTTGCTGTTGTTGTTGCTGTTGTCGCCGCCGTCGTCGTCGTCGTCGCCGTCGTCGTCACCAGCCAAAGGACCGACATGTACTGATTTTACTGTAAGCTACCAGACCCATCCACGTCATCGACCTCGCGTTATTCCGCTGTGGACCGGCCCGACCTGCGAACGAGAGCACGCCCGCTCCCAGGGTCGCTCTGGGCTCGAGTCGCATTTGTTAACTAACCCTCCCCAGAGGTTGAATCTTGCTTTACATCGTTCACCCATTCATTTCGTCTCGAAGAGACTGCTTGCTCCTCTGTCCGCCCTGTTGTCAACATGTCCTCGCCCTCAGAGCTTGCTCCCAATGGCGAGCCAACCCTGGCAGAAGTGTGGGAGAAACTCAAGCTTGTCATTTTCAAGGTCTGGCGCCAGACGAGCCGCCGCATGAGAGCAACTGGCGCTTTTGTACTCTTTCTGTAAGCTGATGGTCCCTGAAACCCCGGACCGAGTCGAGTGCTAAACTTGTCGTGTTAGTATTGTCTCGTTATTGCTCTCTCTGCCTACGATCAAGACAATGAACGTGCCGCAAATCTCTCTCGAATACGCACATTCGCCATACAACCACTCCAAGGTCGCTCTCCTCGTAGAGAACCGACCCAATCCCATTCTCGCGCCCTTGATGCTGCACTTCATCTCCGTGGTGCCACCCGATTGGCGCTTCCGCTTCATGGGCTCTATCGAGTCCGTCAAGTCCATCAACCAGTCTGTCGCTATTCGCGAACAAGTCGCTGCCGGCAAATTGGACCTGACCTACATTCCCGCCAACATGAGCACAGCTGGTCAGGAGATGATCAGTCGTTATCTAACAAACCTGTGGCTCTACGAGACGGTCTTGCAGCCTGCCGAGTGGCTCCTTGTCTTTCAAACAGACAGCATCCTCTGCGCCAACAGTAAGAGAAACATCAACGATTATCTCGAGTATGACTGGATCGGTGCCCCCTGGAACCCTGGCGGTCGCTGGGGTGGCAATGGAGGGCTGTCCATACGTCGTGTCAGCGCCATGATCGACATCCTGAGAAACCAGCAGCGCGCTGACAATTCAGAGCCCGAGGATGTTTGGCTTGCCGAGCGCCTTGCTCACCGTCCGGGAAGCAAAGTGGCCAACGGTACTGTGTCGCTGTACTTTAGTGGCGAGATGCACTCGGGCCAAGGGGCCACAATCAAGGCAGGAGACGACGCAACACTCGAGGCTGCCGCTGAAGGAGAGTTGATATCGGGCATTGACGACTATCGTGAGGGCTTCTACGAGCCCATGGGGTACCACACGGGAGGCAGCGGCCTGTGGCTTCATGGTCCCATATGGGGTACTCCGAAGCTACGCAAGCATATTTGGGACTATTGCCCCGAGGTCAAACTCACACTTGCCATGGACGCCGCCAAGTATGTGCCCGGCAACTGCAAAGCAAACTGGAAGAGAGACCTTGAGGGCGTGCTTGAGGCGGAAAGTGATGATCAGTCAGAAGCTGGTGAGGAAGCGGGAGATTCACTGTACCCCTTTGGAACAGAGATCATTGAGGGGAGGGAGTATCCCAAACTACCGCCCTCTCTGGTGGCATGGTGATGAACGATCAGCGGTCAAAAATCCTCTCTTTTGAGCCTGCACCATGCGATGGTCCCGGAACGGAATGGACATGACGAGCGGAGTTTGTTGCATCACAGGCACTTGGTGGCATATAATTCGATTTGGCGTTTGGGGATTACATTGGTGCAGTGCTTGAGTGGATTCAAACGAGAACGGTAGCTCAAGTGGCTAGTCAGTCTGGGCATGAGCCATGTATGAATTTGAAGTAATTATTGTTGAGACACCCACAACTCTATATGAAGCAGTAGTTTGAACATTCGAAGCAGCTCAGATGATGGGTTTCACGGTGAGACATCATAGTAGACACGACCTACATGCGAGGCGCCTCTTGGAGTTCAACTCATTTGCCGCCATCCGTACAAACTGCATCCGCGCGATATAGTGCGCGCAGACCGTACGACATGCAGCCTGCTACTGCCTGCGCGGAGAACCGCGACTAGGTAAGGGCAGCAAAGTGTAAGCCAGGTAACAACAAAAACTGGTCCTCTGAAGACAGGGGCTAAGAAGAAGTCTGCTCACAAGGCAAGCCGTCCCGTCCTCATGGAATGCGCGGCCTACGACAAGACGGACAGACCCCTTGCGAGAAGCACTGCAGGAAAATGATCCGCAGCCCTCTCTCCCAGCCCTCGGCCTCTGCATGAACAAGTCGCACACTCCCATGGATAGGTAGATAAAAGGGACCGCAATCGGCTGTCGGATATTGCTACAAAGCCCTGGTCGCCTCTAAACTTCGACCGGCGAGCAGACTGATGAGCCAACAGCAAGCCCAAGCGGGGCGACGGGGACCCATGTTGACCAAGGGCCCAAAGTTATTAGTTTACAAGATCACTCTTAAAGCACGTAGCCGCCGCTTCCAAGACACTGCCACTCCCTCACACCGGTGCCCTCCTCCAGCTCGATGCACCACCAGAGCACCTCCTTGGCCTTGTCGATCTGGCCGCTCTCCTCGTGAGCCCGGGCCAGGGCGAACCAGGCCTCCGCGTTGTTCCACGCGCTGCCGAGCTTTGTCAGCGACGACAGCAGCCCGTACGCACGGTCGCGGGCGGCGAGGCGGTCGATCTTGGGAATCGAGGTCGCCTTGTACGGAACCGGCAGCTTCTCCCTCGACTCCGTCCTATCTTGCGAATTATCCGACGACGCGGCCGTGGCGGATTGCTGGGCGTCGTTGGTATTACTGAATCCCGAGCCCGATGCGTGGGAGCCTAGGCCGAGAGGCTCCGACGGCAGGCCGTATTGAGGTGTCGCCGATTTGGGTGGGTCTGAGGGCCGAAGGTAAAGATTGGAGACGTCCTCGGGCACGCTGAGGGTGGGAATCGCCGGAGGCGGGAGGACCTTCTCGCTGTAGATGTCGAGTAGGATGTCGGACAATCCCACAATGGCTGCTGGGTGGTCGGGGTAGTGGGTTAGTGCCATCTCGAAGTCTGACCGGGCCAAGTATGGTGACCCCTTAGCCAGAGAGAGATAGCCTAGCTGTTGAAACAGTCAGTCACCGAAGCCCACAATCGGTACAGAAGTAGAGGAAGTAGAGCTTACCTCAGCCCACACATCTCCCAATAATTGGTCAACGCCCTTCCTTTCCGCCCAGGTGTTACCTCTCATGGACAAGGAGCCTGTCGGGTCTTTTGTGACTTCGGCCTCGAGCATACCCACAAGCTTCTGCGCCTCCGAGATGGCGCCTTTCGCATCCTCAAACAAGTCGGCACGTCGGTAAAACCCCGCAATCATTAGCCATACTTTGACGAGAAGAACTGCTCTCTGCCTCCGCTGGGTGTCCGAGGGGAAGTGGATCAGGGGCAATGGGTTAGAGATGGTGTAAGTGCCGCTGGCAGAGATTTCCGAGAAATTTGTCGACCTCGACTTCTGGGATGTGTACGATTCCAGGTGATGAAGAGAGCGACCTCGGGAAACAGAAGACGCTGTCGAGGCTTTCCGGTTGCCTGAAAGTGGGAAGAATTCGGATTGCTGCAACTCGTCCGCAGGAGTGAAGAAAACGTCACCATCCACAACAGTCGCGTGGGTATTGGTGCCAGCGCTACTGACACTTGCCGTCCTCTTGCGAGCGCCGCTGCTATCTCGCTTGCGAAGGCTGGACCTCTTACCCGATTCGCTCCTTGCCCGACGTGACACACCGGAAAGTCGTCGTGTCTTCTTCTCTGTGGACGATTCGTTCTCTTGCGTGACGTGTATTGTTGGCGCGGTGCTGGTTGCGCTCGTTTGAGGGCGCGATGGGGTGGTCGTCTTCTCACTGTCGGCGATGCTGGTTTGCCGTGTTCGTGTAGATCCAAAGATGCTCCCCCTTATACTTTTCAGTGTGCCAGCCGAGCTCCGTGGCACCACGGTGTCGACCGTCTTGGGCGGTTGCATGGTTGGCTTGGTTTCAAGGCTGCCAAACAACCGCATAAATAGCGACATCAACTCGGAGCCTGCGTTGACAGCGACATCGGGCCCTTCGAGCAGCTCGAGAAGTGCAAGTTGGGTCATTTTCACTTCGAGAATGCTCTCCTTTTCGGTATCGTCCATGTCGTCTACGGCCCCCCTTCGCTCATTGGCGATCTTCTCATCCTGAGCTTCAGCCTCATTGAGGTGCTCACTCTTGAAGTGCAGGTCCTGTCTTCCGAACAAGACAGAGGGGTCGCCGAACTGGTCGAAAGCGCCCTCACAAGCCTTGGCCGCCATGTTATAGTCCTGCCTCGCGCTCAGTAACAGAGCCAGCAGGTGCCAGAGCGGTACCAGTGAGCGTTGCTGCCAGTATGGACCGTGGTAAAGATCTTGGTCGTCGTCTGCCGATTTGTTGGAGATCAGCGCCGTTTTGACAATGTCGATTGCCGGAGTCAGTTCTCGTCTCTCGGCAAGGAGCAGGCCGAGGGCAAACAGACTGCGAACATCCCGGGTGCGACCCAACTCTGGGGACAGAGATTTCCTCAGGCACCTGATGGCCTTGGTCTGAATCTCGGTCCGCGACGCCGCGTCGTATGTGGTTCTCGACCAGTGAGCCTGAGACAGGCCTATCGCTTGCCAAGAAAGGGCAATCAGGTGAGGTCGAATTGCGGGGTGAAGGACAGTCTTGTCATCCTCTTCCGGCACCGTGTTCTCGTTTTCCATGCCGTTTCTCAACTGCGGAAGTCTCGCCAGCCAATCCTCAAGCTCGTTTCCGATAACGCGGGCCTTCTCGATGGCTTCTGGTCCGCCATAGCGACATAGCGCTAGAACGCACTGCGACATTGTCTCAAGGACGGTACCATCGTCATCAAGGTTGGCCTCCAGATGACCCGTCTTGTCAACCCTGGCCTTCCCGTGTCTGACGAGGTCGAGGTACGAGTCGAAAGCTTTGAAGGCCAGGTCGAACTCGGCCACAGCCAGATGGACGGTGAAGAGACAGCGAAGAATAGCGGTTGAGTGGTACGTCTTGGTCGCCATGGCATAAAGAGTGTCGAGAACGCCTCTGCTCAGACTCTCGCGACCCCCCTGGCCAAGATCCTGCTCTTTCCATCCGCGACCGCAGAGGATAGACCAGTTCCTCACAACAACCCTGACAAACGACTCGACCTCTTCTCTCGTCTCGTCCGCTCGCGGGAAACTGGTCTCGCTGATGAGGAGGGCCTCGTACGCAGCCTCCGTCTTCTTGAGCTCAATCTTTAGTTGGCTACTCGCAGAAGCCCCATCTGTGGCTTTACCGAGGAAACCCGTGGGGTATGGTATGTCCAGTTCGAGGATAGTGGACAGTGCCAAATAGTACTCCAACCAGACTTGTCGTCTTGGCACAGAGCCCTTGTATCCGCAGCCTCCCGTGACCGGCCCTGATATGGATTCCCAGTACCTGGCCCAGGCTCGGAAGCAGGCAAGCGAGTTTGGATCCGCGAGTGGCCGCTCGTTCGCTCGGAGCGCTTCGCTATGGAGCATACAGTACTCGGTGAGGAACAGTTCGGACCAGACCTTTGACTGCCTAGGAACGCTGCGGCCAGTCCAGGCCGTGGAGACCGAAGGTAACGCAGAGTCGAAGACAACGAGTGCTTCTGCCGTCTTATTATTACGTGCTAGACAGTCCGCCTTGATGAAGGCAGCCTTCAGGGCGCTGATTTTGGTCCATTCCGACACCTTGTCGGTCGCACCGAGTTGCGCAAGCTCCTGTTCGATATCCTGGGGCAAGCTGGCGACGGCCTGGTCAAACTCTTCAGCGACCCAATGCAGCAGGCCTACGCAGACCTGAGCCTGAAATCTGTCCTCCGGAAACCTTGTCTCGGCTTCTATGGCGGCCTGCAACTTGGATTGCACGTTGGGCGCATCGAGGTCCTTGGAGACGGCAGTCGAAGGTCGGCTGGCACCAGACGGGTCGGTGGCTTGGGCGATGGCGCATTCCGTTTCGGCAGCCAGAGTCAGACCTAAGGGGGGCTTAGAGTCAGTAACGGGGGCATCGCGGCGTTCGCGTGCTTATTTCGAGGTCACCGACAGGTTCGATCAGGGGCATGTTTCCTGATTTTGCGGACAAACTCGGGGACGGCGCTCCAATTGCCCTCGCATCTCGCATCGTCGAGGGCCTTGATGTAATGGGCGGCCTTGTTTGGGTCGGGCTGCAAGAAACAAACAGATAAGCACATTGGTCAATGTCCAGCTCGACGTCATGGGGGTTCAAGGACCAGGGGCGGTCTGGCGAAAGGAGCCATGGAATGGGATAACTTACAGCCATTGCGCGATGCTTAAGCCTATGCCTGTGATGAAACAGAGATTCGAACCAATCCTACTAGCAGCGCATCTGGATCCACGGCATGGTATTGCTGAAGATGCCTGCCTATTTGGGGGGGAGGGAAGGGAAAAAGGAGGTGGAAGGGAGGTTGGCGATGTTTATGTCCCAAAGAATGGCTTAATTAATAACGGCACGTTGTTCAACCGATTGGATTGACGCGGTTGGCATGCGCTTTGGTTATTTGCAGTGCGTGCTGCCACCAAGTACCAAGTGTACTGGGCTGGCAGAAAAGTGACAGACAGCCTAGGTAGGTAGGTTGGATACCTGTCTGGTCCAGTCGGTTTAGCTGTACGTACAGGCCTTACCGCTGTGGGTTAGGTACACGGTCGGCAGGTTGTGAAACTGATGGGAGTTCAAGCTTGTGCCTAGCAGACTGCAGTAGCCAGCCAGCAAGGTTCCTAGCACGGGCCAGAAACGATAGTCAGGGGTTAACAATTAGCAACCTTTCGAAGATTGAAAAGCCGTGTCTGGACCACTTTACATAACCGGTACGGTGGTAATCCTGACAGCCAATCATGTCTCAGA